TGAAGAACACTTTACTCCTCAAAAAAATATCACATATGAGAGATACAAATTTTTCTCTAGAAATCAGAAGCCAGATGAAACATATGAAGATTATATTGCGTGTTTACGTGATTTGAGTATGACCTGTGAATTTGGCGCGTTAGCCGAAAGTCTTATAAAGGATCGTTTGGTATGTGGAATATCAGACATTACATTAAAGGATAGATTATTACGAACTAGGGATTTATCATTGATAAAAGCTGAAGAAATTTGTCGGGCATCACAGGAAACGAAAATGCAGATTCAACAACTTTGTGCTAACACAGCAGATTGTAGTGGTGGTGAATCCAGTGGAATACTAAAATTAAATCGAAACATACGTAATAAAGTTGACATTGACAGAAAATATGAATCTTCTCGATATCAGATAAAAAATAGTAATTTGAAAGTTAAAAGTTTTTTATGCAAACGATGTGGATATGAACATATACCTCAACAATGTCCAGCATTCAACAAAAGATGTTTGAAATGTCAGAGATATAATCATTTTGCTAGACAGTGTCAAGTAAAAACTGTTGAAGTTGATGAATCCGAACATGAAATTGAAACTATTCGTTTGGGCGCAGTTTTCATACATTCACTCAATGGTAACAAAGACTGGGTAATAACAGTTGGAGCATATAATCAAGGTAATTTAAAAGAAAGGTAAGCTAAAAGTGGACACTGGTGCACAAGCAAATGTACTAAGGGCAGATAATTTACCTGAATTAGGTGGTGACATACATAATTTACTAATTACTAATTCCAAGTTGACGACTTATACGGGAACTCCGATCAACTGTTTGGGTAAGACTGCTCTGGACTGTAAATATAATGGTAATGTTCATAAATTAGAGTTCTTTATAGTAGATTGTGAACGTGCGTGCAATATTATTGGATTGCAATCTTCTGCACAATTGAAAATAATAAATCCTGAATATAGTATGGGTCAGGTATCATGTTAACAAGTTCTTATGACAGATTATAAAGAATTGTTTGTCGGTTTGGGATGTATGAAAGAAGAGTATGACATTAAATTGAAAGAAAATGTGAGTCCTGTAGTTCATGCAAGTAGACGTGTACCCCTAGCTATACAACCTCGTCTTAAGAAGAAGTTAGAGGAGTTAGAGCGAATAGGTGTTATTTCTAAAGTTCAAAATCCTACTGAATGGGTTAACTCTTTAGTAATTGTGTATAAACCTAATGGCGATTTGAGATTATGTATAGATCCTAAAGATTTAAATGAAGCTATTCAAAGGCAACATTTTGAACTCCCGACTTTTGATGAAATATCTAGCAAATTATCTGGAGCTAATATTTTTAGTACGCTTGACATTAAAAATGGATTTTGGAATATTAAATTAACACAAGCCAGTTCAGATCTTTGTTGTTTTAATACGCCATTTGGCAGATATAAATTTCTTAGAATGCCCTTTGGTATTTGTAGTGCTCCAGAAATTTATCAACATCGTATGCGTCAGATGCTAGAAGGATTAGAAGGGGTTGAGGTATATATTGATGACATATTAATTTGGGGTAAAGATGAAAGTGAGCATGAAAAAAGACTAAGGAAAGTATTTGAAAGATTACAAGAAGGTAATGTAAAGTTAAATAAAGAAAAATGTAAAATAGGTGTATCAGAATTGAAATATTTAGGTCATATAATAAGTCAAGAAGGAATACATCTAGGAAAAGATAGAATTCAATCAATTTTAGATATGAAAAGTCCTAAAAATCGTAAAGAGTTGGAACGATTTCTAGGAGTAGTTAACTATATTTCCAAATTTGTGCCTAATTTTGCAATAGAAAATGCTCCTCTTAGAAATCTTCTTAAAAAAGATGTTGAGTTTGATTGGAATAAAAGTCATGAGGAAAGTTTTAATAGAATAAAGAGTTTATTAGTAAAAAAGCCAGTGCTACAATTTTTCAATGAAAAGTTACCTATTCTTTTGTCCGTTGATTCTTCAAAATATGGATTAGGTGCTGTTTTACTACAGAATAATCTTCCAGTAGCGTATGCCTCAAAAGCGTTAAATGAGTGCCAAAATAATTATGCTCAAATTGAGAAGGAGCTTTTGGCTATTTTATTTGGTTGTGAGAAGTTTAATCAATTTATCTATGGTCGAAAAATTACGATTGAAACTAACCACTCTCCTTTAGTTTCACTAGTTAAAAAACCATTAAATACTGCTTCTCCTAGAATACAGAGAATGCTAATTAAACTTCAAAAATATCAATTTGATTTGGTTTACAAAAGAGGTAGAGAATTATATTTGGCTGATTAATTTGGCTAATCTAGATCGTTTAACGAAAAGTGTAACTCTGAAATTGATTTAGAAACTGAGTAAATTGAGGCTAAAATTGATATTTTACTTTGTGTAGTTAATATTTCTGATAGACAATTAGGTAATATTCGGGAATTAACTGCACAAGATAATGAATTAAAAACTGTAAAAGGATTTATTGAAAATGGTTGGCCTTGTCATAGAGCTCAAGTACCTGATATTGTTAAATCATACTGGAATGTGCGAAATGAGTTAATAATCAAATCTGGTATTATTTTAAAGAATACATGTTTAGTAATTCCTCATAAATTAAGACATGAAATGCTATCTAGAATACATTATCCACATTTAGGTATAACGAAGTCATTGTTACGTGCTCAAGAAGTCATGTATTGGCCTGGTATACATTCTCAAATTGTTGACATGATTTCTTCTTGTGAAACATGTAAACTTTATAACAATAACAATAAAAAAGAGCCTTTAGTTTCTCATAGTGTGCCAGATAGCCCCTGGCAAAAGGTAGCAGTTGACATATTTGAGCTTGGTGGAAACAGTTATTTATTAGCTGTCGATTATTATTCAAAGTATCCTGAACTATGTTGTTTGGAATCAACTACAAGTACTTCGGTTATTATTAATCTTAAACGAATATTTAGTAGGAATGGAATACCGGAGACATTAATAAGTGATGGAGGTCCACAGTTTTCTTCAACACAATTTAAAGAATTTTCTATAAAATGGGAATTTGATCATATTTTTAGTAGTCGTGAGCATGCACAATCTAATGGGATGGTAGAGCGCACGATTGAGTCCGTTAAACGTTTATTATGTAAAACTTTACATGAGAATAAGGATCCATTCTTAGCAATGTTGGAATTTAGAAACACTCCTATAGCTCATAACATTCCATCGCCAGCAGAAAATTTATTTAATAGAAAACTTAGAGGAATATTACCAAGTAATTCTGAACGATTCAAACCTAAAGTTAGTATTAAACCAAAATTGATAGAAAGAACGATGATGAGTGAGAGAAATTATAACAGAAATAAGGTGAATTTAAAAATGTTGCAACCTGGGGATGTTGTGTAGTTTAAAGTTAGGAATGAATGGAGAAAGGGTGTAATTAAGAGTCAGAGAAATGCTAGATCGTATTTTATAGAATCTGATAATAGAGTATTTTTGAGGAATAGGTTTTTTATAAAGATATTACCTTCTGTACCATACTATATCCCGGATGGTAGGAAGAAAATATATCCCGGAAGATAATAAAGTTACTGTAACTACTACATCGGGAAAAGAAATAATTGTTAATAGTGACACTGCTACTGATAGAGTACAAACACATTCTAATTTCCCATATATTACTCGTTCCGGTCGAACAATACATCGTCCTCAAAGATATGATTATTAGTTAAGATAAGGAAGTTTTTATTAATTTCATTTATATAAAGAGAAGGATGTTGTATATAGAAACTTCTTAGTGAATAACATGTAATTAGGACAAAAGAATAATAAACAGATTCTGTCAACATCTCAAACTGATATTTTATTTATCCAATATTTTATATTAAAAACCTTTAATATAACACAGCTGGCACTCTACACCGACGGAATGACTTATGGAGCGGCTAAAGACCAACTCCCGCCAGACGGATACGACTTTAGCCAGACCTTCGATTCGATCTAATTTCATTCCCTGTTTGAATTGTACGGGGGATTGATCGGCGACTGGGGAGACCCCGGGCACGCCTAGACGCCCGGTTGATAGCGCGGTATGATGTGGTTGAGGTCGTCGTCTTCGCTGGCGAAAAGGGTGTCGTGTGTGTTTGTGGCGATGTCTGTATATGTACAAATATATAGGTACTAGTGACTCGCCCTGGCTTCACACGGGTGGATTACAAATCTTTGAACGCACGCACATGTAGGTCAATCATACATCACCGCATCCTCTCCACCAACACTTCAACTTTCAGGTATGGTATTAATGTTCAATGTAGATTTTAAATATTATTACGAATAGTTTGTATGGGCATATAGAAAAGTGTTGTATTTAAACTTTTACAGGCATTTATTTTATTTTTTTCTCTCCGTAAGAATCATCCTCGTACTTCAAGGAATATTCTAAATAAACAATTAGTTAAATAAGTTCAGCTGTTCTCGAGATTTCCACTTAGCAACACATTCAGGACTTAAAAGGACATAAAGAATTTTATAAGTAAATACCTATTATTAACATAAAACAAATTTCTAGTAGTTTCCAAATTTACTAAGAAAAATATCTTTGCAGTATTAAATTATTTATAAATAATACCATTTTGGTAGGCGGAGTACTGGATTAATATTTTCTACGTAAATAAGAGTCCAGTGAGCAAGTAATCACTACATCACCATCATTCACTATCAATCAGTCACAGTCACCATCGATTGCATACATAAACTATCGATACGGTTGTAGTAGAGATACGTCCTTATGGCACATATTGAATGACTTTATTGGAAAACAAAACTCGTACCTATTCAAAAACACAATGAATTCATATTTAGTTATTCTTATACACGTACAATTCAATTTCAGTATCAGTAAACAACTCTCATTTATGTCGTTGTATATATAGTTAGAGGTAGACCACTTTCGAACAATGAATCATTACTGTTATTAGTAGCAAGCAACACTAATAATTGATCTTGCAATGTCATGTCAAGCTTGTCTAGTTGTCACTTGTTTGTCAATATCTGTATCAGAATCTTTCAATCTAAAATCTAAAGTCTTTTTAAGTGATTCTACAAAGTAGCTATCAGACTCTTGTAATTTTGTTATAGTTTAAAACAGATTTATATGTGTTTTTAATCTCAATGAAATAAGCAAAGATATATTTATGTTACACTACTTTTCTTTATATTCCAGTTTGTTAATGACTATCGTACTATAACTGAATGCGTGTATCAATAATTTACACTGAAATCAGAACAATATGATGGACGGAAACGATTTAGCATCTGAAACTACAAGAAGGAGTATTATTTCCCAAGCCTGGACTCGTATTTCGCAGGTGATGAATATCAATGTTTAATAAAATTAAGGACACGCGCGCTGACATGTCGCTGTGTTATAGTTCATCTTATCCAAAGTTTACGTGTTATTACTACACTGCTGTAACTTCCGGTATTAAATTTAAATTGAAGTAATACTTTATCAGTTGTAATATTAAATTATTAGTGTTCATTATAATGTAAACTGCCCTAACCTCAATTTACTTTATTTTCTTACAATCAAATTTTTCTCCTTATATTTAGTATTTAAGTAGTATTTGTTTCACTTTCATTAAACTAATGTTTAATGTAAGTATTAAAATTTATATTTCGTATATTCCTTAATAGTTTCTAATTATGCTTTATTAACAATTATTAAATTTATCAACTAAAATTCTCTTATATCTATACTATCACTATCTTACTGTTACTTATGACAATGTTTTTGTAAGAAAACAATTGAGTGCTACAAGCAGAGTAGTGTAAATCACTGCAGTGATGAAAAGTCTACTCTTTGTGAAGTGTATTTTATTTATCAAATGTTTTCAAGAAAAGTGAGAGTGAGTGAGAGTTTTGAATATAAATCACCTTGTTGTCATATGCAAATGTCAATATGCAGTCTGATAATGAGTAACTGCTATAAAATACAGGAAAAAAGAACCAAATACAGTAATATAATAGACTATTAATAAATAGAATGATGGAGAAGATTGTTAGTAGTAAAAACTTGTGGCCAAACTAGCTAACTATCACATCTACCTCTATATGGTCCTCCCTAGAAACTATAGAGATAAAATTCTAATGATTTGATCACATTGGACTAATTGACCAGACAACATCCAGTGTATAAATATTAGCACATGCAGACACACTATTCCATATTCATCCATTAAACAAATATAACAGTAGAGTACATCACACTCATCAAATCAATGCGTATTTTGATTCTACTAGTAAAACAATATATATAACAAATACATTTGTACACATTTTATTAATATTACCATATTAATAAAATGTGTAAAAATGTAAACAGTAATATTTTCATTACATTCTAATCCAATTTGTTTTGCTGTATAATTTATGTTTTTTTGAATCAGGTATATCAAGGAACACTAGATAAATGGACACCCCACTCAAAATCAAGATGGAGTGGAAGTATATTTCTTTTATTGGTTTTTATGCTAAGAATATTCACAAAACAAGTAAGTTTTAAACTTTATTACTAAGCAATTTATTTTTTAACAGTAGCAGTGTGTATGTTATCTTTTTGTTAGGGGAATTTGACAAAATGTAAAGTTTATAAACACAGAAGTTAGGCAAAACTTTAAGTGTTATACTTATAAATCAATAAGTCTAACTATATAATTATTACAAATCTCTATGATACAACATAATAGTAAGAATCTTTTGTAAGTTTTATAAGTTGGTTGGTTTATAATTTTTATAAGTAAGTGTATATATAAGTTGGTAAGGTATAATTTTTATAGTTACTTTTTGTTTCTATGAACAAAGAAACGCTTAACTATATTTAGGAATAGAAATTAAGATTATCCATAAATCAATTATTATATTATTAAAACAGTTTGGTAAGCATATAATATTTTATCTCTTATACCGTATATAACTACCTCTTATATAACTTTACTTACAACATATAAACATATCATAATTATATTTGTGAATTGAAATATTAATTAAAATTATTAAAGTAATCTTACTTACAGGGGTGGTATATAGTCACATATGCTCTTGGAATTTATCATTTGAATCTGTTCATTGCATTCCTGACACCAAAGATAGATCCTGCTATGGATTTTGATGGTAAGTTTTCCTTTTCTTCTCCACTAGAAATTAAAGACACTCAACAAACTATATGTAACTAGCTGTGTCCACAGTTTCATATGCATGAAATTTGTAGCTTATGTGTTATTCCGATATGTATATTGTATGTGTATGTATATACAAATAAATAAATAAAAAAAAGAAAAATAATATATAAAGCTATGATATGTTAAGTTTCATTAAAATCAATTCAGTAGTGTTTGTGTGAAAGAGTAACAAACATCCATCCATCCGCACTTACAAACTTTCAACTATGTAATATTATAGTAGTAAGATAGTTTCTTATAATTTTTTTATCTAAAAAATATCCAATAATGTCACCATAAACATACCATTCCTTTCTGTCCTAGATGTCAGTGGTATTTTATAGTATACATAAAGTTTTGCAACAAACAATTACATTAAAATGTTCTTTTTTGTGTATGTATTGTACTACGGCACAATATAGTAAAGTATTATACTACTGTAGGTTGGACTCCATTTTCCGCAATTGGCCTCTCATTCGGGCCGTTGTGCGTGTAGTATTATACTACTTTAAACATACTGTCTACTATAGAGTCCAATTAAAATTGCGTATAATATTCTTTTTAATGTGATCTTCTATTTTTTACATTCCAGGTGACGATGATAATGGTCCAGCTTTACCTACTAGATCAACTGAGGAGTTTAGGCCCTTCATACGAAGATTGCCAGAATTTAAATTTTGGCTTTCTGTTACCAAAAGCACACTTGTTGCCATTGGGTGTACTTTTATTGATGCTTTTAATATACCAGTATTCTGGCCGATATTAGTTATGTATTTTATTACACTATTTTGTATCACCATGAAGAGACAAATCAAGGTAATGCATGTTTTATTTAGTTTTTATGTTTGTATATCAAGTATCTATTTTTTTCAACTGTTTAATTATATATAAATTATAATGCTTATTATTTATTAGCTAAGTTTACTTGAAGACCTTGGTTCATGTTAGAGAGGATTCATAAATTATGTTACATCAATTTCATTATTATTTGATCTCTACCCATCGTTGTCACAGCTGATCACATTTGTGAGATTCCTGCATCCCTAATGGAATGTATTTTACAACTATATACCATCAAAGCTCATCAAACATCAAACTCGTAAAAAAAATGTTACATAATAAACCTTATATTTAATCAGATGTAATTGATTGATGAAAATATTTTTAACATTTTGGTTTATACTCTGACTCTGAGTATTACAAGACGACAACAGTGACCCCCAAAAATGTCTAAAATGTTAAGATAGTTGTGTTATGAAGCGTAGTGCATATCTACTGTGATTCAAAGAGTGGGTTGAGGATTATCACCCTCGCATACATGTAAAAAGAAACGTCTTTACCTCCCGGTTCAAACAGGTATCAATATGAGTTAAACTTATATCTTGAAAAAAAAAATTGTCGGCTGGCTGTAACATGGTGAATTATAAGTGAGCTAATAACACGAACATTTTAAAAGATTGACCATGGACCAGCAGTAAGGCAGAATTCGCGCTCCCTTTCCTCTTTTATTTTCAAAAACCTACATGAACACTTTGCCGTCCTCGTTCATCAACGTGTAATATAAGTTATGGATAATCTCCCTTACCAGCAACACATATATGACTTATGTGAACAATGTTCTTATTTTTTTTAATAGCAAACTTTTTCTTTTCTAGCATATGATCAAGTACCGGTATCTACCGTTTACTCACAGCAAGCCCAAATACAAAACTGTGGAATCCACAGTTACTGTGAACTGACGAAACACCTGGCTACCTATCCATATAAAGCGGAGTGCATAGTTAAATTAAATTAAAAGCTGTTGTATGATTCTATAAATACAATTTTTATTATAATATTTTCTTATTTATTAATTTGTATCCAAATATTTTATAAAGTGACCACAATAAGATTTAACTAATGCCAATGTTGTTATAATTAGATGTATTGTACACTTATTTAGCATATACATAAATTTTATTTTCTGAAACATTGGTTGTTATTACATATATTCAGAAATTCACGGATTTGCTTTTTTCCTAGCATAAGCATATTTATAGTCGATAAGATATAGCTTAAGTAATATATACCCTTCTGTTATTTGATAATGACGACGTTTATACGATATGAGCCCCAGCAAACCCCCACAGCAAATTTGATACTCTAACATATGTAGCTCGCGGAAATACATAATTCGCTATACTTTTTGAGCAGACCTCGTATAGCTACATAATCGTTTTGACCAATAATACATTAGTTATCGTTGTTTACCGTCTGGAACAAGAACATACAAAGATTAGTAGGTTCTAGTGTTCTGGAAATGACTTCCAACGGGCTCCTCGGACGTCACAATCTATAAAAGCCAGATAATCTCTTCATCGTACCACGTGCAAGAATATGGTGAACCTTGGAGCAAGGCAAGTAATATTCTTAAATGTTTTGTAAATTTCATAAGATAATATTCGACGGTTTTCGGCGAAAAACTACAATCTAATTTGTCAACATCGATTTAATCTATTCTTAGCCTTTATTTTTTGCCTATGTCGTCTTTCCCCATGGAACAATCAGTACATATTAGCTGATAGTGATATGACTTATTTTATAAGAAAAATTAAATGGAAAACTAATGAATTGATAAAGAAAAGGTCGCACAGGTCGATCGCGCCTGTTAGTCCAGTAGATCGTGGCAAGGCAAAAAATATAAATAATAATTTACTATATTTAGCCCTGGCTTTGGAAATAGCCACAACAGCCAGTTCCTCCTCCAACATACTATTTACATTTTAAACAAATCTTATTAAATCGTTACGTATCGTATGTACGGCTGCGCAACCAAGATTGGCAATTTCCAACTACAGACCTGATTAATGCTAAAGTAGTGGAAGATGCTCAGACGTAATACTCACACTAATATAAAGGTAAATAAGTACCTAGTTACTAAGAATAATTTTCGCATTTATATTTTCTCTCTTAATAAAATAAAAAAAATACTACATTATTGTATACTGAAGTATTCCGTTTCATTTAAGATTTCAATAAGTATGTAATTGGTAGATTGCATACGATTTCAATAGTAAATAGATCTTGGATCTAATCAAGTTGGTCACCCCTGCTATATAGAATAGTTGACATGTAGATACATTGTTATAAGGGAATGGGAGTATGTCTGATTTTTGTCTGAGAAATATTGAGAAAGTCAAAACTCAAATTAAAATAACATTGGACATTTCGGCTTCTTAGTTGTTTATTGGACAGCCTTGCCGTGATGTTCTTTACTTGAGAAATGATCGATTGCGGGTACAAAATATGTATTTATCTTTTATTTTGAAGGCATAAATTGGTCTATGTCTTGTGGCAACATTCAACAGGTCCCAGTAAGCATTATGAGTAAAAGGTAACAGACGGACACAGCTATAATTGCATTTATGATATTGCTAGCTGTTAATCACGATTTATCCTGTTTTAGATTAGACTGATTTAGACTAAGGTGAAGTAAAAAGAGCGCTCATGATTTTGAACTTCCCCATAACTCCTAAACTACTTGTCCAACTAATATTATAAAAGCGAAGTTTCTGAGTATTAGATGGATGTTTGTTACACTTTCATACAAAAATTACTGAATGGGTGTTGATGAAACTGTAGTCATATAGCTTATACATCAGAATAACACGTAGGCCATTAATCTCACATGGGTGAAACCACGGACATAACTAGTTAAATATTATTATAATCCCGGCCAATTCACACTGCTTCGTCTAGTCCTAATCCAAACAGTTGTTTATTGATTCTAAACTACTAATAGAAATACTTAGGTATATATTTTTAGATACGTATTTAATATAGATAGAAAATGGCCAGACCAATACAAATAATCACACTCACGAATACAAATGTTTGTATCAGGCGAGGCATTGAACCCGCGACCATCGCAAGTAAGGTAACGTGTCAAACCGCTAGACTAGATCTTCTCAGACATTATTTTCATACACCACATTAAAAATTTAGCAGATGTATTTTATATCATATTCTAAAAACTTGACAAAAATTGTAACGACTAGATCTAACTATGGAAATTTTTCGTTGTGGCTGAGTTCTAACCATAAAAACAAAGGAGCCACTCAAACTTAGCATTAATCAAGCAGAAGGTGAAATTTAAAAGAGAGTAACAAACATTTTGACTTCAGGCAGAAATACTCGAAAAACAAACGGATAGTTTTCCTCGTTTGTCTTTTTAAAAAAAAAAATAGTTTAAAGTACGAATTCCAGTTAAAATATCGAAGTTTCAGTGTGCCGATAAGTGCAGACTGTTTATTGATGTAATATTATCACCATTTTTTTGTTATTAGAAAAAAAATGAAATGGTTAACCCGCTTACATTTACGACACACGCCCCAATGTTGCTTATCATAGTGAATACACAAAATATTAATAACGGGAACTAGTGACGTCCTTACTAGCAACATTATATAGGTAGATCTCCACGCGGTCCCCTCTGCAAACAGTAATGGATAATTCCATGTGAATTCGCAACAACGAGTAGGCTTTGATGCTAATCCTATCATCTTCCACAGCTGCCTGTACCAGCGTATGGCGATAAGTAGATAAAACAAAACGTGAGCAACAATACGATGGTTTCCAAAGGTCTCCTTACTGCGTAAAAGTCGACCTGATTAATGTATTCCAGCTATGAGGCTACTAGTCCTCAGCCAACTCATCCCTTCTCGTCTTACGTGCGTTTTTATAACAGCTTTATAGATTAATATGAATATCTAACGGCATTGAATGTACAAAAATATTCATTCTTTATATCCTCTCGGTTTGTTAATTTTAGAACAATATATTGTTCTTAGATCATTGAGTTCAGTATTGCCACACCTCCTGTTTTATGGGAAGTCCGATTTAACCGAAATCTTTCTACTCTAAAATAATACTCGATTCTTAAATAGTTCCGATGCCAATGTACTACAACAGTATTATGTAATGTTTATTCTTTATTTAGTTTTTATTATAAAAGGAAGGAATATAAAATGAAATAATGTTATCGCAACTCCGTATCTATCCCAGCGTCATAAAAGATACATCATAGTAGAACAGGATTTGAGGAATTTTTATCTCTTCTTCGCAGGTCCCCCATTCTAATACACTTTTCAGAATTTAAAAATAACGTAACAAGTTTTCCTGATTTTATTTTGTGGGCAACGCGCTATATACTAATGTGGTTGTATAATCTGAGTATATATTTACATTGACCTAGTAAAATAGCCAAATCTAAAAATAAACCAATAAAACCCACTGAAACTTATACCAATAAAATATAATCTATAGAAATATCCGAAGGAATATTAATAAATTAGGCTTAGTTCACCGATGTGCTAAGTTTTAACTATATGATACTATATTTTTAGAAAGTTTATACCTAATTGTTTTTATCATTTTACAAATTATTTCTATTGAAATGGTTTAATTTGCTTTAATGTAATGGCAATTCTTCCCGATATTGCCAGCGCCAGTGTTACTATTATAATGATATTTTCAAAAGTAATAAAACGCGCTCGATATCCCTGTTTATTTTATTGACCACTCGCCAGATGTTTGCGCATTGTTTTCCAGTGCGCAGTAGTGTCTCTGTCGTGAAATCGGGATTCTGTTTTAGTATTATATCTATTCTGCCATTTTGAAAATAGTGGCGTGTATGGATTAGACCTAGTGTTTTTTATGTGACAAATATGTCCGGGAGCAATGATAAAGTGTCGACTACGCAGCGTATGATCCAAAGTGTCGCTTTCCCTCCCAGCCACAAGCTCACTGTATCGGAGGTATTCGATGAAAAAAGTGGAAAGCCTCTTCCAGATGTACTGAAGCAACATTTTATCTTAGAAGGTAGGATCGAGGAAAATGCAGCTTTGCGAATCATCCAAGATGGTGCCACCTTATTACGATCAGAAAAAACTATGATCGAGATTGATTCACCGGTGACCGTGTGCGGAGACGTCCATGGCCAGTTTTACGATTTGATGAAATTGTTCGAGGTAGGAGGCTCGCCCTCTTGTACCAAGTATTTATTCTTAGGTGATTATGTCGATCGAGGTTATTTTAGTATAGAATGTGTTCTTTACCTCTGGGCCCTGAAGTTGTGTTATCCGAAGACGTTATTCCTATTACGCGGTAATCATGAATGCCGACATTTGACAGAATATTTTACCTTCAAGCAAGAATGTAAAATCAAGTATTCTGAGAAAGTTTATGATGCGTGTATGGATGCATTTGACTGCTTACCTCTTGCTGCTCTTATGAACCAGCAGTTCCTATGTGTGCATGGTGGTCTTTCTCCAGAAATTAACAGCTTAGATGATATTCGTAAACTAGATAGATTCAAAGAACCACCTGCATTTGGAGCAATGTGTGACCTTCTCTGGTCTGATCCTCTTGAAGATTTTGGCAATGAGAAAAATGCAGAACATTTCTCGCACAACTCAGTCAGAGGTTGTTCATATTTCTATAGCTATGCAGCATGTTGCGATTTTCTACAAAGGAACAATTTACTTTCTATCATTCGTGCACATGAAGCTCAAGATGCTGGTTACCGGATGTACCGTAAAAGCCAAACAACAGGATTCCCAAGTCTTATCACCATTTTCTCTGCTCCTAATTACCTGGATGTTTATAATAACAAAGCTGCAGTCTTAAAGTATGAGAACAATGTTATGAATATAAGACAATTCAATTGCTCTCCACACCCATACTGGCTACCTAACTTCATGGATGTCTTCACCTGGTCTCTTCCATTTGTTGGTGAAAAAGTTACAGAAATGCTGGTCAATGTATTAAACATTTGTTCTGATGATGAATTAATGACTGAGGGAGATGACGCACTGGAGGAAGCAAATCTCAGGAAAGAAGTAATCCGTAATAAAATCCGTGCTATTGGAAAGATGGCTCATGTGTTCTCAGTACTTCGTGAGGAGAGTGAATCTGTTTTGCAGTTGAAGGGTTTGACTCCTACTGGTGCTTTGCCCCTGGGTGCCCTTTCTGGTGGTAAGACTTCCCTTAAAAATGCCTTGCAGGGCTTCTCCCCAAATCACAAGATCACCTCATTCGCTGAGGCCAAAGGATTGGATGCAATTAATGAGCGTATGCCACCAAGGCGTGATGGCCAACGCACACCAGACACCCAAGACAAGAAACCACATGTGAACAGCAATGCACATTCGTGAAGTGCTAGCCACTACTTCTCTTCGATCCTTACTTTTTGGTCCACAATTATAGTGGTAGTGAAATATGTGTGAAGGAGACTCAGCTTTTGGAATGATATTTCACATTCATAATAACTAGGTGGATTTGAAGGGAATTGTCATAATAAATACAAAATATTTTTAAATTTGGATTTAACTTTTTTTCAATAGTTAAAGTTAAAATTTCTCTTAAGATATTACCTCTCGATATTTAAAATATGTCAGATCTGCAGGCAACAAATTTATTTAGTCAATTAAATGTTAAGGTATGCACATTTATTTATAATGAGCTGCACTGTTTAATTTTTGGTAATGTAATTTTAAATTTTTCATATGAAAAGACATGATATTGTAATGTAAATTTATTCAGATTGTCTACTTATACTCTACATTGTTATCTACATTAGTGAAAATTAGACATGTCTATAATTTTCAAAGCATAATTAGCTGTGATATTAAGCGAAGATCAATGTATTATTTAATAGCGATCTGCTAGTGAAGTACAGGCATGTTCATTGGCTAATCATGCATTGAAATATGTAAAATAAGTGGGGAAGTTCTCAGCTTGGGCGTGTCTTTATATTCTATTAAGTAATTAATTATGTACTATAGTGTGCAGCACTTGTGCTGGTGTGTTTTTGCTGTGCGTGTGTGCTGTGTAAATATGCCTTGTGCGTACACACACGTTATTGCAGCTTTAACACTTGAGATAAATATTACTCTCTTTAATATCTTTGCTACAAGTTGTACTTAATTGTATTTTATTGTACAAAATATATTAAAATTATTATCTATGAATTATTAAAATTAATTTATATTTGGGTGTATGCTGGCTCCAAGTTGCCTGCATGCAGCTGAACTTGTATGCTGGAACATCACACATTAAAATTTCTTAGCCATAATGTTTCGGTATATAAGGTGTAGTGGCTAGTCTAATTGCAGATTTTCTTACAGCTTCTATTCCAAATTTCACTATTATATAAATAGGTTTAATGACCTATGCACTGTTCGAAAATCTCTTTTGGCCTGCCAAATAATCATTAATGAATGCAATAAGATCATATTGTGAATACTAAAAGTGGCTTACATCATTTTCAAAGTCAGTACTAAGTATTTTATCTCAATTCAGTGTGTAGTCCTTCATATGTTCTGTACTTTTAAATAAATTTTACCTATGTAAAAAACTAACATTATATTTAATTTTATTTTGTACTAATCATGGGAAGTGTTGTTTTATCCTTATAAAAATATATTAACATTGAGCTCCATATCGTATAGTTTCAATAACTTCTACTACCTTTAGTTATTAATTTAGAGATATACAATTTTAGGTACCCTTATTAGGACATTTAACTTCTAAGATGCAATACTCAAAAAAAGAGTGGGATTTTAGTTTAGCACTGAAATTGTTTGTTTTAATTTAATTTATATCGTATTTGAAAGATAATTGAAATTTACAATCGCTAAAGTGGGTATAGTATAAAAATTTTTAAATATTTATTTAAAACCTATCAATTGTGTCATATTGGCGCAAACAATTTGCATTGTAGTGTGGCGCTCAGACTACGTTTTTTGCATATTATTGTCTATTTTGTTTATTTTTGGTTTCTTCATATACATATTACCCAAATTGTCTGCAAGAATTTCTTTACAAAGATTTGTACCCACAGTAGATAGGAACTTACAGTAATATTTGATATGCTCGAATAGAGTATGCCACGCACACATAAACTTAAGAAATATGCAAAAAATATTAAAACTAAGAACACACACCACGAGTAGGTACTCGTGCCAGCGTGCCACATATCTTGACTTTGTAGGTATTTGTGTATTTGAAGCTATTTGCGTATTCTGACGCCGGGATAATTAATTAATCCAACAATTGGAATCGCGCTATTGAACACTAACTAGGACCTACCATGTTTTCAGCAAACAGTTAGCAGTCGATCTACTTGAACCATACATTTATTGGTAAATTGTATTTATTTCAAGCTACTAAGGTCCATAATATTATAGACTTATATACCTACATACGAATTAATATTATAATACTTATATAAAATTGCCACAAAGACAATTTTATATAAGTATTATAATATTAATTCTGTCACGACACTGACGACGGCAATCTTCTAGTAGGGCCGAATACCACCCCCTTCGGCTAGTACTCCTCCTTCATGAAGGTTACGCCACATTACGCCACCAAGATGGACATTGTGGACTACGACCGAGCCCCGACCGAGCCCCTCCCTTCCACATGCTGCCCGCATGTGGAAGGGAGGGGCTCGGTCCACAAAAGCCTTAAAATTTTTGCATTATGACGACTCCAGCTGCGACAACCTCAATGTAAGGCTACTACTCTAGATATAGTCCACAATGTCCATCTTGGTGGCGTAATGTAGGAGGGACAGGTACATTGCCGTAGTTGGTGTAGTAGCACGCAGCAGAAAATTTGGCTCCACACCATGGTTCCTATTGATCCTCTTTGTGCGCCTCTTCTTTTGTCATCGCTGCAATTACCAGTGACAGCACGCATAGGGTGAATGTTCAGTGCCGTTTTTGGCACACGCCGCTGTACAGAATCAGTTGTTGGCACGGCTGTGTGCTCAGGGCGAGAACCTATGGTTTAAGACTGCTACTTGCCTACGTGGGAAGACCTAGAGAGGGGTAAGTTAGGTTTGTTGTTAAGCCAAGAGGGGAGGCCGAGGAATTGTTAGTAAAGAGAACTAAGTAGTAGTTCTACTAATAGTACAATTGCAAGAAATCAAGTATGTCAGCTTGACATCTACTCGGAAAGCCAATGTCATTTTCTTTGAAACATGGCTCGATGGGCTGACTAACCTGACTTCATGCTCAAGATATAATCCTACACTGGTGCTCGTTAGCCCACTCAGATGCACAATTCAATTATTACACATTAAAATACCGTCTTATAACGCGGTGAGTGCTTACCGCTTTATATAGGAACTGCGCTATAAGAAACTAGAATTTACCGTACAAACCAGGCTAATTCGCAGCGCGTTCTATGAAAACCGTCTACCGCGTTATATGGAAACCATGCTATAAGAAACTCGTAATTGGTACAAATCATATCATTCGTACCGCGTTATATGGAGACCAATAAATACAACATAAATTGTAAATTATTTTTATTGAACAATATTGATAAAAAAAAATGAAATAAAAACTAAGACTGTTTTAAAAACAGTATTAGCAACAGACTGCTTTAACAATGAACACTTGTAAAATTATGTAATCTTTCAACACTCATCCTCTCTATCTATATATGTAGCTATATATATACCATAACACATTGAAGGCCGCTTTGAAAATCTTATATCTCACATAGGGACCGGTATTTTTTTTTATTGTCAATTACCTATAGATACTCTATTTTTTTTTAAATATATTTTAGTGTATAATAATTTGAGGTAGACATTATTTAACCCCTAGATTTCAATTAAAGTCCCCACGGTTGAACACGTCACGGTGGGTCACTTACGTGTTAACACACTTCAACGTGTTAGTGGGCAAAATGTCTTCCTCACTTTGTTTCATCTTCAAAATGGATTTCGATTGTTACAAGAGTCATTCATAGACTTGTCGAAAGGAACTTATGGGATACTGTTAAACGGAAACCGCGTTATTGGAGGGTCGACTGTACTATAGTTGCCACTGCAAGGAAAGAGCTCATTGGAACTTAATACTGTGATATACGTAACATATAGGTACTGATTAGTTTTCTCTATTCTGTCCACACCTCCAAGCGCTTTCTACTTCTGGAAATGACTTACATAGACGGTATTATGTTATTACACCTCATTTACATAACTATATCTAACATTGAGGGGAAAAGGATTTTTATTAATGTAGACTAAAAACGAAAAACACAAACTGATGACCCCATTGCTAGCAGTGGAGTCATCTGTTTGTTTTTTTGTGGTCATCGGATTGACTCAAGTCAAATCAAGAATTATACGGAGAGCAACTGTTTTCAAATAATTTTTTTTTTAATTATTTTCTAATATTATACAACTAATAAATAAAATACGTATAGAAAACCTTATTTTTTTCAAGGTAGTTGAAAAAGAACGAAAACTCAGTAAAATATTATAATAGAATAAATTAAAACCAATATTTCAATCTTTAAAATTGTCTTCTTTAATCACATATATTTTTTTACAAACATACGAAATGTTTAAATCATGTAATTCTGGAACTGTGTTCTCATTGTAATCTTTAGGAATTGAAGTATAATTACTTTTTAAACATTTCTTTTCATCAACACATGTACAAAAATTGTCAATTTTGTAATTATTTTTAATTGTTTTATTACTGTAATGAGAAAATGGATCTCTAATAGTATTCTGACTGTCAATATTTAAAGTCAATATCATAGTCAAGCTAGGATATATAAGAAATACAAACAAAGTCAGTGCCACTAAACATTGAATAGGCACAGCAATAGACCAATATTTTACTGGATAATAATATATATTTAAGTAATGTAAATAATGATCAGGTATAAAAGCCCAAATTAAGTATATTACTAACATAGTATTACTGAACACATACATAAAAAATCCATACAGTGATCTAGCTGGTGTAGGTGCAGGTGTTTGTTCCGGCATGATTGTTACATATATAAATTATCTCAAACGGATTGAAACAATTTCACAGTTTTTACGACTAGTAAAACATTGTTGAGGAAAGAATTTACAGCAACTCTAATTTTCTTCAAATCACCACCATTAAATTTCCTGAAAATAAATAAATTTTACACCGTTACTTTACACATTATAAATACATATATGTAACCGTCTGTGCTAACATAACATAGGCATCAGTAAATTGCTAGCAATGGGGAAATTGTACACATTACTAATAATAAACACACCCACCTCCAAATATAAGATCATATATATATATATATATATATGATCTTCAGATTCTTCCATAAAAAGAGAAAAAAAACCTCTAATGCTTGATTTTTACGAAGACATTAATGAAACACTGTCGATAAAATGTCTTTCTCTGGAGAAGTTAGAGCTCTGTACTGCGGTGCTACCATCAGATACCAGTTTTCTGGTCTTAAGTCTTAATATAAGAAGTATACAGCGTAATTTTGATGAATTTTTAGTTTCTTTAAATAGGTTGGAAATCCTCCCAGATGCAATTCTTATGTCTGAGTGTTGGCTAAGCAAAGACCCTTATATTCCACAGATTACGGGATATGTGTCGTTTTATACAAAAAGATATGTCAACAAGAGCGGTGGGGTTGTTGCTTTTATTAAAAATAAATGGAGTAGCTCAGCGAAAGAACCTTGCTTTACAGAGTGTAATTGCCTTCAAATGTCTATAAATAAAGAAATCACAATACTGGGCATATACAGATCCCCATCATTCAAAAACTTAGATAACTTTATAGCCTTTTTGGATGGCACTTTACTGGATATCGGCGAAAGTCAATGTATAATTCTTGCAGGTGACATTAATATAAACATAACCGATGATTCTCCAAGCGAGCAATGTCTCGAATATCTATGTATGCTAGCCAGTCACCAACTTCTTTGCGCTATTACAAAGCCGACGCGGGCAAATGCTTGTTTGGATCATATTTTTGTAAGAGACAAATCAACCAGTGTCGGAATAGTCTGTGGAAACAGCATAACAGACCATGATATGTGTCTTCTGGCTATGACTGGTCCCAATAAAGACAGTGTAAACACATCGAATCTGACAAAATTTACAATGGATATGCCAGCCATTGTTAGCGACCTTCAGTCTGTTGATTGGGGTTCAATTTACGACGCGAATGACCCTAATGATGCCGTTAAACAATTTTACAAAACTTTAAATTTCGTGATTAATAAACATACTCGAATATCTGTCATAAAACGAAGGCATTTCATTCGAAAACCATGGATTACTGCAGGCCTAATAAAATGTCAAAAAAACCGTGATAAACTCCACCAGCTGAGTAAGAAAAATCCTGATGATCCTATATGCCAAGTAACATACAAAAGATACCGCAATTTCTTGTTCAACTTACAAAAACGCCTTAAAACAGAATATGAAACCAAAATTTTAAGAGAGAATCAAAACAACTCCAGGAAACTATGGACATCCATCCATCCATCCATCTTAGCATGGGGTGGGGCTACCAAAACAAAACTGATTACACTTGAAAGAGCTCAACGCGCAGTCATTAAAGTTCTGTTACAAAAACCTTTTAGATTCCCCACTGAAGAACTATTTAAAGAGAGCAAAGTACTTACAGTACGACAAATATACATTTTAAAAGCAACATTATCAATGCATGATGAAGTTGTCAACTCCACGATATACGCGGCGCCGGACGAGACGACTCAACGTCTCGTCCGGCGCACATTTTTAATTTTCTGTTATGCCGATGATACAGTTGTCATTTTAGTATATCGTTTACCAATGTTACCAATAATTAACACTACCTTTATGAAACACCAAGCTGTTTACCTGCGTCCGTATATTTATAATAAAGTTTGCCAATTTCTTTTGGATATTAAAGATCTCCCTACTAAAAAACTAAAAGATATCGTGTCAAAGTGGTCTTTGTCCTATAATGACACAGAACTGATTCTAACTAATCTGTAGTCGATGATTCTATACAAAAGCACACGCCCACAAATTTCCCTCTGTATACGCACACACACACACACACACACACACACACACGCACACACACAAAACACGCACAAACGCACGCTCATATACCTACCCAGCCTACACGCAAACTTTACCTTTATTTTAGTTATTATTATTCTTTGTAAAGTACCGATATAACATTGGTTAATTTTGTACCTCGTTGAACTGGAGCCTGTTTTAAGTTAATGTTTTTGTAATTAAGGATTTCTGATTCCTGCGACACAAGCCCTGAGCTTAGTGCAGGGATTGCTGTTAATTGTCTTGTCTACAACCATCGATGTAATGTGTACAAAATAAATTAATTAATTAATTAATTTAAAAAAAAAATATATATATATAATATAATTAATATATATATCTAACTACGTGGTTAATTTATGTGCGGTATTTATATGAAGTATGAGTGAGAGGTATATCATCGAAATTTCTCTGCAAACTACTAAAAGAGCCTACTGAGAACTGCAGTGAGTTCTATACTAGTACATGACATCTAAACCTGCGCTACCATGCTCCTACCAGACTCAGACTGGGCAAGGACAGAAACAGGAGCAGTTAAGGTGAGTATTCATGCACATCAGCAGATTGGCTCCTTACATATATTTACTATATATTAAGGGTCACAAGAACCGGGAACTACTCGGAGTTTTCCTCTCTGCCACACGATGGAACCGGCATCCACAAGGAGAATCCATGGAATGCTAAGAATTAGTTTCACATTTTTTAATTATGTGTGAGATTTCCATGATATAAATATTTACTAACAGACTTTATCCTCAGGTACTGATGAACCTCAAAGTTAGGTATAAATCAGGGTTTGTAACAAGTTTGCTTCAATATAGTAGAGTATAATAGTGTGTGTGTGTGTGTGTAGCTCTTTGAATTTTGTTTATGTTAATAGGACTTGAGAACCCCACAGCTCATATATCCAGATTGGCTTGAGGATTATTTTGTATATGAGCAATTTATGGTTAGGCTTTGAGTTTCTTCCAATCAGCCGTTCGAAATTCCAATTATCGTATTTGATAATAAAGTCATCTTTGTTGGTTTGAATGTCCTTATATCAACTGAATCAGCAATCTAGAATCTAAATGCATACCCAGTATAGCTTCATAAGGAAATGTAGTTGAACACATCTTTACGGATGGACTGTTTCAGAGGGTAAAATTTATGTGGACTGATTTTGAGGCGAAAATTTTAATTATCCATTGTTTTAATCATAGACAATCTTTGCAAGACTGTTTTGTAGCAATTCTGTAGCATCCACTTGATTCATACTACAACATAGATACCTGTATTATCTGTAAAGGTAGGTATGGGGATTACCTGCATTTCTGTAAGATTTGATGTGAAGAGTGCAGAGATGTACTCATACTTGGAAGATCCTGTGTCTAAGGTAAGTTTTTATTGACCTATATAGAGGATATGGGAGAACAATTCTTGATGTTAGAGTATAACATGTCTTTCATGCATGTCAGATTTTGTCGAACACTTGTTGTATGTTTATACATGCTGCAGATCATTACTCTTATGCTATATATGTTCAAACGCAGCATGAACAACCTTACACACTCTATGAACCTGTTCTATTATGAAGTGTTACTATATGAAATCAAATTGGTGGCCAGGTACTACTAATTTTCCAGAGAGACTTTGTGCCAGGAGCAAAAGACTAATTAGTTGATAGAATGTGATTAGGCATCATGCAATTTTGGTAAAATAGTTCTTAAGTGCATTCTTGTCAATTATGTTAGCACCAGGTTCCGTCTTGTCTTCCATTTTAAGTGTTATTATTTCTCAGGGATTGTTAGTTCAAGCGGAGCGTCAATCTCCAGTTCCTGATGTAGTTACACATTCCTGATTACAGTGGGTTTCGTCTTTAATTTTTTCTTTAAAAGTTCTGCTCCACTTCAATAGTGCATCAGGTAGGCACGAGTTAATTGTGTTAACATGTTTGACAATATGGAAGAGGTAAGCCTCCTTGGTTGCTGTAGGGGAGCACCAATAGTATTCAGCACAGTATCACTGGGAGACTTAACTTCCTAGAATTGTACAGCAATGATTCAAATAGTCCAGTCTGTTTTTGTGATACTGCTATTTTGTCATTATTTTTTTATGTTAATAATTTTAAGAAAATTGTATTATTAATAACATGGGCAAAATGACCTGATAGTAAATAAATGTACAAGTAGATACTAGAGTTCTCATAGAATCTAGAACTAAATGATTTCCTGAAGACAAAGGCAAGACATACAGCTAATATGTCAGGTCGTATTAATACTTAACCTTTAAAGGCGACTGCCTAGGACAGCCGCATTGTTTGGTTTGTCTTTCCTTCAAAGAATGCATGATGTAAATAAAAATACATCATCTTTTACCCACATTCATACATCAACTTGAAAAGAGCTTATGATCTTCAAACTGTTGTAATGCTCTGCATAAAAAATCTATATCCAATATATAGATATAAGATAGCATTACTCTTTTGAATACTTCTTTTAATATAATACATTTAATTAAATGTTATGATAAAACAACAATATATAATGGTAAAATGAATATATATACTAACACAATAAGGTTAATTCCATCTCTAGACATTTCTCTGTGCACTCCACTGCATTTTAATTCTCTGTCTACATTTAAAACATCAAATGCTATTGAAGCGTTTTCCACTGACGAGAAGGGTATATTTAGACATCTGTAAAATTAAAATAAAGTGTAGATATAATTTCCACTCCAAATCAAATTGAATCAATCAATTACTGTAGTAAAAATTTATTTTGTAAAAGTGGAGTAGTCGATCATTAAAAATATACATACACATTTTTATCATTTTCTTCTACCATTTTTGAAATAAATGAAAAATAAAAAAATTGAAGCTTGCTGAATGCTGCAGTGCCTACTTAAGTTGTATTTTGGTTATGGTCGAAATAAATGTTATTAAATCTAAGCTACTCACTCCGTTTCACGCAAGAACGCAATAATAATTTATTACTAACTAATTAATAAGATTGGTCGGGATAAGTACAGTATAAACTACATCTAGAGGCTAACTACGCAGCAGCTCCTTATAGCAGGCCTGCTACAGGATTGTTTTCGTAAACCGTTCACCTTTTTTTTGTATGAACATTTTGAAACAATTCGTACCATGACGTCGCATTTGACAGCGTCTTAACGATTATTGCACGGCTGTTATGTCAAATAAGGCAATCTTGAAAAAGTTACTATACGAGTAACTTTTACTGAATTGTTTTCTGTTTTTAAGTGGATATTTGAGTATCTACGACTATATTACATAGCATTATTATCATTTTAACAAGTGGCAAATATGAATGGCGCTTCAATATTGGAATTTATTTAGTAAAATAGAGGTTTTTGTATACAAAAACTCGGATATGATACAAAGTGTTAAAATCGTGCAACAGTCGTGGACATGTGAAAATACTTTAAATATCTTACTCAGTTTAACATTTTTTGTATTATAGATGTACGACAAGTATGAATTATTTAAATATTTGGAGAGCGAACATTGAATGGAGACAATAAATAGGCGAAATTAATAACCCTTGCATATTAAAGGATGGAGAATTTATAAGTGAATATATCAACCGAAACAGTCCTTTCTACGAAAACAGTCAAGAAAACCGTAAACCACACCACTGTCTCCCAAACCACGACGTTGGCAAAATTACCGACGTCATTTGGTGGAAGCCATTTAAATTAAAAGAAGTGAATATAGGTAAAAAAAACTTATTATATTTCTTATTTACGTATCACTATCACAGTTATTCTGCTGCTTGTTATACTGCTACTGTGTAATGTATATAATTAATTTTATTAAGTGATTACCAATTATTTGTACTTGTTTCATTGAATTGTATTAATATAGCATCCATACTTTCCACCCACTGCTGTTGTATAGGTATAATATGTAGCTGACCATTAACATTGCATATTATGTATGTACATTATTATTATTATTATTATTAAAACAAATATCTTTATTACAGGTCCACAGAGGAGTTTCAACAACAGGCTTTGATGTAACCACTTGTAATATCTCTTCAAGAATCAGTAGGGCAGCAAAATCCTGAATTACAAGTTGCTCGCATCTAGACTTTTCAGCAGGCTACTGAAACAAATATTATTTTAAATAATAATAACTTAGGATACAATACATAACATTTGCTTAATGATTTCATATATGATTTAGTGCTCTATATACTTTATTCTTTGCCTAAATATTTCTTTTATTATTCTTTTTAGGTTTTGCTATTGTGTTAAGTTAGGAAGAAACACATAATGTATTTAACTTTATAATTTGTATTATAAAAAACAATAGAAATGTATAAATTAACTATGAATGCTTGTATTAAGAATAAAATATATGTATCATTGTATTACTTTATTACACACCTACATTACCTTCCAAATTAATGTCCAGTCAAATATCTCTCATATTTCCTTCGTCACTGGTCATGTTTTGTGATAAGCCAGCATTAATAGGAGCTAGATTGTAGAACCTAAGAAATAAAATTCTATGTTATACATACACCTAATTTTAACCTTACAATTATTGAAAAAAATAGTGTAATAAATACAGGTATTATAAGTTCCAAGTCAAGTGAAAGTATAGCATTTGCCTCGGTTACAAATGGTTGTACACTAGGATAAATTTTCACCTAATATAGTGAGAAGTTTCAATTCAATTTCTGATAATTCCTGACCTATTGCAGGCCTACATCTGGCATCTCTTATGAGGCGATTGTTTCTCTTATTTTCCCCTTCAAGTTCACACAGTACTAGATGATTTATTTATAAACACCATAATTAAGGGATTTAGAAATAGTATAGTCTAAGGTATCTCTCATTATGATTTTAATATTTTAGACCATTCGGGTACAAAATTAACAGATCCCTCGGCTATTAACCTAACCTTCAATTAAGAAGCTACTCTTAGCCACATACATTTCGAATAAAATTAATTCATCTTGAGCTTGAGTAGATTTCGTTATACCGTACTGCAATATTCTTAATATTAATCCAGAAATTCCCACAAATGTAGTTGAATGTAAACTCGTCGTCTACTGTGCTGTACTTCTAAAACTATGAACATAAGGAATATTATTTCTAGTGTAACAAGAACATTGTAGAGAGTGTAGAAACTCATGATATATTTTTTGTTTGATTAAGTAATTTTTATATAATATATTCCTTTAAAAAGTTACTAATTTTAATAAATAAACGAAAAATATTGGCACTCACAAAATTATGAATTTATTTTCACAGAAATACCTTTAACACAAATGGAAACTCAACACAATCTTGAGAAATTATAGTAATTTATATTTAAAGCACTTAAGGCATCAAATTTTAAACAAAAACTTTGGACGAAATCCTGTTGAGCACTTGAAAACCAAAACATTTTTTTGCACCTCTTTTTTGTCTTGTATCCATATTCTAATGCGTCTCGTAATGTGAAATTCTTACTGTACGTATTGTTTGATATAACACCTGATATATAATTGCAAAAATATTAATATTATTAAAATATTTTTTGTTTATGTAACTAAACAAAGGAGAATTTAACTTTTTAATTTTTCCCGGTTAAAAGCTAACAGCCCAGAGACAACCTTACGTTCACCCTATTACTAAACAATTCTTATACAGTTTACCTAATATGACGTCATAGCACGATTTTAAACAGGACTGTTTAGCGTGCTATTGAACTGCCCTGCGTAAGGATTGTTTCTTATTCGGTCATAGTAGCCTTCCAAATCTCATACGATTAATAATCGTGATAAATTGTCTCCTGTCGACGTCTTTATTGTTATGGTAGCAAGGTTTGGCGGGCAGGCTTCCTTGGATCTTGGCATACCATTTTCCTTTATCGTTAGCAATATTTATGTAATAGTCATTCCATAATAATTTTAGAGCATTTTCGAGGGAGCTATGCTAGTGAATGAAACTTTAAACAGATAAAAGTCAGTTATGTTACTTCTAGTAGTGCAAAAACATAATTTATTATACTTATTATTAAATACATCGATTTCGTGGAATTATTCGTAATAAATAGATTCTTAATTGCATTATATATCTATAGAGAAACTATTATGGTGTCTGAAGTCTACATATAGGGTGTAACTGTGGGGGGTACGATTCTATTCAAGACATTATTATTATTGGGATATAGTATGCTCTGTTACAACAATGTAAATACTAAAACAAACTTGCCATAAGAAAAAACACTCTCTTAATAAGGTCTAACTTGGCTAGTTTTCATATACGAAATATACTGTAGCCTTCGCAAGTTCTAAACATGTTACTTGTCGGTTCCTATTTTAATATTAGTAGTAACTAGCAATTGAAAGTAATAATTGGTATATGAGAACTGGCCAAGTTAGACCATAGGCTACAGTATATTATCCTAAGTTATAAGAAGAAATGATATTTTATATTGTTATAAATACATTTCAGGACAGACCATTGAACTTGGCACCCATTTAGATCTCATCTCTTTTGTCGTAGAAGTCAACAATCAAGGCATATATCATAATATTAAACTCGGCTATCATTTCACATTTATGTTTTTGATGGGATATACATTACTAATATATATATAATATACTATACACTTGAAATATTTTAGTCAACAGTCGACAGCCTTCCATTGGTACCTCTCCAGATATAAATTCAAGTTACTAATAAACAATGTAGCACACTACCAAAGAAATGGTACAATTATTACACCTGTGTACTCACTACCTATGATATACGACCGATGGTCGCGGGTTCGATTCCTCGCACGGCACAAACATTGTATTCATGAGTACGATTGTTTGTATCGGCCTGGGTGTTTTCTATGTATAATACTTGTACTTGTATCAGTTATCTAGTACCCATAACACAAGCTTTATGTATCTTAACTTGGGTCTAGATGACGCTGTGTGAATTGTCCTGAGATTATTGTTATTATTAATGTAGCGACACCCTAACATAAATGATTACGCTACAGTGGTTAGGTGATAACCACCGTGCTACACTAACAATCCTCTTTCCCCTAAACGAGCCAAAATTTCTCAAAATACGATACTGTCATGTATAGTGTTAGAAATATTTACTTTCGAATTTGCAGCATATTACGTAAATAAAAGATTATTAATACTTGATAGTATTTTCTATTTATTATAGCGCTGAATCATATATTCCATCAATGACTGTAATCGACATGATTAAAAAAGCAATCATTAACTCATGTTAATGATTGCTTTTTTTATCATATCCATTACTGGCTTTAGTCATTAATTCATTAGTGATTACCATCCATTAAAAGCCCAGGATGACACTGTAAGCCTGGGTTGAGGAGGTTTGAACAGCGTCCAACAATCAATTTTGGCGCAATTTATAGTGCATTCTATCTGCATTCACATTCATTTTGCTCTTGGGAAGCAGTAAAAACCAGCTAAGGCCAACAGCATTAGAGAAAATAGAAAAAAAAGTTGTATGCGATCTTTACTTATTTTTTATTTTATTTATACCTAATACTGTATATGTAGTTAGTGTGTAATGCATATATTTTAAAATACATGTATTTTAAAGAAACTATATTTAGTAATGTAAAAGATTTTATTAATGTTTCAAACACAGTTTACTATATACAAATTACTTTGTAAAAATATTTATTTTTTTCTTATCATTTACTGATTTATTATCATAGGCAACACTTAAAACCATAGTACAGAAAATAATAATGCAAATTGTTATATAAAATAGACAATTCATTAAATTATAATATAAGTACATAGAAACATAATTACGACTTGTTTTACTGCATAAATGTAAATATAAATAAAAATGAGTCATTATTATTCTAATAAATGGCATTTTTTATTCATGTTTGATTGCTTTAAGCAATTGAGCTGGCACCATATTGCGTAATATTGGGATCGATTCTGAATTTCGATTATCTACTTCATACAGAACAATAGATAACACTAATATGAATGAGTTTAGGAGAGCAATTATTTGTAATATAATTAAACTTTAATCATATTATGCAAAGAAGTACCAAACGATACTAGTAACTATGAGGACATACAATATCTATAGCGAGAGGATAGTTCCGAATTCTGATCGCTGTGTTTTTCTCGAACTACATCCATGCTTCATACAAAGATGTAAACAAAAATGTATTTGATATTATGCCGTGCAAAATATCAAATACATTTTTATAATTTTATTTTTAGGAATTTTTAACATGACAATAAGATTCCCTATATTACACAATTTAGTGTTAAAAATCTAATATTATTACATCATTCTAAATTACTATTGACAGAACAAATAATTAATTTAACTTAATAAATGGAAATGTATAATAAATATGAGACAATTAAAAGTAACTTCAGAATCTGTTCTAGAAACAAAAGTTGTATTAGAATACACATGATAATAGAAAAGGAATAGCAGAAATTGATAACAATAATAAAAATGAAATCACATAACAAGAATGGCGCAGAAATAATAGGCCGCTCGATCGCAATCGATACTAACTATATCGATTGATAATAGAATCCACTTCTACATTACGCGCGATTTATTAAAAGTACATGTATATCGTAGGCGGTAGACTATGGCTCAAATATTGTAATTTTGAGGCAATTGTGATTTACTGTTTATCATTTTCATCAGTGTATGATCAGTACAAATTACGAGAACGATGAACAAAGAATAAATTACAACCATCTGGAAATCACAAAATTTGAGATAGTTCTAACCACCTACGTTAACAATATGTATAATGTACCTATATACCATTATTATGTTTGCATAATTATAATCACACAGAGCGATGTTTTACAATGCGGAGTTCCCGGAAGTGTTTAGCGACGTGGGCCCCACGCGGCCGGGGATGGCTGGGGAGCGGCTGTCGTGCGGCCGGAGCCCGGCATCGTGGGGAACTCGTGAGTGGACGCGGTGTCCGGGGCGCGCTGTTCCCACGGCCCACCAGTCACGACGAACCCGGCGGCCGCTCCGCCGGCAGCGCCGGCTGCCTGCGCCGAACCGCTTTCCGATCCCAGCATGTCGCCGAAGTCGCCCAAGGAAGGGGCCGCCGGTCGTTGGTAACGATCTACCACATCTTGTAACTGTCGAAGATTATATAGCACATCAAAACTTTTGCGACAAAAAAGCGATATAATTTTTTTTCAGTTTATATATTTATATTACACTATATAGGTAAAACACCACGCAACAGCCAGCTATTTTTTATCTTCAATGTATAGGTGTAACTATGATTTGATAGTAATTTGAACTGGAAGTAAATGACAGATTTTTTTATCAAGGATATTGTTCTTCAACCCACCCTTGGAACAGTACTTATCTTTCACTTGTTTTCATAATACAACTTTCTTAACAATCCAAGAGATTTTATACCGAGAGGAAATGATTGACGAAATCAGACAGATTGACATTTTTAATTTCAGTCTGAATTAAGGGGGCGTTATCTATATATTCTATTATTATATATATATATTCTTCGAATTAAGAAGCACCACCATTACAATCTTATTTTTACAAATAATGAAATATTAAAATTGACTTACATATTCTTCTGCCAAATTAAGGAGGTGGTCTTTAGCATCCAATACTCTATCCTCGTCACCAGTGATAACAACAATACTGTCCTCAGAATTTTTCGGGAATCGAATATCGACCCTGTATTCCTCCATGATGCGTCTAATATTCTTCCCTTTTTGACCTATTAATCTTCGGTGAACACGTGGATCAATCTCAACTTCCTCTCTGCACTGGTTATCCTATTATATAACAATATAAAAGAATTATAGCAGCCACAATTATAAAATCTAAACTATAATTACATTGCTTATAAATGGATAATGGTTGTACTAACTAGCAAAGTTTGAAAATGTTAAATATTATTTTAGACATATTTAATTTTGTCAAACATGTATGTGATTATGAAAAATTATATTTTACATCATAAATCGACTTCGGATGGAAAATATAAAAAATAGCATTCATATTTCCAAAGGTTATAAGATACATAGATAAAGGTACACTTTTAAGTACCTTTTGTTTACTTATGTATATCTATATATCTTTGGGAATTAAGGTGTTTAAGACAGATTTAAACTTTCCTAGTTTTATTGTTTGTATTATGTGTTTTATATTATACTACACATGTAAAATTAATCGAAGTCTATGTGACATAATTACTTACAAGTTGGTGAACAATAGCCATAATAGCTTCCTTTGCTTCTATAGCCTTGTCCTCATATCCCTGAATTGTAATAATATCCTCCTCAGGTTCGCCGCGTTTTGGAAGGTTTATTTGTACTCCATAATCAGTCCGAATCTTCGTTATGACAGCACCTCCTTTACCGATCACCAGAGGATGATATTCAGGGTGTACTCTGAACTTCAGTTCAAATGATCTAGTTAACAATAACACACATAATTGAAATAAAAGGATATGATAACATGATGATACAATTGCGACTGTAATTCTTCTGCACAATTATTATTGCTATAAACCATCTCTAAATAACAAAGTGCAAAATCTTCTATTTTGTTCTATAAAGCAATTACAGTAAAATCCGACTGATCTGATATTGTTATGGTCAATACAGTAAACATTGTAGGCTTGTTCAACATTTAAAATGGTTATTACAATTAGACATTTCATCTATTATATAGTACCTGTGAAAGAAGCCAAATCATTCTAAAATTTTTAGGAATAAACATTATGAAGCATCTACAAAGCCTCACTTTGTAAACCATATAGTCAAAGGTAGTTGTTAATAAACTGCAGTTTCGAACTAAAGGTGTATAATAATAGTGCTCCCTTAATTTCTAGACTTAGTGATATTTTAATTGATAATTGATTGTCTACCTGTATATATTATAGTACAAATAATGTCAGTTTGCTGCTATTATACTGTAAAAGTGACGAGTGAATAGTGCATATTGGGCAGTTGAAAATTGCTTAATTGCATATCACAGAAATATTCTATTGCAAAGGTGTCGGCCACATATACAAATTTAGTATATAGAACTGAAATTAAATTTAAACTTACAGTGATTTTATGCATCATATCACGATGCATAAAATCACTGACATTTCAAATCATATTTCCATATTATCCTAATAATGTCCTGTTAAGACGAACTCTTAAATGTTTATGTTAATGCTGGCAACACTGTGTCTATGTGATACAGTGTACATCATTATTTGCAAGTTTGATATTTGAACAAATTATTATTCAGTACATGTTAATTTAACTTTACCTCAAAATTCTGTCTTCTTTTTCTTTCTCCATTTCTACAATTTTGTCGGCTATTGCTTGCTCAGCTTTCTCCACATTAGTGGGTGTACCGGTCACCTAGAAACGAAAGCAAAATATTAAATCTGAAAAAAAAAATTAAAAGTGACTAACACATTGTTTTTAATCACATAATTTTTAATATACATATATACATGGTAAATAATTACAATCTGAGATATATAAAAAAAAGTACATGAAATAATGTCAATCTGTACTACTATGTCTGGACCGATTTTGACGGGACTTTTTTTGGCAGGCAGCTGATGTAATAAGGAGTAACTTAGGCTACTTTTATTTTAGCAAAATTATCTAATTACGTTTTTTGTTAAAATCCACGCGGACGAAGTTGCGGGCACAGCTAGTTACAGATATAGTCGAGAAGGGAGATACATTTTCAGTTATCTTATTTAAGCAAGTAATATAAAGTAATTCATTAAAATAATAAATTCATAATCTCACCTTCACCAAGTCACTGTTCTCTTCACTTCGTGGTAACAGAATATGAACATCATATGTCTGCATTAGTTCTCTTCTCTTTTGACCTGCTAGTAACCGGTGCAGATCATTTGGAACTTCTACGTCGATAGTAACAGGCACCTAACATATAAGAAATTGCATTCAGATTATGAATCTTATACTCTGTTCCAATGGAACTTACGAAAAATAAACAAAGATGTCAGTGACCGGTGGGCTAATTATCTAACTTCGTTCGCAACGATTTTCGTATGTAACGTAGTGAAAATGACGTCATCTGTCAATAATGCGATTATATTGACGCCATTTGACGCTGTCAACTAGCATTGCGACGTAAACGCAACTTTACATATCGATAAAAATTATTTCTATCCAATGTCGATTAACGTGTAACCTCGTTGCAATGTCACGGAATCGCTATTTTGCCGAAATGACAGCGTGGAATTGAAACGGTTTTTACATTATAAGAGCCAATTTAGAAGGTGTTTCTTTTGGTTACATTCTTTAAAATATCAGCATTAGCAGCATTATTTATCTTGTTTTGGTAATTTTCAGTATTACATATATTTTATTGTATCCAAATATTACGTAAAAAGTCGTGAAAGGGTTTTAAATATATTAAATGGGAAAATTGTCACAACTCAAAACTCGACATCAGTGTTGCCAATTCGATATTTCATTTTTGTCCCAAATCACATTGAATAAAAAATATTGGTTCAAATTAATAAAAAGAAGTTGTATCAACTAGAGTAAACGTTTAATATAAAATTAGGGTTGTTTATAATATTAATATAATTAAAAAACTATTTCAATGAATACGGTGCTCTGTGAACGGAATACGGAACGTTTATGGTGCTCTGTGATTTGTTTAAAGTAAATAAATTTATTTGTTTAATGTTTTTACAATTATGTACAAATTTAAAAAGATGTGCCCATATCATTTTAAATTTATATGGATACCTACGTACTTACCTAGGTATCTATAGCAGAAAAGAAAAAATAATTTGTAGGTTAGATTAATATTATTAATGATTATAAGTAGTAATATGCTTTTATGTTCAAAATTATTAACCTTATTTTTTCAATAGAATAGACTTTTTTATTTTATTTTATTAAATGTCTATTAATAAAATTAAAATAAAAGAACAAGTGAACACTGCAGTTTATTTTGTAATTTTTGAACGCAATAAAAACTGTTTCAAATCAACCAACTATTATTATTATTAACGTATATTAGTATTAACGCAATAATTTAAAATGTATCCCTCTAAAGGTATAAGCTATCTAATGTACTCACTTTTTAAATTGGTCGGATTAACAATAGTCCGCTGCAACTTCATAGTAGTGTTTTATCGATAGAAATGATTTATGCTGCCGTCACTCGATCTTACTTGATCGCATTTTTTAAATTGAAATAATTTTATATTGCATCACAACTTCAGCAGAAACAATTTCATATCGTGTTACATAATTAGCCCACCGGACATAGACAGTCTTTGTGAGAACCAAAACCATAATGACTAAAAAATCAATAATTGTATTGAATATTATATAGATTAATTTATTGAATGTTTCGTTTTATCAATTTGATTATACATAATTACAAATATTTTAAACGCGAGTATTTGTAGGTGTGGATGAATGGTTTGTTACTCTTTCACCCAAAAACTACTGGATGCATTTTGGTGCAACTTTACAGTAATATGCTTATACATCAAAATAACATATATAAAAATATATTATGTAAATTGGGTATGCGTGATGCAGACGAAGTCGCAAGAGTCAGCTAGTACGTTAATATTACTGACAAATAATAAAAATCAAAGTTTGTAGTTAATTTACGAAATACGAGAAATTCAATTATTTCTTTTTTTAATGGCTACTCTTTTGAATGATGCTCTGACTTAGATTTTTCGTTTCTTTTAATTTTAGACTTCCACTGCCCGTGCCCCTCCAATCGATTCAATTCAAACGGGGATCGAAATTACGACGGCATGAGCCGAGATTCGGGCCCTCAGACTAAAGACGTATCCGTCAGGCGGGAGTTGGCCTTCAGCCGGTCCATAAGTCCTTCCGCGAGTTTGGAGTGCCACCTGCACTATCGTCCGGTGAAGCTCTAAAGGCTCTAAAGGGCATCAGCAGTAAAGTAGACCGAAAAAAAACCTTCCAAACACTAAAAAGCTTATTGATGGTATCTTTGAAAAACCTTATAGTCAGATTTTATCCCTTTGTTTGTTTGTATATTAGAAACTTGAAAGCAATGTTTGTTATTGTTGTTGTATCAAGAACTTATTATCGCATTACTTTAATTATTTTATATCACTATATTACAAATATATGTATTATCGTATTAATAAACAACATCACCTGTTCGAGTAAAGCTTTCTTTGCGGCTTCGCAATTTTCTGGCCGACCAGTAATTCTGATAATATCGTTAGAACCAGGCTCAGCATTCTCCTCGCCGTTCTTCTGAGGTACATCCGCGGCTTCACTTGTATCACGCTCTGGGAACTTGATTTGCACATCGTATTCTGCTGTTATGTCTTTCACCTTAGCGCCCCGCGCTCCCATAACTGTACGGTGATGTCTTTGAGAAATTACGCATTCAATTGTCACCTGAGAAATATAATATTTTCCTTAATTATTATAATTGACAGTTTACCTTCTAACAGAAACAACTAGTATAAAAGAAAGTGGATATGAAACTAGTAACCGTGAGCAATGTTACTACTCTTAAAAAATTAAAGGTACTTAATAATATAATGTAATAAATTTAGTAAATATGCCTGCTAATGTATTTGAATTTAAAAAACCTTAGCTTCCAAATCTTCTATAATTTCGTTGATGCGAGCTTTAGCGGCCTCGATGCATTCTTTGGGTCCCTTGAGTACGACGCGATCGCTATTAACGCCCTGTCTCGGGAATGAGATCTGCACACCGCCACAGTCATCTGCGATGCGTCGTAGCACTTCTCCACGACGTGCAACAAAGTGCCGGTGGTGTCGTGCCGCCACCGTCATCTCACCCTCCGACACGTTGCTGATCTCCGCCACCGCAGCCTCCAGTTGTTTACGCGCAGCTACCACCTGTTCCTCCCGTCCTATACCAGAAACTCTATTAATACTCTTGACTCTCAATTCCACTCCCATACAAGCCGGTATATTGTGTACAAGATATGTAGAAAATATGTTTTACGATACTAAAAAACATGCAACTGACTTTAAAAACACAGCATTCTTAATTAAACAGTTTTTATATTATGTATTATTCGTATTAAAGAATAATAAACTAATTACCAATTATGAAAATGGCTTCCTTGTCCTCATCTTTCTCAGTTGGGAAGATAATACGAGCTCCAGTCTGCTCACGAATTTTCTTAATATTGGCACCATTCTTTCCAATAAGGAACTTATGATGTTCAGGTTTAGCACGGACATGTGCCGTATGAGAGGTGAGTTCACGTTCAGATGCATGCGCCAATAGCTGTTGCTTTGCCTTCTCAACATCTTCAATCGGGCCTTTGATAATAACTTTGTCACTTTCACTATCAGCAGGTGGGAACTTTATAAGAACTCCTCCACATTCCTCCATTATGGAATGAATTAATTTGCCTCCTGCTCCAATAAGTGAATTGTAGTATTTAGGCTGTATGGTTACTTCTTCAGTTACTATGTTCGCCTTCTCATTGTGAATTTGTTGTATTTTTTTAACTGCTTCTTCAACATTTTCACGCTTTCCACGAACAGTAATAACATCACTGTCATCGCCTTCAGCAGGAAGATCTATTTGTGTCTGAGTCTCATCCCGAATTTTCCTTAGATTTGCTCCACCTTTACCAATGATAAACTTGTGAAACTGTTTGAAAATTGGAACTTCCTGAACATACGAAGATTCAGCAATCTCTTTTAGAATTTTGTGGAGATATTTTTCACATTTTTCAATATCTTCTTGAGGGCCTCTTAATTTAATAGGACTTCTTTTTTGACCTTGATCAGGGAGAGTAATCAACACTCTATCGAACTTTTCGCGTATTTCTTTAATCTTATCTCCTCTAACCCCAATAAGAGATTTAATGTATCTGTGATCAACGTAAACCTCTTTTGTCCTCTCATTTTCTAATTTCATAACCATTTCTCTCAATTCTTTTTCAGCATCAGCCACACCCTGATGACTTCCTTCAATACGAATTACGTGATTGCCTTCATTTTCGATAATATTAATAACTACGCCAGTCTCATCCTTCAGTCTGTTAACTAAAATGTAAGTATAACAATATTTAATGAAGATATATGATAATAATAATTTTAATGTTGGTTAATAAAAAATATTCTACTTACTGTTCGATCCGCTTTTGCCTATAATGTGTTTGAAAAATTTAGGGTCCACTGAGAGTTCAACATATGTCAGAGTGTCAAGCAAATTTTTTACAAAGTCACTAAGTTCCACTTGTGCACGTTCTACTTCTTCTGGGGGACCATCTATTTTAACTTTATCTTCGGAATGAGTAATGTCAACATGCACCTAAATTAAATAAAAAGAGTCAATTTGTTGTAAAAATATTTAAAAGAGACAAACTTTTTTGTAACCTAATTAAATATTAATAATTGTACGAAATATATTATTACCTTAGAATAATCCTGGGTAATCTTTTTAATATTTGAACCATTCTTTCCAATTATGTATTTATGAATCCATGTTGGAGCATCTACAGTTGCGGTTTTCACAGAGTTCGCTTTTTCACATACTTTGGATAGAGCTGAAACAAAAAATTATAATGTTATCCTTACTAATATTATAAATGCGTCTGTCTGTCTATCTCGCTCTCACGCAAAAACTACTGAACCGATTTAAATTATATTTGGTACACAGATAGTCTAGACCCTGAGAAAGGACATAGGCTTCTTTTTAATGAGAAAAAAGGGTTGTAAGGGGTTGAAATTGGGGATGAAATATTGTATGGAAGAATCGTAATTTTTTAAGCTAGAAACTTGAAACTTATTTTTTGAGGCTGTTGATTAAATATAAATAAATATGACATTCTAAGTTAGTAAAACTTTTACTATTAGGGGTGTAAAATAAAATAGGGAGTGAAAGTTTTTATGTAAATTCGTCATTTTTGAAGCTAGAAGTTTAATTTTATTTATTAAATATATATTTAGAAAAAGAGTTATAAGGGGTTGAAAGAGTTATGTATGGAAGTGTCGTCATTTTTGAAGCAAAAAGGATGAAACTTTTTCATTTGGCTTTTATTGGGTTAGGTCATTAAATATTTGGCAAACAGCATATTAACCATTAGGCAAACAGTGATTCATATGTAGTGCATTTAAAAAAATAAATTACAAAATATGTTTATTTATTCCTGGACCATTCACACAACTCCATATAATCCTAAGCTGAAAAGAGCTTATCATGTGTACTAGATGACTTATAGGAATACTTCTTTTTATCAATATATACATAATATACGTATAGAGAATACCCAGAATACAAACAATCATATTAATCAAGACCAAAGTCAATTCATTAAATATTTTTTCATTATTTTGTCAAGGTCACTATTTTACGCGGACGAAGTCGCGGGTACAACTAGTATATAATGTATACATATTTTAAATAATACTTTTGTGATAGTGGTGTCTTGTCTTCCTACACTTCAAGTTAAATACATCTTTCATAGCAAGTTGTTTGGGGGCTGTAATAGCTGAGACAGAGATAAGCATTCAGGCAATTTAGTACAAAGTCTACCTAGATATTTTGTACAAAGCAAATTTTATCATTATTTGTGTAAGGTAGCATTTCTTCTCCTCTTTTTTTTAATTTGACTCTGTAGGCGTTATTGGTTTTCTATATTTCATTAATACATATCTTGTTGTTTATCTATGGTCTTAAGCAAAAAGTCAAAGCCAAAAGGAAAGATAGGGGAAAATGAATTAATAGCGAGGAGGCGTGGCGTCCTGTCTAACAGCAGTAAATATCGAAAAAGGGTCATCATGTGTATTGATTGTTTTTAAAACATATGTTATAGATAATATATTTTGTAGTTATAGAAATATATTTTTAAAATTAAATGATGGAATGCAAGAAATAGAGTATTATAAATATACAAACCAAGGCCAATTTTATTGTGGGGTCCATGAAGAGTAATGGTTCCAGTAGGCGAATCAGGTGGCGGCATTTCAACCGATACACCAGTTTCCTTTAGTATCTCCTGTATGGTAGTTCCACGAGCACCAATTACATATTTATGTTGAGATTTAGGCACCTCTACTCGTACTGTCGAACATTTTTTTACCTAATAAAAATAAAGGAATAATTTCTTTATTGTACCCAAATTTCTGTATTAATAGTAGTTTTAAGCACTCAGTAGATTGAAAATTCTTTATTTGGGTAATACACTTTTTAGGGCAAAAATGTCTAGTTGTTGAAGTGTCCTTTTAAGCAAATAAATGCCTGTCCCAAAAGGCTCTCCTTTGCCATAGCTTACATAAATTTTCAAACTATGGAATAGCATATTAGAACTATAAATTAGTTTCTACATTTATATTAAGTTTTTTTTATCTGCCACTCGTTCGAAAAGCTATCTCATCACAAGAAGAATAATGGAAAATATTTACTTAGAATAATTGAATAAAAAGTTAGAAATCAACTGTTCTACATGCAATTAATATTTCATAACTTTCCTATGACATCACTCAAACATCATTACCATATCATCATGAATTTGTTCAATTTGTGCTTTAGCAGCCAATACTCCATTTTTCTCGCCAGCAATCACAATTTCATCACTTTGAGTGGACGCAGGCGGTATATGTATGCGGGCGCCGGTCTCCGCGCTCATAGCCGCCGCACGCTCACCATATGGTCCTTGAATGAATGGGTGATAGATTTTTGGCACCGTTATACGCTCCAGAGCTTTACGTGACTGTAATGGAAATGACATATTGAAGGTTTGTATTTTAATATCACTACAACTAAAAAATATCATGACCACCATATGGTGCTTGAGAGAAAATAATTTTTAAAGTAAAATATAAATTACGAAGTACTAAAATTAAGCAATTATTTTTGTGTTGGACAGGCCATTTGTCGAGAAAGGCTTTATTAAGCTAAACTACGCTACGACCAATAGAAACGAAGCATCAGTGAAAAATGTCGCAAAAACAGGGAAAATTATTTCAGAGCTTCCATTGCATGCGCTGCGTAAATGGCTCAAGTTACCTAAAAAATATGTATAAAGTGTTTTTGATAACCACGCGAACGAAGTCGCGGAACATAAAAATTATGTCATTTTAAATATATGCAGAAGCATTTAGAATTCTGTATTAATTTATATTGTAATATTTTAAAACCATAGTATTAATGTCTTACTTGTTCTTCTGAGCAGACTCTGATTTCATGTTCAGCTTTTTCAATTCCTTCCTTAGTGCCAGTTATAGTTATTGTCTCACTGTTATCGGCAATTGCTGGCACACTGATCTTAGTTGCTGTTACTTTCTCAAGTTCTTTCAGCTTTTGGCCTTGTTTACCCAATATCCAACGATGGTGTTCTTTCGGAATTGAAATTTGCTTGCTAGCCTGTAGTGAAGAGAATCAAATGTTTATAAAATTAAAAAAAAAACTGCTATTAGTGGCAAAATTAAATTACATTCTTAGTGTATCTTGTTGAAACTAAAACACACCAGTATTACACCAATACCTGTCTGTTACACCACTATATTTCCTATATTAACAATATTATTGACAGTAAGTATGTAAATACATACTTACTGTCAATTTGAAATTGGAAACTGTGATAGTTACAGTTGGTGCAAATGGATGTAAAAATATTGAAAAACATCTAATACTAGTTTGCAGGCGAATTTTACAAACGAGATACATATCTCTCTTTTGTAAAACTCGCCTGCATATCCTACTAGATTTTTAAATTTCCTGCAAGTTGATTGCTACATTACTATTTGTTTGTAGTCAAGTGATCAAGTTGTACCTGTTGCTGGAAGTGAGTCAAAATTTTACGCCTTGCTTCAAGGACAGCACTATGCTTTCCAGTGATGAGAAAAGTAAGACTGCCATCCTTGCTGGTTGATATTTCGATATGTGCTCCAGTATCCTTCGTTATAGCTTGGCAGGTTCTCAATGACTCTCCCTCACCAAATGTATTAGCGTTATCCAATTTCCTTTCTTCGTATGGCACATGAAATACCTAAAAATAAATCTAAAAATTAAAAAGTGCATTTGTCTGATGTACTATCTATATCTCATTTTTTTACCTTTTCATGTATAACCAGCTGAAAGGTTCCAAAAGAAATTGGAAGTAATGATAGATTGCATTGCCATAACCCTATACCCTATCTTTTATATCTAAAAAGGATTTGGGTGTAACAGAGGATGAAAATTTGTATGGGAAATGAATAATTTCTCAAGTAAGGGGATACAAAACTCATAATAAGGATAAAAAACACACTACTCAAAACACAAATTTTAATCAGATGAAATCACTGGCATCAGTTATTATAACAAAAATCGAATGCTTATACAACAATAATATTCTAACTATAGGATACAGGCTAATAAGACACAACAGTTGTATATAAACCAGGTCATTTATCACCATTATAGAAGTATCAGTCTACAAATATTAGTCTAATAAAAGAACTGTTTAAATATTGAAATAGCCTTGTAGGAACAAATACATATTTTTTAATAACTTAACATGAGTCAAATCAATTTCATTATGCCATATTTTTTCAGCATGACACAGCCATCCGGTATGTCTGTGCACATGTGTACACAGACACCACGTTAGATGACGTGGATGTACATAGATTGTTCCATGCAATTACAGAACCCCGTCAATTTAAATAATATGACCAAAATTACTTAAAATAATGACTTTCTAAAATTATAATGACAGCTTTGCACACATGATATCATTAAGTGGAAAATTTAAAAAAATGTTTCTACCATATGTTTACGTTATAAAATAAATATCTGTTCCAAATGTCAGTTTTCTAGATTTACTAGTTTTGACTGTATATTTTGATAGTCAGGCAGGACTAAAGGTTCTAGAAGCATAGATTATTATTTATTACGGAATATAAAATAGTATGTTGTGATATTAAGTACATACCTGCGTATGCAATGAAGAGCCAACACGTAGTTTATTAGTGACCAATTGAATGTTACGCTGCACGGGAGGCTGAGAATTAGGCAGAGCAGGGAACAGGTCATCATAAGCATAACCGGGTCCACTGTTCTCATACCCAACATTATTCATCTCCTCCCCATGCACAGGTATCTCAGAATGAACGGGTAACATATCTCCAACCATCATGGATTGCTGATGCATCATTTTTGCCTCCTCCAGCAGTCCTTGTCCGCGCCAAGTCGTTACAGTACTGTTGAATACAAGAAAAAATGTGTTACAAGAACAATGGAATCATTTTACAAACATGTAGAATTAATATTTACACTATATATTTGAACAAATGTTTTAAACCATATACCATATATATGGGACATTATTGTCGCTGGTAACACATAGGTTTTAAATATCTAAGAGGTCCATACACAGTGCAATAATTGTATCGCATTTAATTCTTTGACCATATATGAATGATGGCTTTAATTAAAATAAATCTAGTTGATCGATTATAATAATCCAATCCAACTGAAGTGGCAATAAAAGAGCAAAAAGATTGTCAAGAGTCTATCTCCTCTACTCAAATGCGAAAAGTAGGAATCACCACACTGGGATGTACTAATATTGATAAATAGGTTCTATAATGATGCAGCTTCTTATTGCAAGATATGTTAAAGTTAATATTAACTTTGGTGTTGCCTCAATGATCAATTGCCAATCATTCACGAACCTGTCACATAATGAAACATGACAAAATACATAACTCATAAAGCTCGAAAAAAATAGTTCAATTACTATTGTCCTGAATGAGTTAATAAAAATATTTTCTGTGTGATTACCATCTATTTAAAAACAAAAAAAAATATTTCGCCCACATCTTAACTCACGCTAACTAGTTATAATAGGTATGTAATGACGTTTTTTTTAATTTAAACATACACATTCAATCATATTTTATAAATAAATGTTTTAATAAAAAACTTTATTATTTTAAATAATAATAAAAAATAAACAGGAATATAATAACTTGTCCAGGAACAATAATGTCCATGCTCACCTGGCGAAATTAAAAGACCTAAATTTGACATAAATACTGCTAAAGAATGTTATTGATCTTTAATAATGCCCAGATTTGTAAGTTTAGTTAGAAGTAAATAATTCATAATTCAAATAAAACAGTATACCATAGTGGATTTAAAAGAAAAACTAACAAGGGAAGAAATACTTTCATACTATATACATTTCAGATACAAATTGAACATTACCTATGTTGCTAGCATTTTATGATTCTTAACTGTAGGTATTCATTTAACCTACATTAACACAAAATTAATGAAGTAAGTATAGGTGTGGAATACAGACTACTTGATTAGTCTATGTTATATATTTATAATATAAGCCTTATATTTTGTATATCAAATTCTATTGCCACTTCTTTCTATTGTTCCTTTTATTTTCCCTTTCTAAGCCTAGTTAATAATGTTTCTTTGTATAATATATATAATATACAACAACATCTTCAACAATTCCCTGGTTTCCTTTATCACCCACAGTGCACAGTACATATTAATAAATAGGGTTGTTACAACAAAATATATCCTTTTATTTACATTTATTTCACTTAAAGTAATATTGTTTTATAAAACAAATTACCTTCTTATAGCGTCATATTTCTACAAAAATACACCATTAAAATATTTAGCTATCTGAAAGAATGTAGTAGAAAAAAAATAGTTGGTTTGTAGTTAAATACAGTAAAAATTGCTATATGTATAGAAACTACAAAAATGTATTTTTGTGTTATTTAATACAAAGAAAGGAATGGATATACTAGTGAGTATACATTAAATTTTGAAATATGTTGTGAAAACTATATAGAAAACAAATCATCTAAAATAAAAAAACAATGAATCAACATATCAGTATGGCAGGTACAGGAATAATTTGCTACAGCTGCAACATTATTTGAAAAATTTACATTTACACCTGTCAATTTAGTCCCAGAGATTAAAAAACAGACTATAGGTACTTTATTTTTTACAAATTTAAAATAATTACTATTAAAAAAATTCATGATTAATTACAATAGGTCTAGCATTCTTAAAATTATTATATACATAAAGGAATTAATGTTTATTAATTAGTAACATGTTTCTTTCTACTCAGTTTTACCAACTCCTTTGGTATTTTTTTATATAATAAAAGATAACAAAATTAATTTTGATTGATAGTAATAACCTAATTATATCTATGAAAATATTTAATAATGTCATAAACCTATGTAGATTATGATTGTTACTATATCAGATATAATATAATGATTTAGATAAATACATATAATATTATTTGTACATTATATATGTTAATATATCAGCAAATTAACTTTAAATTTGTTTCTTTTAATTTTTTAGGTCCAATAGAGTTTTTTGTGAGTATCCATAAATAGGTTGTGTGTACAGCCGCATTTATTAAGATATTACATTAAAAGTTATAGAACACAAATTTTCCTTGTATATATAAAAAGAAAGTAACAGGAATAATTTCGTGAAAGAAAGATACTTTTATTACATAGTTTAGAGAAAATGTTCCAAGTATTCCAAAATTGTGATAATACGTGTCACCTTCCAACACATTTGACGTGGAACTCATTCTCATTCAATATCAACACTCACCGTAAGTACTGTAGCAAATCAATCTGAAAGTTTATCCCTTTGACGCCAGGATCAAAGATTCTTTCTCCTGTGTAAAAATATAGAATTATATTATCAAATAAAAAGAAGAAAACAATCCAATTTAATTAAAAAATGTAATGGATAAATACCAAATGCGGTGACGAACTCGCGAGGAGAAAGACAGTATGGTATAGATTATCAAAATTGTAGATTATAAAATAATGTACCATCATGTTATTGGGCTATTACATTATCACATTTACAATCTAATATTTAAGAAATTAAAATATTTGTGCAGTTATGAACCCATTTAAGTATTATTAGAACATATGCTGATACTTTGCTTTTTCGTCTTACATTTTGACTCCAAAATGTAGAATACTTTATTCTACAAATTTGGAAATGTAATACCCGTAGTAGTCAATAAAGTGATGATAATCGATATTATTCGATGAGCATCGATTTTTAGTTAGAAATATTGATGTTTTGTCGTCGACGTTTTATATGAAATTAACAAAAGCAAAAAGAATAAATAGTAATTCCTACAAAAATCAGTAGATGCTACTAGACATCGATATTTATAATACAACGACACTTATAGATCGATATTTTTCTATTATTATTCATTTTTGCATTAGATTTGCACTATAAATGCGCGGCTTTTATGATATGGCTAAATTTTTTGTTTTCGATTGAATTAACATGTTATTGCCATCATAATCGCACTAGAGCGAAAGCGGAATAGAGAGACGCATTTGTCGTACGCAGTCGTATTACTTTTACGATATTCTTCATTATATTCGATTAGAGTTAAAATTAAAAAGAGTAAAATAGCAAAAAACGTGAATATCTAACGAAGTAGAACAGAGGAAGCTATATGATAATTAATACCTCTATATTTTCTTGATGTACAAATAATTTTAATTATAAGCTATATTGTCAAACATATTTTGATAACTTTCATTAAATAAAATAATTGTAGTTTGAACACATACATAGATAGATATATCTATCTATCTAATGTGAATATTTAGTCACATTAGAAATTTATTTGAATAGCGAAATCTACCCACATGACAAGCACCTACTTAACCTACTGTTTACAGATTAAAAATGTAGATGGCGACATCATCTTTTAAAAAGTGACATACGCGACTCCCTCGCCCTTCCCCCCGACCCCGCCGTGTGCTATAATCAAGACTTTTCTAAGAAAAGTTGCATTGTTATTTAAAAAACAACTATTCATTCCAATTATCGTTGAGTTTTTAATTTGTTTTCTATGATTTCAATATAATGGATAAAATACCTAGGACGCATGAAGGTAATATTTTATAAACAATACTTGTATCTTGCATCCCTAACGCCAGCCATTTTATTACACATGTTTCTATATTTTCGCCGTCAATTTATGATCAATATCTATTTTACTATAATTATTCCAAATCCACTTGTTAATGTATGCTTAATATCGTAAGTAGGTGTCCTACAATAATATACTGAAACAAATAATGCATTGTTCTTTTGCTCACATTTAGTTATTATATTTACAGCGATTGAAGCTCAAATAAGAGAAATACAATCTAAGAAAAGTGAACTACCAGAAAATGGTGCAAATAAAGGCGTTTCCCTGGGAGAGACGTATTACGACAGTGACATATATGATAGTTCCGGACAGGGAGGTAAATCAAGGTACGATGGATATGTCACATCAATTGCAGCTAATGATGAAGTTGAAGATGAAGACATAGAAAATGTACCAATTTCACAAAAGAGGCCGGGTTACACAGCACCAGCATCCTTACTAAATGATATTGCACAGGTAAGAAATATTAAATAAACTCAGTGTATGCATGGATTACTTTCAATTATTTGTATATAGTGAAGAAAAATTTTAGTAGTTTCTGATAATTACTTCGTTTCTATTTTCTTATCAGGTTATCATGTAATAATTAATTGTCATATTATGCAATCTTTTTTATAATCCATTCCTATATATTAGAGATTAAAAGACAAAAGCATAATCTTAAATACATATTACAATGCATCATCTAGCTTCATAAAAATGCACTCATTTTAGTCAAAATGCATTTATTATTGGAATTTTTCATATAACTGTCTGTGAAAAAGTATATATGTGGACCGTGGTTGCAAACCAGCTATTTGACCCTATCTATTATAATTGTAGGAGTAATAGTTTTCTTGTGGGTATAAAACTTGAGCCTAACAATTCAACTTTTAATTTTAGAGTGATAAAGATTATGATCCATTTGCTGAGAAAAGGAGACCAACTATTGCGGACAGGGAAGATGAGTATCGTCAAAAGAGACGTAGGATGATTATATCTCCAGAACGTATGGACCCATTTGCTGAAGGTAATTAAAGTAACATTAGCTTGTAATTTTAAGAGTACATAATTTAGTTTTCAATTAGTACCAAGTTTTACTATTACAATTTTCAGTGTATATAAAAGAAATTTTGGGAATAATATTAGTTTTTATTTTATAAATTGATACCTTCATGGTTAACTTATTGATGTAGATGAAGATATGTTTTTTTTGTGGAAGGGGTAGATTAGGGGTTTGGAATAACAATCTGCCCTCTTTTTTTTTTACTGTACAGCTATTTTTCAGCTTCTGTTTTCAGATATCTTTCATAGATATTGAGAAAATAAATCTTATTAAGGGTTGTCACCCAAATTACTGCATTACTAGGGGGGTTTGGGATATGAAAATAATAGTATGGTTTTTCTGGAGACTACAAATATATAAAAAAGGTAAAATTGCTTCAATAGATACTGGTGCAGATTTCATATGCTTAACTGGGTAGACCCTGTACTATATGTCTACATTTAAATAAATTTAATTTGGTGTTAACATGTACTCCTTAATATGATAAAAATAATTATTTTCAAAATATGACTTACATTTCACAGGTGTAAATTATCTTTATTTTTTGATGATTACATATGTATTATTTTCTTCCCTACTTTAAAGACTTTTCTTGTCTTTTTTGTATAATAAATTTATGTTTACTTCTTGGGTTGTAATTATGTACATCTTGGTTTCATTTTAGATTTTGTTGACACCTAAATACAGGGTATAAAATAATTGGTTTGGGGTGTAATTAGATGAGATGAAGATATCCACACAGATGCTTTGCCCATAATTATAACATTTTAATTCTACAATAATAAATCCATTTGATGTCTTTTTCACAGGTGGTAAAACTCCAGATGTTGGTTCTCGAACCTATACTGAAATTATGAAGGAGCAATACCTTCGTGCTGAAGAAACAGAGGTGAGTTTCAGTGTTGTTATATTAATTAGAGACATCATAATTGTCAAAATATCCATCATACATTTATTCACACATCTATAATTTTGCTAGTTGTAAATGCACAATTATAGATGAAATGATAAATTGTTCATATTAGAAGTAACGACATAAAAAATGAAATTTTATGTTCTTACTACTAATATGAACAGATGCTCTTATCATTTTGATTATCAATGTGTTTACTGTTAGACATTATTATATTATCTAAATAAATACATTAATATATTTATTTTCAGTTACGAAAAAAGTTATTAGAAAGAGCACGAGAAGGAACTCTCAAGCCTGTAGCACAGCCAAATGGTGAAGCTGTAAAACCAGTGGCAGCCAAACGCAAGGGACGCTGGGACCAGAGTTCAGATGATACTCCATCTGTAAAAAAGACACTTTCTGCTACACCCAGTTCACAGGCAACACCATCCTGGGATACAGAGGTAAAATCCTAGTTATTTAAAGTTAAATGTATATACAGTGGTGGTCATATAATTAGAAACACTTCTTAAGAATAAAGAAAGTATAACTTAAACGTACAAATTATCGAAAAAAATATATACATTCAATCATGCAATAATATAGCCACTCAAATTAAAAACTCATTAAATAGATAAAATATAAAACATATTTTAGTTTCAATTACAAAATCAGTCTTACCTATGTAGAAGTTTCATTTTCTGTTACTTGCTGCTTGGACACCTAATTAGAAACATTTAAAAAAAAGCATCAATATATCGTTCGTTGTTTGGAATCGAAGAATAACATTTCTTTCTTGCCTTTTTCTATTATTTTGGCGGCAATTCAAAATTTAATCTGATTTGTATTTTGTTCTAAATGGGCAAAATAAAAGTGACGCGTCAACTAGGCAAATAATTGTAAATTTACATGTAGATCATAAATGGGCGTACAGAAGAATAGCTGAGCATTTTCAAATTGTTCTATTAAGAAAGTTTTTAATGCAATTGATTATTATAAAACACATGGCTATCATGATACTATTGAAAATGTTCTTAGAGAGGCTCAGCGAAAAAAATCCTCTCTCAAAGAAGTCATGCTAATCGTCCGAGTTACTAAAAAAGATCGATTTAAAGACTCCAACCAGATTAAAAATGAAGTTTTTTGCCTGCTGAACCGAGAAACATCTCGTCAAGACTGATACGCCGAAGATTAGTAGAAGCTACATTGTTTAAAAGAACCTATCGAAAGGTACCGCTTCTTTCCAAGCAACACCGAGAGAAGAAATTATTAGAGAGAAGAAATTATTACTCGCTAAAAAATATGGTAATTGGGATGTAGAAAATGGAAAAAAGTGTTATTTTTAGATGAAACGATAATAAATATGGTAAATTCCGATGGAAATTGCTATGTTAGATATCCTGTAAACAATGCTTTTAATTATAAATACACAAGGGGTATAGTCAAGCACAGTGGCGGTAATATTAAAGTTCGAGGATGTTTTTCCGAATATGGAGTTGGACTCGTTCCGAATATTGAAGATATAATAATCAATGTCAACACAAAAATATGTTAAAGTACACAATGATTCTCTACTCGGACGATCATTTGTCTGTAACCTGGATCTTTCAGCATGAGAATAACCCTAAACACACGGCTAATAGCGTCAAATGTTTCCTTAGCCCAGCGTATATCCGTTTTAGACTGGCCAGCAAATGGTCAGGATTTAAAAAGATAAAAATCTTTGATATATTGTTAAAAAGAAAGTCTTAAACTAACGTAACACCAGTCAAAACGAACTACATGAAGCATTTGTTGTCGATGAAGCATGGAATTCAACCCCTCTATAAAAATGTATGAAATTGATTGAATCAATGCCATATCGCTGCAGTGCTGTTATTGAAAATAAGGAATACGCCACTAAATATTAATTGTAACTATTGGTAGGCTGTGGGTAGTAGCTATTTCGTAAAAAACAATACTAACTACTAATTCTTTAAAAAAATAGTTTTTTATACTTTTTTGTTGTTGTTTCTAATTAGTTGACCACTATTGCTCGTACCTAAAAACTGATTTAAATGTTTGTTCGTAATGTAAAATTGAAACTGCTCTAGTGTAGTGGGATTTATATTGTTTTTCCAATAAATGATGAATCGTTGAAGATATTGTTGTCCTATTTATTGTTTTATTTCAAAATAAAAATGATTGCGGTGAAGTATCTTACATAATGTCAAGAACCGTTGGTAGTGTTTCTAATTATGCGTCCACCACTGTATATCTCCCCCTCATTGGTAGAAAAATATACACTATTAAAAATCACAGTTTGAAATATAATGAACTGAAAAATTCAGCAGATTTGCAATTCAATCATTGTCTTCCATCACTCAATACAAATATCATTTATTCAAATAAACTTACATTGAAGCACTTTTGAATAGTCGTCACATTTTTTTTTCTAATATACCGCTTATTTGGAAAGCTTTCTCATCACAAGAAGAACGAGCAAGAAACTTGTATGTTGCTCTTTTAAATAATTTTATTCTTACTTACAATTTAAGTTTATTATAATTATTATGGCATATATTTACTATGTCATGCTATAGGCGTGTATGGAGACATGGGTGGTGGGACAATGCCTGCCCGACACAATGAAATGTTTAGATAGACAAACTACATCTTTGGTAACAACACTATGTTTTTATGGACAGTCATATAAAAATATGCTCATTTGATTCTTACTTTCAAATATAAAGTTTATTAATCTTATATAAATTACGACAACCTACTATAAACTGTGGCACAATAAAAATTTAATGACCCTATCACTTTTTTTTGTAGTCTTTATGACTGGTAATATGCAACATATAGTGTTCATAAACTTTTTCTGTTAGGGCTGCCATATAAAGTACAGTAATGACCTCATTGCTAGCAATGTATGTTCTAACAAAAATAGATCTCACGCTCATATTATTATCCTCCTCTGGTACCCCGCCAACGTATCATGTAACAGTTAAAAAAAACCTCTCCATATGTGCTTAGGCTTAGTCGCAACTCTCTCACACAGAATAAAAGTGAAGCGATGTGTAATTTTTTTAAAACTTGTAACTTGTAAAAGTGTAGCTTTACGGCGTTTATTCGATAACAGAGAGGCGCGTGGGAGGAGACGCCGGGCGCGGGCGGACGCGGCGGTGAGACACCGGGCGCGACACCGTCGGCGCGCGCCTGGGACGCCACGCCCGGACATGCCACGCCCGGACACGCCACGCCCGGACGCGACACTCCCGCGCACCATGCCTCCCGCCGCAACCGATGGGACGAGACCCCCAAGACCGATAGAGGTAACTATATTCCTTTTGTTATCCACGTTTATTTTCCTTTACACAGCACATTTTAACACGCGCTGGAAAGACAGCGTGCGCAATCGTTCGATCGCGTATGATGCGAGTGAATTTCATTTCCAAAATGTTATTTTATATTACACAGTTATTATTTTCCAGACATGTTTAAAGATTTAAAAATTATCAATATACTATAATTATGTCTTTGATGTATAATCAGATGTGCTCCATTTTGCAGTATTAATTATTATTTTTTATAAAAAAAAAGCGCTAAAGAACTCACGATTGAAGAATGCGGGAATGTGAGAGCTGGCGAGGCGCGGTCTTTCTCGCTCAAAAAAGAATATTTTGTGTTTCAATAATTAAATATATGATTGAATATGGTTTGGAAATGTCACAAGATCTAGGATAATTCCCACCTCTTTAATGTGTGACACGTCACATCATGGATGACGCTTCTTGTAGGTAATTGACTCGACATGTCATTGTTATGTTTAGTTATAACAATAATTTGTTAATAGTCCATATCAGTGTTTCTTAACGTGACGTCCACGACCCACAGGGGGTAAACTAGAAAATTGACTCTTTATCTATTAATATCTCTAGAAAAAATTGAAATTCACATTCTATATAATTTATATAGAATGTAAATTTAATTTTTTTTAGATATTTTGAAATTTTACTTACTGTTTCTTTAACAAATTCCAAGTGATTACGTACTAAAACTTATTTAGTCTTTGTGTTTAATGTCAGAAATATTAGAGAGGCTAAGGAATCTCGCATCAAAACTAGAAAGGGTGGTAAACACTGATCTAGGTAAGTTTCAAAATACGTGACTTAAACAAACTGTTTCATCATAGAGACTCCCGGCCACAACAGCGGCTGGGCGGAGACGCCCCGTACCGACCGTGGCGGTGTAGACACCATCCAGGAGACGCCGACGCCGGGCACCAAGCGGCGTTCGCGATGGGACGAGACACCGGGCGCCACGCCCGTCGCCGCCACTCCCACGCCGTCGCACGCTACACCTTCTCACGCCACGCCCTCGCATGCCACGCCTTCGCACGCCACACCCACTCCTGGCCACACGCCGGTGTTCACACCGGGAGGGGTAATATAACAGATATTATTCTTTTTACAATCTTTTCACTTTCTTTGATCAAATCTACACAAATCATATTTGTAAATAATCGTTTTTGATTTTTGTACTTTTTTCTTCCAGTCAACTCCTGTAGGAGTAAAGGCTATGGCCATGGCCACACCCACACCCGGCCATGTTGCTGCTATGACACCAGAGCAGCTGCAGGCTTACCGTTGGGAGAAAGAAATAGATGAGCGTAATAGGCCATATACCGATGAAGAACTGGATGCCATGTTCCCAGCTGGGTACAAGGTTTTGCCACCACCGGCCGGTATGTACATTTTAATTCGTAAATCTAGGCTATTTATATTATCATATGAAGTCTATATATTGTAGATAAGTCTGAGGATGAACATCATAGTTATTAATCAACACTTTAGTTTCAGGACACATGTATTAAACAAAGCCATCGTCATGTGGAAATACTGCATCGTAGTGAAATGTCATTAAATACATGTGTTGTTGAATTTTAAATGATTATGAATTCATTTTAATACTCACTTTTTCTTTCAGATGAATGATGACAATATGGCTTTACAGTCTCATGCCGTTGGATAGACTGCCAGATTAAGCTTTACAATATTCTCAATTGCTGATTTGTGTACTTTAAGACAATTACTATGATGCATGCTTTACATTTTCTGTGTCGGCATGTGACTGTATAGTTAATTGTGTATATTGTTGCCCAGGTTATGTTCCGATTCGGACTCCGGCTCGTAAGCTGACCGCAACACCAACACCCTTGGGTGGTACCCCAATCGGCTTTTTCATGCAGACGGAGGAAGTCGGAGGGTCCGCTGCAGCCGCGGCGCGCCTGCTCGATCCGCAGCCCAAGGGTAGCCAGCAACTGCCCTTCATGAAACCAGAAGATGCACAGTACTTTGACAAACTGCTCATTGATGTCGACGAGGATACACTCTCCCCGGAAGAATTAAAGGAGAGGAAAATTATGAAGCTATTACTCAAAATTAAGGTAAATTTTATATTTCAAGTTAAGTCATATACTGAAGGTAATGAAATTGTACCATATATTGAATGAGTATTTCACAATAATGAAAAGAAGATATTGTACTGACTAACTTGTTTTAATATTTTATTTTTCAGAATGGTACGCCACCTATGTGCAAAGCTGCTTTGCGCCAAATCACAGACAAAGCACGAGAATTTGGTGCGGGTCCACTTTTTAATCAAATTCTACCATTGCTCATGAGCCCGACTTTGGAAGACCAAGAACGTCATTTGCTGGTTAAAGTTATTGATAGAATCTTATACAAATTAGATGACTTGGTTCGACCTTATGTTCACAAGGTATGCACAGCTATTTATAAAGAGTTTTATTTATAATGTTATATAAAAATATTTGTGTTATTTGTCATTTTCATAACAGTATGCTTAAATTGCTTAATCATTAAGCAATCTAAGCATATTGTTATGAAAATAGGCTTAGATTGCTTAATGATTAAGCAATAAGGTTTTTAGCAATTAAGATTATGCAGTATAGATTTTGGTAAAACATTGTTAATTTGCTTTTTGAGAATTTATATGCTAATGATGATTTATTACAGATATTAGTCGTGATTGAACCTCTTCTTATTGATGAAGATTACTATGCTCGTGTAGAAGGCAGAGAAATCATTTCAAACTTAGCGAAAGCAGCAGGGCTTGCCACTATGATATCCACAATGAGACCTGATATTGATAACATTGATGAGTATGTGAGAAATACGACGGCAAGAGCATTTGCCGTTGTAGCCTCTGCTTTAGGTAATCTTGTTATAAGACTTTACTTATTCAGGTTGTCATCTTTTGAGTTTGTTAATATGTACACTGTTTTTTTATTTGTAGGTATTCCTTCTCTACTGCCATTCTTGAAAGCTGTCTGTAGATCAAAGAAGTCATGGCAAGCTCGCCATACTGGAATAAAAATTGTACAACAAATTGCCATTCTTATGGGATGTGCTATATTGCCCCACCTAAAATCTCTTGTGGAAATCATTGAACACGGTATGTTAATTAATTCTTTTTTAAATTTAATTGGGGGAATAGGGGACCACAGAATATTAATAGTTTATACAAAGTCAAGTACTATTTGTGACACTAATCTTAAGTAGTTAGCATTATGGTTTACTATATATATATGGGTACATATCTTCAAAGTCATATCGAATTTGGCTGACAGGAATTAAATATATTTGTCTGTCAATTTACACATATCTCTCACATTTTACTAGAAAGAGAAACTAACAAATGAAATCAATCATAGATGGGTGGGACGGTAGTGGTGCTTCATCCTATGTTAAATTCAAAATATACTCAGCGTATGGATCTGTCAGGGCTAACATTAACTACGACGACAATTTTCCTATTTGGGATTATGGTAATGGTCTTCGCTACTTATACGACCAAAGGCTGATTGTTAGAGTATATGTTATTGTATAGGCATGGAAGGATGTATATATTAAGCAATATATAAGTTTTTTTTTTATTATTATACATTTATAAGTATTATATCCTGGCAGGGTCGCCATAAGGGTGGTGCTTGTTAGGCAAATGACATGCACGACATTTGAGTGTATACTGCTTGATTTATTGTTATAATAATTAATAATTATATACTACTAGCTACTCGCCCGGCTTCGCACGAGTGTTGTACCTATATTATCTATATAAAGCTTCCTCTTAAATAACTCTATCTATTTAAAAAAACCGCTTCAAAATCCGTTGCGTAGTTTTAAAGATTTAAGCATACATAGGGATAGACAGCGACAGGGACTATGTTTTATACTATGTTAGTGATATAATACATACATCCTTAAAATAGGCATGATGACTGATTTTAAAAAAATACTCCACGATGTTCTTACATACTATCTTTATACAATTAAATCGTATTTTTAAAAAAACTTAAGACTGATAGAAATATTGCTTTTAAAAAAATACAATTTAGATTTCGCGCAAAATCACTAGAATAGCAATGGCGTCGCCTGTGACGTCAACCATTCGTAAACACTTGACAAGTGACAACTTATAGTAGAGTTATACGTTTGTTTGTTAAAAGTTTTTGAAGATTTAAGCGCAATAATCATGAATCCCAATATGTATCGATGGTGTGCGGTCCCTCAATGTACTAATACAATAATAAAAACGCCGAAGAAATTATTTAATTTACAAATAACACAAAACAACTTTGTGAGAACTTCGTATAGTACTATCACAGATAACATAATATTACATACAGATACCCCATCCCATACAAGAAAATGGTTCCTTCCTAACTCGGGCTATTCTTCGGCCTATTTTATTTCGCCGCCGTAGCCGCTAGATGTCTCTAGATCTGAAGCAGTTCGGATTACTAGTGGGTGCTTAGTAACAAAGCACGAAAATAGATGGCAGTCAATTCAGTCTACATGACATCTGTATTGCAAAGATAGGTATATAATAGATATATAGGTAACTGTATCATGTACCTCATTAGGGACGATTCAAGATTCAATGTAAATGTGTAGGTATAATATCGTTAGCCGACACTGCATATTTACCCATTTTTGTAGGTTATACAGAAATAATTTGTGGGTGTTCATTTAAAAAGCATTAACACAAAATTAATAAGGTATAGGTATTAATAAATATATGGTTGTTGTATCAAAATAGAATTTTCTTATTTTTCACTAAAATAAAAACTAACTGTCTTTTTTATAAAATAAATCCCATCAAAAACATAAATGTGAAATGATAGCCGAGTTTAATATTATGATATATGCCTTGATTGTTGACTTCTACGACAAAAGAGATGAGATCTAAATGGGTGCCAAGTTCAATGGTCTGTCCTGAAATGTATTTATAACAATATAAAATATCATTTCTTCTTATAACTTACGATAATATACTGTAGCCTAAGGTCTAACTTGGCCAGTTCTCATATACCAATGATTACTTTCGATTGCTAGTTATATTAATATTAAAATAGGAACCGACAAGTAACATGTTTAGAACTTGCGAAGGCTACAGTATATTTCGTATATGAAAACTAGCCAAGTTAGACCTTAGGCTACAGTATATTACCTAAGTTATAAGAAGAAATGATATTTTATATTGTTATAAATACATTTCAGGACAGACCATTGAACTTGGCACCCATTTAGATCTCATCTCTTTTGTCGTAGAAGTCAACAATCAAGGCATATATCATAATATTAAACTCGGCTATCATTTCACATTTATGTTTTTGATGGGATATCATTACTTTTTGTACATAAATTATACGAGGTACTTATTTATAACTAAATTAATACCAAATTATTTTTGATAAATTACTGTATTTTCGTATATTTACGGGGTATAATTGTCTTTTTTTTGTGTTATTTTCTATATTTTCTTGTAACTTTTAAATTTTCATGTGCAATGCCAATTCAGTATCAGGAATTTTTGGGCAAATCGGGGCGGTATAACGTCCACAGTTGGTTGTACTCTACAATAGGGCTCTCGTGACTTGGATCTAAATTGTTGAGACGTACTTCATCTAAGGTTTCAACTCTGGAGAGTCCAACGTAAACCTGCCCTTTATTAAATATAGAGGAGGCTATGTTGAGAAGAGGTCTGCCAAAACTAAGGCCTTGTGATTTGTAGATAGTAATAGCATATGTTAAGCAAATACGGAATTGTTCTCTTTCAACATATACATTATTTAATATCTGAAACTTCGTATTGACACGTTATAGTTCGTAAAGACGATTATGTAACAAATTGACTGTTATCTATTGAATTCTCAAGAAAACAATTTGTTACCAATGAGTTCTCATTCTCGAGTTAACTATACATTCCTACTTATAACTATACTAAAATTCTTATTAATTTTTGGTTTAAACTATTGTCTATACCATACGTATTTACTAAAATAATGTAATAATAATATAATCACAAATATATAAGTATAGTTTAAGAAAGCTATAAATTTCGTAGCATAAATCGCAACCTTATAGGTTAGATATCGAGAAACAAAACATTGAGACATGAGGGCAGCTGCCATTCGCTCGGACAGGTTCGCGTCAACGTTTTATCGCACCGCTCCCACACGGCGCCGCCGCGGCGCCCTATACCGAAATGCCTATTATTTAATAATTATTTATAAAAATAATGATTTTACACTATCGATGTGCGCTAAATATTGAAACAATAATTAATACCAAATCTCAGTTAATAACATAATAAATACGAAATTCGACTATACTCCTAGTTATAAGTACGAGTATATTTTAGACAGAATCTAAATTATAGCAACTAGTGTTTACCGCTCAATGCAATATTTGAAGTTTGCTAGTTATCGGCACTGATGTGAAGGGATCAACGTAAATTGGTAATGATCGACGTTTTCATACAATATTACTTTCCGTCCAGCACAAGATGAGATATTTCGCCAGGGATCAATGTCAATTGGTGGCTATCGACGTTTTCATAGAATTTTAGTATTCGTCCAGTATAAGTTGAAATAGAATCAATTAAAGTGAAAAATTGTAGTAAAATGATAACAATTTACCAGTTTCAGATTTTTTCCTTTATATTCACCTAATTACCTATCTGCATACCAAATTTGAACTTCCTAGGTCATCTGGAAGTGGGTTATAATTTTGATCTATAGTTGATCAGTGATAAAAATGACGATTTTTGGACATTAATATCTAAATAACCGTTTGAGATATGTTTATGAAATTTGGAACACATATTTATCTCGCAAGTCTCAATATATGAACCAAATTTGACAGGTTTGTGTGAAAGAGTTTTTGAGTTATGAGGGGGTCAAAAGTGGCTCCAAATGGTTCGTGTAAATATACACACGGTGCTGCAAGCCAGTTTACTTGAAACTCGGCTTGACACGCTGCCGCGTGTCTAGATGACCTTTTCATTGTGTCATATATTATGAAACTATTTAAATTATTTAGCTGATTGTAAGGAACAAAATGTTGGTTTGTAGATTAATACTGTAAAATTACTATTTGTACGGAAACGATAAAAATATATTTTTGTGCTGCGACAAAAACTAATATTATAAATGCGAAAGTAACTCTGTCTGTCTGTCTCGCTTTCACGCCAAAACTACTGAACCGATTTGAATGAAATTTGGTATACAGATAGTGTAGACCGTGAGAACCGACATAGGCTACTTTTAAATGCGAAAAAAGGGTTGTAAGGGGTTAAAAGGGGGGATGAAAAATTGTATGGAAGAATCGTCATTTTTGAAGCTAGAAGCTTGAAACTTATTTTTGAGGCTGTTGATTAAATATAAATAAAAATGACATTCAATGTTTGTAAAAAATTACCCTTAAGGGGGTAAAATAAAATAGGGGATGCAGGTTTTTATGTAAACACGTCATTTTTGAAGCTAGAAGGTTGAAACTTATTTTTGAGACTGTTGATTAAATATAAATACATATGAATATGACATTCATTGTTTGTAAAAAAATTACCGTTAAGGGGGTAAAATAAAATAGGGGATGATAGTTATTATGTAAATTCGTAATTTTTGAAACTAGAACGATGAAACTATTTTCATTGGTTCTTTTGGGGTAGATTTTTAAATACCCCACTAATGTTATAACTGTGAAAGTAACTCTGTTTGTCTGTCTGTCAGTCTTACGCTCCAAAACATAACAAAAATTTAAATGAAATTTGGTACACAATTAGTTTACACCCGGATAAAGAATATAGGGTACTTTTGAATGTGAAAAAAGGATTCTAAGGGGGTTGCAATGGTACGCTGTATGGAAGAAACGTCATTTTTTAAAACTAGAAATTTGAGACTCATTTTTAGGCTGTTGTTTAAATATCAATAAATATGACATTCAATATTTGTAAAATTTTTACTCTTAGGGGGAGGGTAGTAAAATAAAATAGGGAATGAAAGTTATTGTGGAAATTTGCTGTTTGTGTGGTTGTGGAAGCTAGAACGATTAAACTTTTTTCTTTGTCTTTTTAGAGTTAGTTTATTAAATACCTTACTGATATTATAAATGTGAAAAGTAACTTTGTTTGTAAGTGTGAAAGTAACTTTGTCTGTTTGTCTCGCTTACACGCCAAAAATACTGAACCGATTTATATTGAAATTTGAAACAGACATAGATAGACTAGATATTAAGAAAGGATATAGATTACTTTTTAATGTGAAAATGGGTTACAAGAGGATTGAAAGGGTAGATCCAAGGTCATATAGATGTATCGTCATGTTTAAAGCTAGAAGCTTGAAATTTATTTTTTAGCCTATTGATTACATATTTATTTTTATTTTTTATCATTTTTTAAGCTAAAATAATGAAACTTATTTATTTGACTTATATTGTGTTAATTGAGTTAAATATTTTTAATTATTTACGCGGACGAAGTCGCGGGTACAGCTAGTTTTTAATATGGCAACACTTCATACATAGGTATTATTGGAAATAGTATTCTTGCTTGTTCGGCTATTGTTAATTTACTTAAACTTTTTTTATATGTTTAATTTACAATAATAATATATTAAGTGCTTATTATTGGAAAATATAAAAAAGACATTAAATTAGGCCGATACAAATGACGACAATGCCATCTATGAAATCGTTTTGAAAACATTGAGCCCCGTATTAGCAATGATTAAAGTGTAATTAAATACTGAAAAATAACAAAATGAGTAAATATATGAAAATTACTTTTCTAATCGCATTATTTCATTTTAACATGTATATATAACTTTTTAAAAATAGATTAAACATTTTTGATAACACAGTTTTGTTTTTTTAAACGTTTGCAAAACTATGAAGAATTCCATCGATACCAATCACGCCATCTGTATGCAATTTTTAGCAATAATAATGGCTACCTTCCCACGAAGTGCCACTGGTACTATGTACATCGTTGCCATCACAACAATAAAAAAATGCTAAACCTTGATTAAAATTTTGCTAAAATAATGCTAACATTTCTCAAATAAAACATAATTTGTTTACGTACACGTTTTTATTATATCATTAAAATCAATAAAATTTATTTTATTTATTATTTTATTCAATTATGTTATCGAACAAAATCAATATGTAATGGTAATGCTGACTTTAGATAATTTAGGTAGCATATTAACGACTTTGATAGTCGCGCTTTATTACTCGTTAAATTTTATAGACTGTAAAAACTTTCTTTCAATACAAATTACAGTATGTATGCGATATTGTAATCTATTTCTATCTCACATCTTTTTGTATAAGAGAAAGGAAGGGAAAAGATGCTGTTACACATAGCCTATAAACGGTGACTTGAACAAACAACAAATATGCTAAAAAACGTAAAAGTATGCCAAATCTAGCATAAAATATGTTAAATTGACAACACCGATGTTGTTTACAAAATTAGTGACGTCACGTGCTCCTGATTGGTGTTCGATCAATCATGGTGGATTGATATGTTTTGCATTTTTATTTTTACTAAAATAAATATAATCTCGTTTGTAATCTGAAAATAAATGTTTAAATATGTATCAGCCTATGATATAAAATTATATGAAATCCTGTTTTCGGACATTCTTAGATAGTGTCATCATGCCTATTGACCCTTAAGTAACAATTTGTATTATAAGTAATAATAATAATAATAGTATATATTTTGCAGGATTGGTTGATGAACAACAAAAAGTACGAACCATCACAGCCTTAGCGAGTGCCGCTCTCGCTGAAGCCGCCACCCCTTACGGCATTGAATCATTTGATTCTGTACTTAAGCCACTTTGGAAAGGTATCAGAACCCATCGTGGTAAAGGATTGGCAGCTTTCTTGAAAGCAATTGGTTACCTTATTCCTCTTATGGATGCTGAGTATGCTAACTATTACACACGTGAAGTGATGCTTATCCTTATTCGTGAGTTCCAGTCTCCTGATGAGGAAATGAAGAAAATAGTATTAAAAGTAAGTTGTCTTTTTATTAGTGTTGCCTCGGCTGCATGTACCCGTTCTCCCAATCCAGTAGCATTTCGCAAAATTGTTTTATAGTTATCATTCTGTGTTGTTATATAGACAATATTCTAATTACGATTTATTTCTTATGATTTGTTTAATGTGCAGAATTGTTTCCATTTCGTCTGTTTCATAAATATTTTCTTGAAAACATTGCTCTGCACAACTCCGCCGTCAATGTGTGCGTATATATTTTTAGTATATTTAATTTGTATATGACTGTACAATAATATTTTATAATACTGTTTTAAGGTTGTTAAACAATGCTGTGGTACTGATGGTGTAGAGCCACAATACATAATGGACGAAATTTTACCACACTTTTTCAAACATTTCTGGAATCACCGTATGGCTCTTGATAGACGCAACTATCGTCAACTTGTTGATACCACTGTTGAAATCGCCAATAAAGTAAGTACAATTGTCAGTAATTTATTTAAGAATATAAAAAAGTGAATATTTAAGTTGTACAATATTAAAATTTGCTGTTCAATTTTTTTTTGGAATATTTGTTACAGTATCTATTTGTTTAGTGCAATCTTTCATTATTAGGATTTTTATTCATATTTTACCTGTGTTTGTTTTTATGCATATTTATAAAAAAAAATATAATGTCACTCTCTCACATCATCTCTCAAGAGTGAAAGGATGAGGATGAATCCGTGCCCCTTAGCCCATTAAGGACTCAATTACTTTGCTAACAATGTCATCCCCTTAGTTTGGAACTAGATGATGATATGTTATATTTAAGAACTAGCTGTGCCCGCGACTTCGTCCGCGTTTAATTTAACTTTATTTTTCTAAAATAAAAGTATCCTAAGTCCTTATTAATTATTAAACTAATAATTAATAAGGACTTGGCTATTATAAAATAAAATTATTAAACTCCTCATTACATAAGCTACCTGCCAAAAAAGTTCCGTCTAAATCGGTCCAGCCGTTTCAGAGATTAGCCGGAACAAACAGGCCGACAGACAGACACAAAAATTGTAAAAAATGTTATTTTGGTGTATGTACGGTATTTACATTCATATAGTAAAAAACAGTTATTTCATATTACAAGCAGACACTCCAATTTTATTAATGTGTATAGATTACAGTGTTACTTTAATTTACTTTAAAGGTTGGAGCCTCTGAAATCATAAACAGAATAGTTGATGACTTAAAAGATGATAATGAGCAGTACAGAAAAATGGTAATGGAGTCCATTGAGAAAATTCTTGCAAATTTGGGAGCTGCTGACATAGATTCAAAGCTTGAGGAAGCTCTTATTGACGGCATTCTTTACGCATTCCAAGAACAAACAACTGAGGTAATTTATATATAGTACTGTTTGTTAAAAACTAAAAACTAAATAATAAACTACAAATGTATATTTTTATTACTTATTTAGTAATTTGGTAACACCATATATAATAATTATCTTATGACTTTATTTTATTTATAGGATGTTGTAATGTTAAACGGTTTCGGAACAATAGTGAACCAGTTGGGTAAACGAGTGAAGCCCTACCTGCCGCAGATTTGTGGTATTATTTTGTGGCGTATGAACAACAAATCTGCCAAAGTGCGTCAACAAGCTGCTGATCTTATTTCCAGGATTGCTGTTGTGATGAAAACTTGCCAAGAGGTCAGTATATGAATAGTTAGTAAATGTACCAGATAACTTTGTTTACTGTAAAGAAAAAATTAGTATTATGCAGTCCATAATACATTCCAATAATAATCCTTCGGTTATTTTAAATTTTAATTGGATGTTTTTTTTTTCAGGAAAAATTAATGGGACATCTTGGCGTGGTTCTTTACGAATATTTGGGTGAAGAATATCCCGAAGTGCTTGGATCAATACTGGGCGCACTTAAGGCTATCGTCAACGTTATTGGTATGACGAAAATGACACCACCCATCAAAGATCTTCTACCAAGACTGACACCTATATTGAAAAACAGGTACTTGTGGATTAGTTTGCAGTTACTTTACAAAATATAACGTATATTTTTAATTAATATATAATCCTTCATGTATATTCAGTGTATTTAGGATAATTATAGAATTATCCTAAATACACTGAATATACATGTGTATCATTAATGTCATTCCAGCAAGTTCAGTGCATTGACTCACCCCTGTTATATACATTTGTAACTTCTTAACTAATAATTTTATACGTATTATATGTAGTTCTGATTTTTTACAGGTCGTAAGGACCATTAATGTAGGGTCCTAAACTAAGGTCTTTCAAAATTAAAAGGTTGAGTTGTGGACTGTAAATTAGATGTAATAGTTTAAATATAAAAAATACAGAACTCCAGTCCGGCGAGCCGATGATGTGCGAACAATATGTATCGAAAGATTACTACATTTTGTGTTTGTATATTATTCTATTTTATTATAACTTTCAGACATGAAAAGGTACAAGAAAATTGCATAGATTTGGTTGGGCGCATTGCAGATAGAGGACCAGAATTTGTGTCTGCTAGAGAATGGATGAGAATATGCTTTGAACTCTTGGAACTGCTTAAAGCGCATAAGAAAGCTATCAGGAGAGCAACAGTAAACACATTTGGTTACATTGCCAAAGCTATTGGCCCTCATGATGTGTTGGCAACCCTATTAAATAACTTAAAGGTTCAGGAGCGACAGAACAGGTAAAATTGAATACTATTTATTATTGGAGCTTTGTCATCATCAGAATGACTGTTTGACCTAGACCTGTAATAGCAAGGCGCGGTCAATTACTATTTTGTAAATAAAAATATTATTTTTATCACCACATATTTAAAGGAATGAACAAATGGATATTAAAGTACAGCTATTATACTATTTTATTTTCATGTGGCCCTTACTTTCTAAAAGGTTTCTGACCAGGTATCAGAAACCTTTTAGAAAGTAAGGGCCTAAATCTAGATCAGACTAAATATTCTAGTGTTTTCTGTATATAGATATAATTCATGTATTTCTAAAAAAGTGTGTCATTTATTTTCTTTTGTTTATTATTTACAAGATTTTTTTAATTTTCTAGAGTATGCACTACAGTTGCAATCGCCATTGTTGCGGAAACCTGTTCACCTTTCACAGTACTACCGGCATTAATGAACGAGTATAGAGTTCCTGAGTTGAATGTACAGAATGGCGTTTTGAAATCATTATCATTTCTGTTTGAATACATTGGTGAAATGGGCAAAGATTATATTTACGCCGTTTGCCCGTTACTCGAAGATGCCCTTATGGATAGGTATGTTATAATGTAGAAATTTATGTATTAAAGACAATATAAATTAGCAGACTATAGTTTTTAACAACATCAGCATGCTATGGCGCGCAGAGTATTGTGAAGTCTTAGTTTTAAAACTTTGATTAATTTATATCTCAAATTATTTTCTAATATTTTCTTAATTTTTTAGAGATCTTGTTCACCGACAAACTGCGTGTGCAGCTATAAAGCATATGGCGCTAGGTGTCTACGGTTTTGGTTGTGAAGACGCCCTTGTACATTTATTAAATCACGTGTGGCCTAATATTTTTGAAACATCACCACATCTCGTGCAAGCATTTATGGATGCTGTGGAAGGCATGCGTGTAGCCCTCGGTCCTGTTAAAATTCTTCAATATGCATTACAGGTAATATAGATAAAATGGAGGTCACAAATTTTTCGTATTGAAAAATATCATTACTTTTTAATGCCAAAAGTTATTATTATATTTATAGTACAAAACTGTATAACCTATTTGTTTCAGGGTTTATTCCATCCCGCGAGAAAAGTTCGTGACGTCTACTGGAAGATTTACAACACTCTTTATATTGGGGGACAAGATGCGTTAGTAGCTGGGTACCCAAGAATACAAAATGATCCCAACAATCATTTCTTAAGATATGAATTAGATTATTTGTTGTAACATGATTACGGTGTAAGTGTATTAGGTGTTACAATTTTGTGAAATATGTTGTAAAGTTGCGACTGTCAGTTTTTTCTGCAATATACTTGTATGAGTCGATAATTTAAGAGTCTACAAGTTTTAATAATATATAGGTATACAGTAAGTCTTAAAGATATGTAATTCAATTTTTGTTATTTTCGTTATATCAGTACCAAGTAGATGTTAATATAGAAGACTAGTAACACTTGCCTCTCCTTAATTTCACGAGATCAATCTTCTTTCAATAATTTTATATAAATACCAAATAGTCTAAATTATTTAACAAATTTATGCTGTTTTTTTTTTAATTATGATTAAATAAAACTATAATATTGGGTTTTTCATGTCATTACTCATGTATGTCATTTAAGCCTTTTTGAATCCATCTATGTATTTATATTGCCTTTACCAGATATAAAAAAGGATCATATATGTAGCAAGTACTTCCTTGTCTTCTACGTCATGTTAGTAATTCACAAAATTTTTGTCATTAAACTAAAATTGTCGTATTACATATTTTGCTTTTTTTTTGCAAATTATTTTGTTAATGCAGTCAATCTATATGTATTATGAATGAGCGACACATACGTCTCGTTTACATAAATGACTGATAACAGAATAATTTTAACATCTATTACATAGTTTATTATTACGTTAAGTATTACATATGTGCTCTACTAAATTATATGTTTTGCTTCTTTCTTTAAAATGAATTTAAATTTATAATATGACAAAAACACTTATTAACTGAGATAGATATAATTTATGTACGAATTTGACATAATTGGAACTTGTAAGTGAATACAAATTAGTGTACGATCAAATTATTTTGATATTATTTTTTGCCACTCCTAATATCTTGGCTTAGTGTTTTTTATGGATGATAATGGAATGGGGCACTCGCCTGCGCTAACAGTTTACGCTGCCGAGGCGCCAGTGGAGGATGATAAGATGAGCATGAGGTCAGGTCAGTTAACCCATCGTGACATGTTCACCAAGAATTTATCACGTTGGTTTCTAGGGGGAACCGCGTGGAGGTCAACCTGACATGGTACATTGCTAGCAATAAGATCATCAGTCCACATTACTAATAATCGCCTTTCCCTCCCTTAGCTCAGTGTATAATCACCAACATTTTATCGTACCTTACTAGAACTTCCTAAAAGTAACAACTTTGTAAATAATATTATAAATATTTGTAGCCATACAAGAAATAAGACCTATCAAGAACACATTAAAACAAAAGTAATATTTTTATGGCCAGATTAGATACTACTTTATTATTATTATAAGGAAGGATGACAACAATAAGAGTACCTATCTAAAGATATTTCAAATAGGTAGTATGGTTTCTGAAGTACTGATAGATATACTGATAGTATGTGACAGATAGACAAAATAGAACTCATTAACGGTCAATTTTACTTTCTGAGACCCTAAAGACTACAATAAAATTTGTAAGAGTTAATAAGCTGACCATTGCAAATAAAATATCTTCAAATATTATTTTTAAGTAGCAGTCGCGGTAGAATATTAAAACAATGTAGCATTTTTATGTAATTTTATTTCAAGGACAAACAGCAATATAATAAACGATTTGGTTTAATGCTATTATATAAATTGTACATATTAATTACCTACATTACATACATTTGAATACATAGAAATTATAGGAATGTTCATAACACAATGACTAGAAAATTAATTTATTCCTATATTAAACCTACAAATGCGTTTTAACTTATAATATCATAAATGAGCAAAAGCCGATAATAATTTAAAAAACTTGGAAGTTACTTATAAGCAATAATATCACAATATCAATATTGAGAATTAAATATATGTATGTATAATAAAAATTCTGTAATAGGCCTGTGCAGACGTGGAAATTAGTTTTTTGCCAGCAGGGAACACTTTCTTTGCATTATAATTGTCACATAATGTAATTTTATTAATATATATATTTATAGATTTTAACATTAATAATTTTATGTGGCATTTACCTTTCTTGTCGTTTCGACAAGGTTTCACTAGCCGTAACACGTGCAACTTAGTCGAAACTCATTTAAATATATAATGTACTAGACGCGAAAGATTAGTGATAACTATATGTAATTTTATCTTAGATGATAGGTAACATTGTGGTATATTTTTAAGGACTAAATTACTTGCCATGGTTTCTGTACCTCGTCTGCGCAGGCCTACGACCTATATTATTAGCCTTAAATTGCATTTTTCTACACCATCATCACATTATACAGACAGCTGGATTTCGTTGGAAATAGTATTATTAATTTGATATATTACAAGTATCAAAACATTATTTATTTCCTTATTAGGAGGATTTACAATACACACTCTCATAATAACATACAAGTTACTCCTTCTCGCTATTTATGCATGTTATAAGTGCAGATAAAAAACATATATAGTTTCTTATATTTAGGTATTTTACTCTGCTATATTTTCTCATACCTTAAGGAGAAGAACAAAAAATATTACAATCCTTATTGTTAACAGAAAGGGGCAGACGCAGCTGAAACGGCGAAATTATTAATTTACGTCATAGATAAATGTGACGTAAAGTATACTTTATTAAACTGGTTATGTATTAATTTTCATTATCAGTGCTTACTGTCACATTATTGCCAAGTTTGGCAATAGTGGCTGCGCCATTTTGGTATATGCACAAACTTAATTCAATTACATTAGAGCATGTATTCAGACGTAGCTTTGCTAAAACAACAAAAAACTAGTAAGATGCAATTAGGCACTATTAGAATACTGAGACTGCACTTCAGACTTTCAAAAATAAGGTTCATATATATGCTTATTAAATAAATAGTTTAAATTTGGAATAAATATCGATAAACCGATGTTGAAATAAATGTCAAAATATATGATGAAAAACACCAATTTCTCAGTGATTCAACATCACTTTCTAGAAATTCTGAAATGATTACTTTATTAATATGTCTAGCTAACATAGTTTTTACAATTATATAAAAATAACCATAACTTGGTTACGTAATCTGACTTCAATCATAGTCTAACTCAAGCAAAATCTAATCACGCTTAACGGTCTACTTTTTATAAATATTACATTATTTTTCGGAAACCTCAATGTGTGAATCCAACTCGCAATTTGCTGTTACTCTTATTTTTTTTATAAGAATGCAAAGGAGAATACTTACCTAATAGTAGATGATCACCGCTGTTCAAGAAAACATACATGACTAGAGGGAATGTTAAAACGGTGTGCCAATATTACTAAAAGGCTCATATTCCTAGAAGCATTCAATATCATATCGGTACGGTAATACTGCTGCTCGGAATTGATTCCACATTGTGGTTGTGCGTGGTAAAAAGTATCCGAGTTAACGTAAGAACTCATAGATATCTTTTCGTTTTGTTGTCAAATGGGACAATATATTTACGTTTCACAAAATTGATTACTCATACAATATTTTAAAATAACAAATACGACATGTATATAATAATTATAAAGAAATGCCTCTAGCCGCCACATGTACTATAGTACCAGAGAGTACACGTTGCCAAGTGGTGCCTATTGGGTTATCTACTGTTACACCAAGCCGCCGGTATAGGTTTCCATCGGTACTAACAGCCCATACTTCATGCTTAATGCTGGATACGTCTTTAAATAACATATCACAATCTGAAATTAAAAAAGAAATTTATGAATATATATATATGAAATCGGAAGGTCACACAGTTCAAATCTGTATTTTCGGCGAATAATAGGACAAAGGATTGAAGTTACCAATGAAAAAAAAAATTATCTGTCTGCCTGTTTGATTAAATATTTTCCTTCATTAATTTATACGAAAACATATAATATAGAAGCTACCTCATACAATGCTGTTGTAATTACTAGCTTATCTTCAGATATATGTTTCTTTAAACGATAAATTACGTATAGAGTATGATTTTTCATATAGAGTGAATAGTGGGCTCCAGTATATAAAATTATGTAGTACAGAACTAGACTGACAAAAATTAAACAAAGTACCTGTTAAATACTTCCATTGCTTGCCATCTTGTTGAGCTTTTGAAATGTCTGATCTTACAGCAAATACACCATTTGAAAGTAATACCCAGGCAGCATTCGCATTTATAGAAACGTATTTAGCACCAGCCGTCTTTTTATGACTAAAAGGATAGTTGTATTTTGGGGCTTCTATTAACGTCCAATTAGTTCCGCCGGGATTTTCATTACAGATGCCTTCCCTATAATAAATTTCTCCTTTTCTGCCTATCGCCCAAACAATATATTCACAGGTACTGATTGCAACTAGTGCCTGAGGATTCTTCACATGTTCCCAGTGACTCCCCTTAAAAAATAAATGTCTCAAATTTAGTTAAAAAATCGACAATAACGATAAAGAAGACTCTTTTTGTATATACAATAATCAATACATTGAAAGATTTTATTGATATCTTGTATATTTAAATAAGGTTAATTATAAAAACAAAAAACTGGTTGTGTTGTAGATACAGTAGCTGTATTGAATCGTTTATACTATTATAAGCGGTAAAGTTTCAAATATATGTATTTGTCTTGTTTTAGACCATAAACAGTTTCCTTGCTTCAAATAGGAACCAAATATTTAGAAATGGCTATCCATTTCTTTCTTCTGATACCAATCTTATTTAAAATTTAAATAATTACGTATTGCGAATGTATGTATGTATTATTGAGAATGCAACAATATAGTCATTTTGATAATATAAAATATATATAGGCCACCGTTCATAATAAATAAAAAGTTTGAAGCTGTAAATCTAATGGATAAGATTATAAAATATATATTGTGTACATTATATACTTGCTATCAAAATATAAAGAGATAAATACCGTAGGAGTTGCATGTGTCACGCCGGTACGATAAATAGCATCACCTCCTACAGTAATAGCCCATACTAATACTTCGTCGCCATTATTCTAAAATTGAAAGAAAATTATTATACCTATGTAATATTATATAAAATAATAACAATTAATTTCGTCGTAAATACATAAGATTGACTATTAGCGTAGTCCTCAGCAATGACACTGTATTATGCATATCACGGAGTTATTCTCACCTATAATATGTGTAGTTCAGTGTATTGTCTATTTTATCCTTGTGTCATATTGATGTTAAATTGATCATCAAAAGTTCCACATGGAAACCTTTGCTTCGTCTTTCATTGATGCCAGATTGTATAATTAATGATAGGACCACCACTTCATAATCATAACAAAAGAAGAACCTTTCACATAAATGTTATATACTTATTTTCTATTTTTATTGTATATTTATTTTATACACAAAGTGGCAATCACCGCCATATTTGTATAAGGTACATGTATGAACAGCATCACGACATCACGTTATATGATCCCCGTGGTACCCCACATGCGTTGCCATTCCTGAGGACTCTTGATAGTGAAATTACAGGGTATGAAGGCCTTTGTAGGCTATAGTATCACCGCAATAATGTCACCATTTAAACTGGAACTGGCTTACAAAGCTAGCTGCTCGGCCTCAGAAAAAGACGAATAAGCGGTGGACATCATAGAAACGCTTTGTTACTATAATAAAACAACTCAACTTTCTACTTCTGGCACTGCCTTGTTCTTAGACATTATTGTACAATAACTACTACATACTATCGTTTAAGTTGAAATAAATAGTATTGTTGTTCTGGCTATTATGAAATGCCCCAGCATTGTAAAATAAGTGGTAAAAAGCATTCTTAATTTGTCACTGATGATGAATTCATTATGATCTGTTGTAATTTCTGTAGTACGACATGTTATGCCTTCAGAATGAGTACACTCATTATAACGTAATAGATAAAGTGCAAGAGTTACCTGATTTCTCACTTTCCGTCAGAACTAAGTACTATGACATCACATAATGTGACACATGTTAATTAAAATTTATATTAAATATGAAATAAGAATCTGCTATTTACCTACCCATAGGGATATGTCTAAAAGTGCAGTACTACCCGCGCGCACCCAAGGGCCTTCAGTTATTATTTGTGCTTTTCGGTACCAACGTCTCCTTCTGACACAATCAGTAAAGATTTTTTTTCCATGGTACGGAGCTGGAAAATCTGTCGCATACTGCCATCCGTCACTGTCCACTCCACCTGGGGTGTTGTAATCTATCATCCATTCAGAAATCTAAAACATGTACAAATATCATAGAATACTATAACAGACAAGCATTATTTTTATTTTTATTTCTTCTTAGAAAAATGCTAACCCAATGCCAATGGCGGTTTATTAATTTTGTATGTTCTCGTGTCCTTTTATGTTTACCAGTTATGTCACTCCACATGTACCGGTCAGTGGGAAGACCTGTAGAAGTGTAACCAGAAAGAGGATTCCATCTTTGGTTTTCATAAACACAATATGTTTGTGTATCTGTCATAGAATTGATACCCTCATTGCCACCTAAACCTGTAAATAATGGTATGAAAAGAAAAAGTTTATGTATTAACTTTCAGTACAGTAAATTAGAGTTGGACAAAATATTATCTTTAAATTTTAGCTTGGGAGAAACGAGCAATTAATTTTAAAGTAAGGTAGACGACTTTATATTTAAGGCTATAATTGAGAAATAGAAATAGAAATAATCTTTATTCAAATAAACTCATTACAAGCACTTTTGAATAGTCATATTTTGATTCACCCACTCATTCAGAATGCAGATTCATCACAAGAAGAATGAGCAAGAAACTTGTGTGTTGCTCTTTTTAATATAAATAATTACAGTATAACAAGTAAGAGGCATGCGATAATCAACATAGAAATCGCTACGCACTCATTACTAGTGTAATCAGATAATATTGTCAGTGCTATGGATTTAAAGTTTTTCTATAAAAACATTATTATCGTTAACGAATTCTTCAATTTTATAGTACGCTTTTTTGCAAAGGTTCTGTTTTATTTGACATTTAAATCATTATTCTGGCTGATTTATAATAGACTCTGGTATTTTATTGTAAAACCTTACGCAATTGCCATAAAACGAATTACTAACTTTAGCCAAACGACATTTAGGTAAAATCAGTTTGTTATTGTTGCGTAAGCTTTTATTGGTGCAAGCATTAACTCTTTTGAAACTGTCTATATTCTTCCTGGCATAGATGATATTTTCATAAATGTATTGAGAAGCAACGGTGAGGATATTTGATTCCTTAAAGCACTCTCGCAATGTTTCCATGGAACCCATACCATAAATGGAGCGAATGGCCCTCTTTTGTAGAGAGAAGCATTACTCAGGGCTACGTTTAAAAAATAAATCGGAATTATCATCACAGGTTGTTGCTTTCATAACCATGGACCAAAATATTCTATTTATTTTTCTTATAGCTGTGATGACTTATTCTATCTACTTTTCTACTGTTGTAGACTTTTGGGGCAACCTGCATATTATAATACATTCACGATGAAAGGACTCAACAGCTCTAGGAAGCTATGTGTCGTATTTCTATTATACAAGTGGGAAATATAGTATATTACTAATATTAAGAACATAAGTAAATCTATATACATATGAAAAAACTGTAGAAGTGGAATGTTCATACATAGAAAATATCGCCAAAAACCGAGTTAAAAGATGTTTAGAAGTGAAATAGAACTCATCCAATTTTTTTGCTTCTCTGTTTGTCTGTTGGTATTGGCAAATCTCGGAAACTGATGGACTGATTTAAATAAAGTTTCGAATGATGGTACCTTACATCCCGTCAATATTTTTAATACTTTTTATCACGACCTACCAATCGTTATCTACCATCTCAGTGTGTATTAGTGTCATCTTAGTATTCATGGGTTAATTATTCTTTTTTTCTTATTTATTTATATATATTATTCTTCATACTACTTACTCCAGTGTCTTCTATGTACATTATGTATGTTTTTGAGTATTTGTGTCAGTGTTATTTACCCATAGCTCAATCTCTTTTAATCATATCTTTATTTGGGACTAAATAGCGCTGTGTGAATTGTCTTGGGTTATTATTACTATACATATATTAAATATATATTCATGTGACATACACATTTTATATAACTCTTATAAGAAAAGAATAATAGTACTAAACAATAAAATACATATGATTTCATTGGATTAATTAAAGGCTTAAATTAAAGCTTACATGAATGAAATAAAAGAAAATACCTTTTAATGCACCACCGCCCCAGCCTCCAGTGTATACCCATACACGATGGTCATGAGAAATACCCCAAACAACCCCATTCTGACAACACTCAACTTTCCGTAAGTATCCTCCCATAGTTCTCCATATAATTTCATCAGGATCTATAATTATATTAGTTGTAGAATATAGCATGGTATAAAGTTTTAATGGCCCTTGAATTGAAGCTGATGTTATACTCTCAGGGCTAAGTCTATGCTCATAAAAACAATAGACCTTATCATTAACAGTTATTTTTAAACCTTGAGTATTGCAATAAATTATTATAGAAAACTCTTGTCCTGGAGCTAATGGTAGTGGATGACGTTCTTCAACTCCCCAATTGCCAAATATTTTTGAATTACATACAACAGTATTCTCATCAAATCTAACATTAAAGTGCAGGGCAATCTCAGTTATTTCAGTTTCTATTTTGTGTCTTTGTTTTTTAATTTCAGGGCCCTGTAAATTTACATGGAATCTTTTTATTTCATCATTTAAAGAACCTGTAATTTTTAATGTAGTGCCAACAGGAAAGTTATTATAAAGTTTGGTTGTAAAACCAGAGATAGCATATTTTCCAAAAACTTGAAATTCTTTGGTATGAATCTTATCTTCAGTATTAAGTTTCATGGGCATAAGATCCCAATTTAGTACATCACCTGAACTGGTAATAGCCCACATTGAATTTTCAGAGGGCTTACCTGAAAGTTCATTAATCTGTGATATTATATCTACTAAAACACTCAACCATTCTTCCTGTTCCATTTCAGATATAAATTGAATTTTTATATTGTCATTGCTTTGTCGCTGTATAGATAAACTAATTCTAGGACATGCAGGCTCTGATGATGTAATAACACTTGTCACTTCTCCAAGATTCAAAATAGATTTTATAGTACCATCAAGTTGAAAAACAGATAGTGTACCAGTATTTTCTAAAGCATGCCAGTAAAGGGAAAGTATACAGTCTTCAATAGAATTATTTGCATTGATTAATCTTGCTTCACAGCTCCGTGTCCACCCTTTTTCTTCAATAGCAACTCCATAATTTGATAAATCTATTTCTTGAGTATTATTTCTATTCTTCAAAGATTCTAAAATTTGTATCCTCCATTTCGCTGTTAAGTCTGTACTTTGAATATTATGTGAATCAGTAAACCAATGAGGTATTTGCATTGGATCTATTGAACAAGCTCCTGCTTCTACAAAAGCCCAAGTAGTATCGCATGTTCCCCATGCAGTCTGACTGACCTCTTCATCAAAGTACATACCAGAGTCAACATCAAATACACTGCTGTCACTATCTGGCTGGGCTTCCATACCCACTACAGAACCTACACTGCGTACTGGACTCCATGCTCGTGGATTTTTTAATGTTGTTTCATAACTCTTCCCAGTTAAATCAATGGTATCTACATTTGTATTATTTTTTGTGTGAATTTCCTTTGGTGGTTTAATTGGTAATGTATGTTCTATTGGCGCTGAGTGTGACTCTTCCCAGGAATTATGTAATTTTATATTAGATTTGAGCTCTGGTGTGTTTTCATTCAACATACTAAGACTGTGGTGTTTGGCATTTGATGCAGAAGAAATAACACTAGCAGAACTTGATGTGCGACTCAACTGCATATTAGCTTGAACCATTCTCCACCTTTTACCAGTTAATTCTGAAGGAGTTATTCCACTACGCCAATAAATACACTTGTCTGACTCACCAATAGCAAATACTTGATCATTAATTCCAACTGATATATTAACCATATTTCCTGTAATCTCCAACCATCCACTACCCATTGCAGCAGGTTCAGAATTTCCTGCCAAATTGCCATCAATACCTTTTCTGAACCATACTCTAGCATCTGAACTCACAGCCCATACAGAATTATATCCAACAGATATAACAGACAATTTAGTTTCACTTGGAGATTTTACTTCAAGCCAAGCTTCCCCAGTTGGGCAGTCCTTAGTTATTCCTTTCCTTATAATAGCTCTTCCAGTCCAAAGCATTGCCCAGACTAAGCCAGTAGGACCTACTGAAATTTGTTTTATATCACAATTTGGTGGTATACTAACATTTATCCACTTCAGTCCTTCTGGTGATATAGTCCCAACACCAGCTCTGTACATGACTCTGCCATGAGCTGTAATCGCCCATACTGACAGAGTACCAGGTGCAGCATATGGGATCATATTTCCTCCAATACTGACATCTATAAATGGCTCTTGTGTTGGATCTTTGTGAAGAGGAGCTATGGCACACCATGAGTTCATAGCACTAAATTTCCGGTACCTAATCCATTTCCTTCTCCTGACACAAGACTTCCACTGCTTGACTGGGCCAAACTGAGCTGGAAAATCAACAGCATAACTCCATCCATCATGGTCCAGTGGTTGTCCATCTAAGGTGAGTTCAAGTTGCCAGTCTCCCTCCCATTGCCAAGCCATAGAAGGTAAACGGATGCGGTCAATTGATTTATCTTTTGTTCCGTCTTGAGAGGAGAAATGATACCTATCTGTGGGTAAAAGTCTACCGCTAAATCCTTCAAGCGGTAACCATCTTTCGTTTTCGTATGATTCTTCTTTAACTCTGATCGGAATTTCTAATCCATGAACGTGTAAATAAATTTGACGATCTCCACCAACGGCCCACAAATAGTTAGGTACTGCTGATAATGTTTTGAATTCTAATCCGAGATACATAAATTCCCTCCAACATGATCCACTAGTTGACAAAGCATAAACTTTACCTTCATTGTTAATAGAAAAAAGTAAAGAACCACTGCTGGACATCGTGATTGTATTGCGGTAAAGTCCTCAAAATACTAAATGGTACATATTATTTCGTATCTGTTGTATTCTAGTAAAAGTGATCACTTTTTTAGTTTGCATTATGGAAATATTTGTCTTATACTATTTCTAATGATTACAGTAATCATTCAATTGTTTTAATCACAAATTATAATAATAATAAATGAACAACTATTTGTTACTACGTAAACGGAACGTCAGCCGTCACCTGGGTCCATCACAGACTATTTAGACCATGTTCTGTGATTTAGACAGAGATAGCGAAATCTACATAAATACTCTGTATCCACATTGCTATAATATCCAACCAAAAAAAATTTAACCCCGTACAAAGGGCAAATTTGTACATATATTAATAATAAGGTCTTATGCGAGTTTGGAGTGCAGTCTACACTTGCTCGCTACAAACTGTAAAAACTAGCTGCGGCTAACACCTTTAGAATAGCTTCAAAAATGATGTATAGTAACTTTACTTTAGGTATAATAAGCTCGAAACTAGTGACAGCCTTCGAAATTTCGTTAATCTGGAACATTGACATCTGTAAATGTAATCCCTTGAAACCCATAAGTAACTATATGTGTCAAACTGACAAATTTAGTTGCAGACATTGTACTTTTTTTTTTCTCTTGTGGTATGGCATTCACCCCGATTTTAGGGTATTTCGCCAAAAACAAAACGGGGAAACGTCATTAATTTATATCTAGCAACGAAAATTTTGTAGCATAGGGATAAGGATTAGGTTAGGAAATTATATAGGATACGATATTTACAAATAATATACATACAATACGGAACACATTATATTAAATTTTAATACTATTTAAATATATAAATTCAGCTAAAATTTTATAAATAATAGGATCATTGGAAAAAAGAAGAGTTGTAATAGAGGTAGGGAAAGGGATACGGATGAATCTGAGATGTTTTAACAAGGAGGAGTGATCAAGATCCGGACATGAGAAAAAAATGTGATTTAGATCAGCCACTTCAGTACCGCAGCTACAACAGGAACTTTCTACAATACCAAGTTTATAAAGGTGAGACGGTGTGCACACGTGACCAAGACGCATACGAGTTAATATAGTTGTCGCGGTCGTCCCGAGCTTTATCCCACAAAACCAGGGCTTTATAGGAATGTCGGGTTGTACCTGATAGTAAAGGTTTCCTTTCGTTTTACTACTGTTCTGCCAATATTCCTTCCAAGATTTATTAAGATACAACTTTGGAAGACACGCTAGGTCATTGTAATAGTTTTTATAAGGAAACATATCTCCACAAAGCACAGCTTCCTTCGCAATTTGGTCTGCCCTATTATTTCCTGGAATACCAGAATGTCCCGGTAGCCAAGCAAAAGAAACGGAATATTCTTTTAATGTACACAGTTGAAGTTTTTCTCGTATATCGTAAATAATAGAATGAAGTGATTTCGATTTTAAAGGATATTTGTCTAACGCTTGTAGTGAAGACATTGAGTCAGTAAAAATGATTGCTTTTTGTAATTTCATTATATGTACATATTCTATTGCTTTTAAAATACCCATACATTCCCCAGTAAACACTGATGACTCTGGTGGAAGTTTAATTTTTTGAACAATATTATACTGCACGTGAAATACACCAACACCTACACAACTACAATTATTTGATTTTGAGGCGTCTGTGAAAATGCAATGCCATCCATTCCATTGTGTGTCTATTATAAATTTGAATTTAGCTGCCTGTTCCGTATCATTTTTGTAAATTCCTATGTCATAATAAATGTTAGGGCATAAATTCAGAGATTCATATGAGTATTTATAGACTGGAGAACAAGAGGAAGTAAACATTGGTGCAGATATTCCTTTATATTTTTCAAAGCTTTTTATTAAACATGGAGGTTTTTTGTGTATCCAATAAGAAGATGAGGTAACATACTGATGTATTTGTGGAAGTTTTAAGATAAGTGGATGGTTAGACAACTGTAAGCAGCGAACATGAAAACGATCAGCTAGATATTGTCTTCTTAAATCTAGAGGTGGATCTACAATTTCAACCTGTAAAGCATTGATTGGGCTTGATTTCATTGCTCCGGATATAATTCTCAAAGCTTTGGATTGTATTAGGTCCAGTTTCTTAAAGGCAAAAGAACTTCCCGGCGCTAACAAAAAAGTTCCATAATCAAGGACGCTCCTTATAAGGCCATTATACGCTAGTTTTAAAGAATACGGATGTGCTCCCACCATACACCTGCTAGACATCTAAGAATATTTAGATTTCGTTCGCATTTAGCAGAAATATAATTACAGTGGGATAAACCAGTTAATTTATTATCTAAGACGATGCCTAAAAATTTAATCTCTGTTTTAACCGGGATGTAACAACTATCATAGAAAACCTTCACTTGCGGTGGTGATCGCATTCTTGTAAATAGTACTACACTACTTTTCGATACAGAAAGTTCGAGACCATTTGCGTCTAACCATAATTTCAACAAGTCAAGATTATCAGACAATTTTTGACAGGCAGATTGAATTGAATGATCTATTAAATAAATTAATAGGTCATCCGCGTATTGCAATACTTTAACGGATTTGCTAAGAGATGTTTCAAGGTCATATGTATATATATTAAATAAAATTGGACTAAGTACTGATCCCTGAGGCAGACCTTTCCATACTGATCTGGATAGTTTGTTATCATCACCTAAATCCAATTTTATTGTTCTCTCTGACAAAATATTAATAATAAAATTAGCAAGCATAAATGGAATATTCAAGGCTATCAATTTAGTTCTAAGAATTGTAATTAGGACGTTGTCATAGGCAGAACTAATATCCAAGAAAGCTGATAAAATCGACACATTTTGCGAAAATGCTATGTGAATATCTGAGGTTAAAATACTAACATTATCTAACGTACCTCTACCCTTCCTAAATCCAAACTGGTTTGGTGAAAGTAAGTTATTACTTTCTACAAACCACTCCAGACGATTTTTCACCAAGTGTTCAGCCAATTTCAGTAATACCGATGAAAGTGCTATAGGGCGATAAGAAGAGGGCTCCGAAGGTGGTTTATTAGGTTTCAGAAAAGGTATAATAATTTGTGATTTCCATGACGGAGGTATCTTACCGGATATCATTACTGAATTAATTAAATCTAAAAAGTAATCTAGTGTTGTATCATTAGAATTTTTAAAAAATGAGTACGGTATACCGTCCTCTCCCGGTGCAGAATCTTTAATATGTGATAATACCCCTTTAAATTCAATAAGACTAAAAGGGGAATCGAGTTTCGATAATTGGGTTGGTGGAGAAAGCTGATTATGATATTCTGGAACGTAACTAGGTGCAAGGCGGTCTAAAAATTCGTCTGCTAATTTTGAATCCATTATGGAAAGCGATGTGTGTCCGGTATATACAGATCTAAATCTTTTAATATTATTCCAAACGACAGAGAGGTTAACTTCGGGACAGATTGAGGAACAAAACTTTCTCCAACCTTCCAACTTCTTCTTTTTTAGTAGTTTCCGGGTGGAACGAGATATTTCACAATAAATTTCATAGTTTTCTGATGTCATATACTTGTTATAATTCTTTTCAGCTTCTTTACGCTGTTTAATGACGTCTGTACATTCTTTATCCCACCAAGGAGGGGATGGAATTTTTCCTGAAGCACTATTTTTTATAGGAAATAGCATATCAGCAACTTCCTTCATAACCATTACTAAACTATTCGAACATTGGTGCTCATTTCCGTGAGAAACAGAAGGTAGTTTTGAAATCCTATTGCCTACATATTGTTTAAACGTCACCCAATCTGCATTCATTAAGTTATATTTAAGACGAGGACCGGTTTTCCGATTTGGAGGAATGGAATGAGGTAAAGATAAAATAAGGGGAAAGTGATCACTTCCGAATGATGAGTAGTGAGGAGACCACGAAAACGAAGAAGCTAAATCAGAAGAACACAGAGAAATATCAGGGACGCTAACACCTTCATTTGGGCCAGTTCTACGTGTTGGTACACCCGAGTTAACTATACATAAGTTATGACTGTCGATTATACTTATAATTTTCTCACCGTAATAATTAGAGGTGGTACTGCCCCACGATTGATGTTGGGCATTAAAATCACCCATAATAAGAAAAGGTTTAGGTAAAATAGATATAATTTTTTCTAATTCTGAATATAATTGAGAAGAGGGGGTAGGAATATATAAACTAACAAAACAAATACTATTTACTATTAATGCAATAGCATTAATTCCATTAAATGAAGGAAGGGAAAATAATAAATATGAAAGGGAGTTTTTGACCAATATGGCAACACCGCCATATCCGTCAGCTCTATCATCACGAAAACATGAGTAACCTGGAATCTTAAATGAATATCCAGGTTTTAACCATGTCTCTTGAAGAGCTATAATGAAAGGGAGAAATTGTTTATCAAATAAAATAGATCAGATTTCTTATTTGTTATGCTACGACAGTTCCACTGAATAATGTGGGCTTTGTTGTCCATTGTGAGTTGATAAAATTTGAGATATAACATTCAGGTTGGCAGCGTTGGACGGTGAAAAATTGGTTTGTGTCATATTAGATTGCGTCAAGAATTTAATTAACATAAATATAATATCAGCAACAGATTGATTATTAGTATTATTATTATTACTTAGTGCACAGCCATTTGAGGGCGCAGGAATGTTATATTCATTAATTAAGGCCTCATGAGCAGAACGATCATATCCTCGTTGTGGTTTCTGTGGAGAACGTGGTTTAAGTGTAACAGTTTTTTTATAAGAAGATTGAATATGGCCTGATTTGTCTTTTTGTGGAGAAGATTGGATATGTGGTTTAATAGATGAAGGTGGTGGCGATGTTAATACATCCGAGTATAATTTACTGGTTGGAGGATGAAATTTCATAGCTTCAGCATATGAAACACAGCTGTGAGCCATGGTTTCTTTAATAGCTTTTTGGCGGGAATATTCAGGACACTTCTTACTAATAGCGAAATGAGAACCATTACATAGAATACAGCATATTCTGTCTTCATCTGCTTCACATTTATCACCAGTATGACTTTGTTTACACTTATAACACCTTGGATTTGAACGACACTGCATCTTAACATGTCCAAATCTACAACAATTGTAGCACTGTATGGTTGGATAAATGTATAGATCTACAGTTAATGATGTATAAAACATAAATACTCTTTTTGGCAAAATTTGCCCATCAAATGTTATAACAACTGTTTCAGTGTTAATAAAGTTCGTTTCTCCCTCATTTATAGTCTTTTTTTTTATTCTACGTATTTTTAAAATTTTTCCACAACCTATAGGTACTGAAATATTGCTAATTACTTCATCATCTGTCCAGTCTTTAGGAATACCTCTTACAATACCCATGCGGGTCACATTAAAAGAAGGAATAAATGCATTATAATTATAAGCAATTAAACTACTGTGGTTTAAAAAAGAGTTAGCATCTAAAAAGTTTGAAAAAGCAAGAGCCAATCTGTTTCTTCCTATTCTTTTGAGGCTGCCATTCACAACATTATAAATCTTATTTGTATGTAAAAACCGACCAAATGCGATGGGGTGTAATGTTACATTATCTGTAGGATTTGTTTCATTTTTTTTAACATGAACTACAAAAGGTGCTACATCTTCAGTATTGTACAAAGTCCTATTTACAGAAGTGGGTGAAGGAGTGGCTTTTTTGGATGTATTATTATTTTCAACTACTGGTATTACATCTGAATTTTGATTGTCAATTACAGGTATTATTTCTAAATTATTTTTTTCCTCTTCGACACATTGACAGTCACTGTCTTTTAATTTTGTCTCGGTACCTTTTTGATGTCTCCTACGCTTTTTATTGCAGTGTTTGCAAATGCGGCGTTCGCCCCTTACTCGCTTACGTTTTGTGGTTGTAATATTAGACCCATCAGTATCCATACTAGATTCACATAAAATATCAAAAGAATTGTTAAATGGAATACTTATATTTGCAGACACCTGGGGGACTGTTCCCCCAGGGTCTATAGGCGGGTCCATTCTCAATAGATATTATATATTAAAGTTACTTACCAATATTTGCAGCAACTGCTACTACTATTAATAAATATATAATTAAACAATTAATCTAGTCTACAATATATAAATAAAACTAATCCTTATATATAGTAAAATTAAATTAAACAAAAAGAAATCCAAAAAACACTCCCGGCGTTTCGAACGTTTCCGCGCTTTTTTCACAAATTTAGTTGCAGACATTGTACTTTTTTTTTTTCTCTTGTGTTATGGCATTCACCCCGATTTTAGGGTATTTCGCCAAAAACAAAACGGGGAAACGTCATTAATTTATATCTAGCAACGAAAATTTTGTAGCATAGGGATAAGGATTAGGTTAGGAAATTATATAGGATACGATATTTACAAATAATATACATACAATACGGAACACATTATATTAAATTGCAATTTTAATTAAACTTTTAATCCAAGATTCTGTGTTACTTGTTGCTCTCATGTCTATATATTATATATATCGTTTTGTATATTATATATACAAAACGATTCTGCCCAATAACTATAGAACAACTAAGTGGACTAAATCCTTGTTGGTTTATTTCATGTACAAAGAGTAATTTATAATACTGAAAATATATGTCAATACTATGTATGACATCTTGTTAAAAAGTATCGTATTGTGGTAGCTGTAATGTAATTAATTCAAAACTAGTGTATGTAGCATACATATAATATAATAATATTATTCTACTTATTGTACCTATGTAGTACAGTAGTAGTAATTAACTATTTATAGTGTGTGTGTGATATTTCCTCAGGCAAGATTTAGGTACAAGCTTTGCTCGTTTCGCTACCATTTGCTACATTACATAGTAGACAGTGACGATAGCGTAGACCCTCTGGCTGATATTACTACCTATATAGTATTACTGTTGTCTTTTTCTTGGCAATCTGTGTTTGGCAATTTACCAAAAAATGCTATGACTACGTTTTAACGCTTCCTAGTTGTGAAGTAAGGTTATTCATAATGATGCATAAGTAATAATCTTTTTTGTTACCACTGTGTCATTATATAATAGTTTTTATAAAATGAATGTTTTTAGTAAATTGAGAGTTGCTTTTAAAAAATATCCCCTTTTAAGGGGAATGGCCTCATATGGCGTCATATGGCCAATATCCAGTCTTATACAACAATCATTTGAAGGGCGAGATATTGGTAAGATATCTTAATAAATAATAATTATAGTTACATTGTGTAAGAATTTAATAATAATATTAAACAATTTGCTGAATTCAAAAGTTTATTCTAAATTAATATAAATAAACTATGTTTCAGATAATTATGACTGGTGGAGAACTGCACGGTATGGTTTCTATGGGTCCTGTTACGTGGCTCCTACATTGTATACTTGGTTGACAGTGGCCAATATGATGTGGCCTGGAAGTACAATTAGAGCTGGATTGATTAAGGTGAATACTTCAAAAACATTACTTACATAATGACTTTTAATTTTTTTAAACCATTACACAATTTGGAGTGTTTGCATATTTATTATTTACATTATTACTAATTTTTAATTACCTGCAACATTGTCTGCAAACAATTTCATTCCCTATTTCATCCTCATCACACACTCTATTTTCATGTCAAATTTAATTGAGATCCATTCAGTTCTTTTGTTGTTAAAAAGTAACAAACAGATAGACAGTCACATTTTCACATTTACAATATTAACATCAATTTGCTAATCACAATTCGCTGTGTTGGAATAATATCAGTCCCCTGTTTAGTGTATTTGGGAACAAAACCCTCCTGAAACACACACACCTTTTACCCATCATATGGTTTTTCGCAAATATATAATTGTGAACTGCTTAAGGCATATTTTTTATAATATTACCATAATTTGTGCTGTCCTTTGCTTATGTATCAGAATTTTAATTACTTTCTATTCCGTTTCTTCTGTTCTCAACAATCTACTTAATATGAAAACTAAGCTCAGTGTGGTATTTTGTATAAATTATATTTTTCTGTCATTAATTGTAAACATAAAATATACTAGCTGTACCCGAGACTTCGTCTGCGTAAAATAGTGACCTTGACCAAATAATGAAAAAAATATTTAATGACCTAACCCAATAAAATCCAAATGATTTGATGAATGATGAAATTATAACTGTCTTTATACGATACGTCAATAGTTGTCTTTATACGACACGTCAATAGCTACCTATACACGGCACGTAAATAACTGTCTTTATACGACACGTCAATAGCTGCCTTTATACGACACGTCAACAGCTACCTATATACACGTCAATAGCTGTCTTTATACGACACTTCAATAGTTGCCTTTACACGACACGTCAATAACTGTGTTTATACGACGCGTCAATAGCTGCCTATATGCGACACGTCAATAGCTCCCTTTATACCACACGTCAACAGCTACCTATATACGACACGTCAATAGCTGTCTTTATACGACACGTCAGTAGCTGTCTTTATACGACACGTCAATAGCTGTCTTTATACGACACGACAATAGCTGCCTTTATACGACATGTCAACAGCTACTTATATACGACACGTCAATAGCTGTCTTTATATGACACGTCAATAGCTGTCTTTATACGACACGACAATAGCTGCCTTTATTCGACACGTCAATAGCTACCCATATACGACACGTCAATAGCTGCCTTTATACGACACGTCAATAGCTGTCTTTATACGACACGTCAATAGCTATCTTTATAAGACACGTCAATAGCTACATTTATACGACACTTCAATAGTTGCCTTTATACAACCTTGCATTTACCATTTCAACCTCCTTTACAACCCTTTTTCCGCATTCAACAGTATCCTAAGTGCTTTCTCAGGATCTAGACTAATTGTGTACCAAATTTCACTTAAATCTGTTCAGTAGTTGTAGCCTGTAAGTGAGACAGATCGACAGACAAAGTTACTTTCACAGTTAGAATAATAATAAGGTATTTAATAAACTAAATCAAATAGCCAATGAAAACAGTTTCATCGTTCTAACTTGAATAATGACGAATTTACATAACTTTCATCTTCTATTTTATTTTACCCCCTAAAGTGTCACTTTTACAAAAATTTTACTGTCATATTCATTTATATTTAATCAACAGCCTCAAAAATAAGTTTCATGCTTCTAGTTTCAAAAATAATGAATTTATATAAAAACCTTCATCCCCTATTTTATTTTACACCCTTAAGGGTAACATTTTTACAAACTTTGATGGCCTATTTATTTATATTTAATCAACAGCCTCAAAAATCAGTTGCTAGCTTCAAAAAAGACAAATTTACATAAAAACTTTCATCCCCTAATTTATTTTACCCCCCTAATTTTTTTTTTTGTATTGGTAATATTATTGCAAACTTAGAATGTCATATTTATTTGTATTTAATCAACAGCCCCAAAACTAAGTTTCAAGCTGCTATATTCAACAATGACGCATTTACATAAAAAAAAATATCCCCTAATTTATTTAAGACCCCTTAAGAATAAAATTTTTAAAAACTTTGTGAGTCATATTTATTTATATTTAATTAACAGTCTCACAAATAAGTTTCAAACTTCTAGTTTCAAAAATGACGATTCTTCCTTACAATATTTCATCCCCAATTTCAACCCCTTACAACCCTTTTTTCCCATTAAAAAGTAGCCTATGTCCTTTCTCAGGTTCTTGACTATATGTGTACCAAATTTAATTTAAATCGGTTCAGTCGTTTTGGCGTGAAAGCGAGACAGACAGACAGAGTTACTTTCGCATTTATAATATTATATAAGTAAAATAAGTAAATAAGTAAAATAAGTAATAAGTATATAAATAAGTAATAAGTATATAAGAAAAATAAGTAAATAAATAAGGAAGTAAGGATTTGCTGTGATATAATGACAGGCAGCAGCCTATCTACTCAATTAAATTATTTCTGTATTATTCTTATAATCCAGTATTTACTTACTATGAAATCTAAGCTCAGTAAGTTATTTCGTATTAAACTAATAATTGCATTATTGATATTTTTCAGACATTCATTGAAACCATAACATATACACCATTTGCAATGTGTAGCTTTTATTTTGGAATGAGTTTACTTGAGTTGAAACCAGTCCATGAAGCTGCTGCTGAAGTTCAAGCAAAATTTTGGCCTACTTACAAGGTATTTTTAAACTTCCACAAAAGATTATTAATATATTTTGTCAGGTTTTAACACTATTATTACGACTACTATTGACCATGACACACTATATTAAAAATTAATTTTGTATCATAATAAAACCTGAAATAAATTACTAACAAACTGGTTAAATACATTTAAAAAACTTTCATATCAGCTCTTCAGTATACTCAGTAAACAAGTCCAGACTTCAACTAAGCAGAACTCTGTACAAGTTCCGCTTAGTTGAAGTCTGGACTTGTTTGTTTAATATTTCATCCTATTTTTTTAATACTTAGGTATATTGTAATAGTTTGTGCATCATTAAATGATGTTAATATTTTTTAGGAAAACAAACAATTTGTAGTAAATTTAAATTAACTTTTATTTATCATAATTTTCAGGTGGGTGCATCTGTGTGGCCAGCAATTGCCATGGTTAATTTTTGTTTTATACCACCACGAAACAGAGTACCATTTATAAGTGTTTGCAGCCTTATTTGGACATGCTTCCTGGCATACATGAAACATTTGGATAAAGAAAAAGTAAAAACTGAGAAAAATGCTGTTCCATTTCTGAAAATTAGTATATGACAGTGTTAAAAATATAGCAAAATTTTTTTTAGAAATAATATATATTGATATTTAAGTATATATGTTATGTAAGGAATGGTGAAAAGGGAGACTATTTATTATAATATCCAGTCACTGTATATTAATAACTGTGATTGATAAATGAAATAATACAAATAAGACACCAAAGTGTATACTTAGACCATATTGTAAGTTGTCTTATTGAAATTTCTAATTCCTTTAACTGAAACCTATATTCTTTGTGATACATTAATGAATTTCGTTTTCAATTTATCTGTTATGTGTGTTCTCTATTAATTATATCAGGTTCAAAAATAATTAGAGATCAGCATATTTCTTCTTTTCTTGAAATGTAAAAACATGGTGTTCCTTATTGTAACTGCATAATGTTAAATATAGGTACCTAAATTATAAAATTGGGTTAGAAAACAGTCATATACTTGATATATTGTATTATTTATATAGCCTGGGCATTATATGTAATGCTCTTTTAATCATTCTATTCATAAGATGTCACTTAAAGATAATTTATTTTAACTAGATAATTCAAACAGTGTAATAGAAATAATATTTATTAACTATACCTTATATGATCTGCGATAATAATATTGTGATAATTGTTTTAATGTAGGGCATGAAATGTCAATATAGAGATAGGTTGTTATTGATTACAAAGTACTATACAGTTTATTTATTCTAGAATTCTATAAAATGTTATCAGAGAGGTATTTTCCTTTAATTTATTTTCAGATAACAGGATATATATTATTAAGATTTTATAGCACTTATGCTGATAGACGCACGAACTATATAGATTTGCTTTGCGGCCACATTTACAACTAATAATGTATAAATAAATATATACACTATGTAACCGAACAGGAAGCTGTCTTAGTATATCTTCTACTCATATTCAATTGATTTTATGCATATAACCACGAATAGATTAAAATTAAACTTACTATAAAATTTACATTAGAACCAACAAGGCCTAATCGGGCAAGCATTATCCCCGAACTTATGAAACCTAACAGTTTTCATAGGCTAAAATTATATTTTTCCTATATATAATTATAGTGGCATAATAGGCAACACTAGTGTCTTGCCAAACAGGCAAAAAATATAGTTTTTAATATTTTTTTATTATCTACAACTTTTCATTTGGATTTTTTTTTGTAAATGGAGTATTATTTCGAATAAATAAAATGTTGTTTATGTGGTATTACTTTTACTTCAACAAAGACAGCAAATATGGTAGTAAAAATATGTTAAAACCTAATAAATCCGTCACCCAGTATTACACAGATTAAATTCAAAAATTGAATAAAATCACAGAACTGATCATCACTGAAATGCTAATAACCTTTCGCCATGAGGAGCTACTTATACACGATTTTAGAACATAAAAGAAGAAAAGAAAAGAAGGCTGATTCCTGGGGATTATTAGTAATTGGTAATAATGTTTTTATTTCATGTATGATAATGGAATGGTGCACCCGCCTGCGATAATAATTTAGTGGAGGATGATAGGTTGAACATGAGGTCAGGTTAGTTAGCCCATCATGTGACAAATTCACCAAGAATTTATCACGATGGTTTCCAGGGGAAACCGCGTGGACAACCTGACTTGGTACATTGCTAGCAATGGGGTCATGAGACCACATTACTAACAATCCCCTTCCCCCTAATAATACTGGTTTTTTTTTGTGGATGATAATGAATGGTGCACCCGCCTGCGCTAACGGTTTACGCTGCCGGGGCACCAGTGGAGGATGATAAGATGAGCATGAAGTCAAGTCAGTTAGCCCATCGTGACAAATTCACCAGGAATTTAACACGATGGTTTCCAGAATAGAATAGAATAGAAATCATTTATTCAAATAAACTTACATTGAAGCACTTTTGAATAGTCATTACATTTTTTTTAATCTACCGCTCGTTCGGAAAGCTGTCTCATCACAAGAAGAACGAGCAAGAAACTTGCGTGTTGCTCTTTTAAATAATTTTATTATTACTTTACATTTTTAAGTTTAAGTGTGTGAATACAAACCACCAATTAGCACTAATTCAATTAAATACTCAAAAAGAAAAAATATTGAATACATAACCAACTGGTTAAACAATTAATAAGAGGAAATCAGTCATAGTGATTAGAGCAGACCAGTCCCTACAAGCAGCACCCGTTCACGAGTATGACGGATGAGCCAGCCATCACTGCGCTCGACCATATTTTAGGGAGCCCAATGACCCGGCCCACCACGCCGCCACAAGTCTGGACATTTTAGTGAGCATGACTACTCAAAACACTAGACCACGTCAAAGCTACTCACAATTGCCATCTGATAGTTATAGTATTCACATTTTACATAAGAATGCATGCGGCAATTAATACAAAAACCGCTACGCTTTCATATTTCTAAAATCAATCAATTAAATCAAGAAAGCCTATTACAGGATAGACGAATTCATAGAAGACAACATATCAAGTAAATAATTAGTTTATTAGCATACAACGTTATAATTTGTTTATCTCATTGCTTTCTTACATAAAAATTGTTTAATATAAGATTTGAAAGTTCTTCCGTGACTCTCTCAGTTCTCTAAGTTCTTCCGTGTATATATAATATTTTCATAAATGTATTGTGAAGTAACTGTGAGGATATTTGAGTCTTTAAAGCATTGACGTAATGACTCTCTTGAACCCATACCATAAATAGAACGTATGGCTCTCTTTTGTAAAACAAATATAGTATTTATATCGGCTGCTTTACCCCACAGCAGTATGCCATAAGACATTATGCTATGGAAATAACTAAAATATACAAGTTTAGCCGTCGCCACGTCTGTTAATTGCCTAATTCTTCTAATTGCATATGCAGCAGAACTGAGTCTACTGGCCAATTTTGAAATATGGGGCCCCCATTGTAATTTCGAGTCTACTGTAATACCTAAAAAAACTGTATCATTAACAAAATTTACTATTTCGTCATTAAGCAATAACTGTGTATTTATTAGTCTTACATTAGGAAGTGTAAATTTTATACACTTTGTTTTGCTGGAATTTAATAATAGGTTATTACATGTAAACCAATTTAATATTGGGATCCAGGGGGAACCGCGTGGAGGTCGACCTGACATGGTACATTGCTAGTAATGGGGTTATCAATCCACATTACTAACAATCCCCCCAATAATAATGGTTAGCAATGTACCATACCAGGTCTACCTTCATGCGGTTTCCTGGATACCATATTAATGAATACCTGGTGAATCGCTATTATGGGCTCGATAAGAGTCGGTTAGACTCTGTTCATCCTACCATCCTGTACTGGTGGGGCACCAGTACCAGCACCACCACTAGCAGCGTATACCGTCAGGTAGGTGCACCAGGTGCATCTATTACAAATGTACTAGTGCTACGGCAATGTCTTATTTTGACATTCCTCATTACTAACAATCCCTTTCTACCGACCTTGTGGGCCGACTTTCTATGTAGCACGCAGTCAGAAATAATATAAAAAATTAACTTATTCTTTTGAAGACAATAGCTGCCTTTACATGTATAGACTTTCACGCGATGAAGAGTATGCATGTGAAGGTAGACAAAGAGAAGGAAAAAAATCGTGCTAGCCCCGCGCAATAACACATTTTTTAATCACGTGTACTTTCGTGTTTAAAGAAAATAAAATCTGAGTAATATCCAGACATTTTTTTAAAAGAAAAGGCATATTTTACGCTCGCGTCTGCTCACGTGTTTCATGTAACGTAACATGAAACGTGTACAATAGCGTGATAGCTTGAAAAAAGGCGGGAAACGTTAAACTTGGCGGGCGCGTTTTTTCTTTTGATTTAAATTTTATACATATTTTTCATTATTTAGTGATTGTGATACTGTATTTAGTTCTTTAATATCTATTATTTAGTTTGTTTATTGTAGTTAGTATAAATAGTTAGCTGTTTTATTGGTAAGTTTTTCGTTTTTTCATTTCTATGGACGATCCCCCGACCCGGGGGGATTTGTCCCTCCGGCTTCTAACTATGTTACAATTTCATGCGAATCGGGTATGGAAACCGATACGTCTTGTTCAAACCGATCGATAAAACGCAGTCGGTTACAAAGATTTTGTAAAAGTTGTAATAAACGGAGAAGAAAAAATTCTTCAGATAAAATTACAGATTGCCACTGTACAGATGACATAAATGATGGCATTGAAATACAAAAACCTCTCACGGAAGTGATTTTCACTCCACAATCTGTAAATTTAGATCCCCCTCATCCATCCACATCTAAAGAAACAAATGAAAATAATAATATTTCTGAACCAGTAGCAAGGAAAATGTATGAACCCACAGACCATGCCCCATACTTAGTTCATGTAGTAAGACAAGAAAAGTCTCCAAATGACGGTACTACACTTCACCCTGTGACATTTGGTAAATTCCTCAAAAAACAGTATTTTAAAAACATTATTAATGGAAGTGTAAAACGCATTGGACGAAATAAAATTGCATTATCTTTCTCAGTTTACCATGATGCTAATACATTCATTAATCATAACAGTTTAAATGATTACAAATTACAGGCTTTTATACCAACATTTAATATTACACGTATGGGTCTGGTACGAGGTGTTCCGAGTGATTGGAGTCCAGATGAAATATTACAAAATATTTCTGTTCCTATCGGTTGTGGCAATATACTTAAAGTAAGACGGCTAAATTACAAAGTTGTTGTTGATGGCTCTCCCACTTGGAAACCTTCTCAGACAGTAGTAGTCACATTTGATGGTCAGGTACTACCAAAAAGAATATTCATGTGTTATAATGCATTACCAGTGGAATTATACACTTATCCAACTATACAATGTTTCAATTGCTGTCGTTATGGTCACACTAAAATTCAATGCAGGTCAAAGCCACGTTGTTTTAAATGTGGTCAAAATCATACAGGAGAAACATGTGATGTTGAAGATGCTTTTTGCTGTTTATGTTCAGGAAATCATTTTTCTACTAGCAAATCTTGTCCAGAATTCAATAGACAAAAACAAATAAAGTTATATATGGCTGAAAATTGTATTTCATATGCTGAGGCCTCAAAATTGCACCCTGCTGTTACAAAGCCTTTTGCTGAAGTCCTTTCCACGCCATCAGCACATGGAACATCATTCAGCACTTTAAAAAATATATCTGAATCAAAAACTTATAATGATACTGCTTTTAAACAATCTTATAAAAAAACCGTATTCTTAAAACCTAAATCTCCTCATCCATCCTATGTTGGGTATGATAAAGTTGCCCATGAGAATATTATAAAAGATTTTAATATGCCCTCCCCTTCTAATGGCTGTGCGCTTAACAGTCAGTATAAAAATGAAAGTCAATCTAATATTAAAGAAGTTATTATTTCATTAATCAACTTACTTGTAAGTTCTAATATAATACCGTCCCACGTTGCCCCATTTATAGAAATATTCAAAAATCTACTCCATAATGGATCAAGTAGTCCAATGGAATTGCAGAAGTGTACTTAGCAAAAAAAGTGATTTAATTCATTTAATCAATAAATATCAACAACCACTTGTTATTGCACTAACTGAAACTTGGCTTAAACCTGATTATAATTTCAAATTATCAGAATACTCTTGTATTCGAGATGATAGGCCAGATGGGTATGGTGGGGCTGCCTTACTCATCAATAAAGCTACTCATTTTTCTTCTATTTCTTTACCTCTTTTTGACAAAAACAATATTTCTATGGTTGCTGCTGTTGTCAGCGATATTTGTTTAGTCTCCCTTTATATACCTCGTCCTTCCTCTTCAATTATTGCATATTTAAATGAGTTATTTTCAATTCTTCCTAAACCTTTTTTAATTATGGGTGATTTCAATTGCCATCATCAAGCTTGGGGCAGCTCCTATTCTAATTACCATGGTGAGCAATTGTTAGGCCTTCTTGATTCCCATAATCTGTGTGTTTTAAATGACCCAGTACCTACTCGTATTACTGCTCCCACTGAAAGAAATAGTGCTGTAGATCTCTCTATTTGTTCTTCCAATTTATCTTCCTCTCTATCATGGTCTATCCTTTCATCTGCATATGGGAGTGACCATTTTCCTATTATCATTTCATTACCAATTCATAAAAAACATCCTCGAAAAAGAAATTATTTTTACAAACATAAGTTAAATAATAATAATAATTGGGATAAATTCCAAATTGGTGTACAAAATAAATTATCATCTCTCCCTCCTATTACTTCTGGTAATGAATCGGACTGTTCTGAAGCCCTCAGCAAAATTTTGATACAAGTCGCTGATGAAGTTTTTCCTGTAAACAAACATAATAATAATAAAATTCCTTCTCCACCTTGGTGGGACCATGAATGTACTACAGCTATTAAATCCAGGAAACTGGCAGAAAGATTATATTGTAATGATATGAGTTCAGAAAACTTCACCAATCTATCTGCCCTACTAGCCTCCACCCGGAAACTTTTAAAGAAAAAGAAGTCAGAAGGATGGAAACGTTTCTGTTCTTCTATTTCGCCTCATACTCATCCTTCCCTTGTATGGCGTAATATAAAAAGATACAGATCTGCTTTCCAAGATTCTCCTTTTTTTACATTATCAGAGACTACAGCTAACGAGTTTCTAGATCGTTTAGCACCACCCTACGTATCTCATATGGATCCCATAACGCGGCCACTTTCCACCAATAAAAATATAAACTCTTCAGCTCTTGACAGTCCTTTTACATTTACGGAACTTAAAACCGTTCTGTCTCATACGAAAGATTCATCTCCAGGAAATGACCACATTCCATATTCATTTTTAGCGAATATTAATGATGAATGTATGTTGTATTACCTTAATCTCATAAATTCAGTAATGTTAACTGGGAATATTCCGTCGTCATGGAAACATCACACGGTATTGCCAGTTAAAAAACCCAACAAACCTTCCGATGACAGTAGTTCATATCGTCCTATAGCTCTTTCCACAGTTCTTTTAAAAATTGCTGAAAATTTAGTAAAAACTCGTTTAGAGTGGTATGTCGAAAGTAAAAAACTATTAGCTGAAAGTCAGTATGGGTTTAGAAGGGGTAAAAGTACATTAGATGGAATCAGTCTGTTCGTTTCAGATATACGTTTGGCATTCTCTAAAAATCAGTCGGTAGTTTCAGTTTTCTTAGATATTAACTCTGCGTATGACAATGTCAATATTAACATATTATGGAAAAAGCTTTGCGATTTGAATGTTCCTCCCATACTTTCTAACTTTATTATTAATATTTTGACGGAAAGATCCATTAGCGTTATATTGTCTGATTCTAATATTTTGTCTCGAGTTGTATGGAAGGGTCTCCCGCAGGGATCACCACTCAGTCCTCTTTTATATAACATCTATACATACGACTTAGAGTCATATGTAAATCAAAACAGTGAGAAAGTCGTTGTACTTCAATATGCGGATGATTTATTGATGTATTTTATTGATCATTCTGTTCAAAAAGCGTGTTCTTTAATTTCCACTTCTTTAGAAAAATTAAAATTTTGGATGGATTGTAACGGTCTTGAATTGTCTGCGGCTAAGAGTGCAGTTGTTCTGTTTTCTAGAATGCGAGTTCCACCCCCTATAAATATCTGTTACAATAATCAGTGTATCCCAGTAAAGACAAAAATAAAATTTTTAGGCATAATTCTCGATTCTAAATTATCTGGTTTACCACATTGTGAATACGTTTCAGCTAAATGTGAACGACTTCTTAATATTCTAAGATGCCTTACGGGTGTGTGGTGGGGATCCCATCCATTTCAATTAAAACTAATATATAATGCTCTCATAAGGAGTGTTATGGATTATGGTACATTTATTTTGGAACCTGCTAATGCTACAGCCCTAAAAAAATTGGATAATATTCAAGCTAAAGCTCTAAGGATTATATTGGGCGCCATGAAATCTAGTCCCATTAATGCGATGCAAGTAGAATGTTGTGATCCTCCATTGTATTTAAGGCGTCAGTATTTATCTGATAAATTTTTATTTCGTATTTTACAGTTTTCTAATCATCCTCTGATCCCTAAATTGCAATCGCTCTCTGATCTTGTTTCTTCGTCATCCTATTGGTCTCATAAATCTCTACCTTGCTTAGTAAAAAGTTACAGAACTTTTACTGCCATCCGAGCTCCCACTCATCGATCTCCCTGTCTTCCATTATTTAGTTCAGCATATGAATCTTTAACTTTTACCCCTGATGTTCATTTTGATATTAACATAGAAAAAGAACATCCTAATGTAAATGCAATGTTTAATCAAGTAGTAAACTCTAAATGGGAAAGCCATCATCAAATTTATTGTGACGCATCGAAACACTCACATACAGGAAATGTTGGTGTAGGAATTTACCACTCACAATATCATATAATTCAGAAAATTAAATTTCCACCAGAGACCTCTGTTTTTACTGGTGAATGCTATGGAATTTTTAAAGCAGTAGAATATATTAAAATTTTTAATCTTAAGCAAACTGTTATATTTACGGACTCTAAAAGTGCTCTTCAAGCTCTAATTAAATGTCCATTCAAATCATCTAAACAGTATCCTCTAATTTTTGATATCCGAGATATGTTGAATAGCATTCGTCTCAAAGGACATATTGTATCTTTTGTTTGGATTCCGGGTCACTGTGGCATTCGGGGCAACGAAAAAGCAGATTTGCTTGCGAATGAAGCTATATTATCTGGAGATCTTTTTCCTTATAAAAACTTTTGCCATGATCTGACTGCCTTGTCTAAGTCTTGTCTTCATGATTCATGGAGTCAAGATTGGACAATAAGTAGCAAAATTAAAGGGAAACAGTACTGTTTAGTCCAACCGTTTATAGCTCTTAAACCGTGGTTTTTCAAATTACATCTTGATAAAAGATCAACTAGTGTTTTGATTCGTATGCGAATTGGTCATGTTTGCAGCCCTGAACATTTAACAAAACTACGTATAAAAGACAATAATATCTGTGAATGTGGAGAAGATGTGGGTGATCTAAATCATATTGTGTTTTCCTGCTCCTCTTACGATCGTTCTTCATTTATAGAGACACTCATCTCATTAGAAATTCCTTTTCCTTCATCCATTGTATGCCTATTAGCTCATCCTAATCCTATAATTTATAAATCTCTTGCGTCTTTTATTTCCCATAATAACATTAAACTTTAAAACCCATGATCACTAATTCCGAGTATATTCAAAATTTAACCCGTTCCTTTCCATTATCCCGTCTCGTTTCCTGTTTTTAGTGGCATAATAGGCAACACTAGCCTCTTGCCAAAGAAGAGAAAAAAAAAAAAAAAAAAAATAGCGTGATAATTATCGGGGGTACTCTGTTCTCGCGGTTAAGAACGTATAGTGTAAAGGCACTTAATGAATCACAGAGTACATGTAGTTTTATATTGAGGTGACGACTGACATTCATTTATGTCATGAGGCATACTAGGCACGAGTTTCTCATTCTTGTTAATTAGTCTATATACTTGTGTATTATTTGTATTTATGTAATTTGTTTACAGTTATAATTATTTCGAATTATTGTGACGTGTTTAATTTGAAATAAGTTTTATTTATAAATATATTTTCTGGAAATTATATAATTATGCATGTAATCACAGTACTCTAGTCTTATCCTGATTTTTACATAATACATTGTAAACTACTCTCAATACATTATCCTTTATAGCTGATTTAATGCTCGCACCTCAAATAATGCCGGTTTACTATGAGTGGTAAGAATTTCATTAAATAGTGTAATGTCATCATAAATAATCGGGTACTTATTAATACTTTTATGGTAAATAGAGGTATTTACCTCTCGACGACGACCAGGGCTTAACCCCGGTTAATTATATTAATACCTATCAAAACACTAGTTTAAAAATAACTAATTTAATGTCACTTGCTATCTGTATTTGTATGCAAATATTGCAAATTAGAATTGATTTGTCAACATAAGATACCTAAAATAACATCAAATACAAAAATAAATTGATATTTATGCCCATATTATGGCCAATAATAGAAAAATGAAAATTGCAAGATACTAAATTGATAAAAATATTTATGTATAAAAAATATTTGACTACTTAAATGTAAATTATATGTACTCTACTGATTTGGTTACAGGTCCTCTTTAAAAAAACAGGGTTGCAGGAAACAAGAATGCCCTAGATTTGAATTGTCTAGTCATCCATTAAAAAGTAATGTAACTACTATGGTATGTATCATCAATAACTTTTTACCTCCACTACACTTGCTTGGATCATGTCTTTTCCTTTTCCCCAAATAAAGAATGAAAATTTAGCTTTGTTTTTTAATTTGAAACTTAATATTTTTTTTAACTTCAGTTAGGAATATAAAAGGACCAAACCTGATTACTTTTGACTAAAGATTAATATTAAAATAATAATATTCAACAATCCTCACCAGCAATAATAAATTAAAATTATGTGATAAAAACAGCCTCTCATTGCTTGTACTATACAGTGTATTCCAGAAGTTGATGTCATACCAGGTAACAGAATAAGTCATGATAATTATCAGAGTAATAGAAAATAAAATGTATGAAACATATTTGAAATTTATAGTCTTATTTTTGTTTTTTATTAATAAAAAATTAATCTTCTAATAACTATTATGACTTATTCTATGCTCTAAATAATTGTCCTTATGTATTTATCTCAATATCAATTTAAGTTAAATGTTATAATTTATTAAATTATTTTAATCCTGCTGATTCAGAGATTTTTAAAACTATAATTCTATGAAATTTTTGGAAATATCATCATTGATATGATTTTATGTTTATTCACAGAATGATACTACTAGTACGAGTAAAAAAATTATTGAAAGCCTAAACAAATGGAGTTCTGCCTTTGTAGAAGTAGATCCGTTGCTGCGATTTGAACAACTCAATACAGAAGATGTAAGTATTAAGTTGTTACAAATTATGTGGATTGTAATCTTAATATATATGTATATATATATAGTACTCAAGCCTGGCTGTGGTGGGGTAAGCTGTGATAGAACACTGTTGCTACAATTTGTATATTGGTAAAAAAAATATTATTGATGATGTAACAACTATCATGAAATAACTATATCTATGTATATACCAATTGAAAATATATGTGGGCAGCAAATGATGGTAGTCATACATGCGTCTCAACAACTTTCCCCAAGCAAGAGTGGAAACCTGAAAATATTTTCATGTCAACTGCATGTTATGTGTTCAATTTAATATTCTAAAATTATTTTTAGATTTCTATTTTTCTTCTTGGTAAAAGACACACAGTTTCATGAATATAGTGTTATCTAGATTTCAGTTTGCTATATGACCCTTTACGACTCTCTGATTCTGTATACATATTTCTAGGAAATTAGTCATATTGAAGTAACTAATAAAGGCCCCAATTATTCTAAAACATGGAGCTCAAAACGATCCAGAATACTAAGTAAATATACAACAGGAGAAAAGTTAACAATTATAAGCAGTTTTCTACCTGGTGGAGAAAAAAGTATGTATTATATTAATTAACTAGTTGTACCTGTAACTTCATCTGTGGGAAATGTAACTTTATTTTCTAAATTAAAAGATTTATTCCAAAATAAAAGTAGCCTGAGTTACTCCTTATTCATATAAATAACGACTTTTATCGACAGATAGCTCATAAGCTATCTGTCGATAAAAGTGCCGTCAAAATCAGTCAACCCATTTTAGAGATTAGCCGGAATAAACAGACAGACAAAAATTGTATTTATATTATGCATGTAGTAAGAAACGGATATTTCAAAGTTACAAACAGACACTCAATTTTTTTATATGTATTTGTTTGGATAAACTGTATAATTATTATAAACAAATAGATACAATATATTCTATTGCTAGTCGATATTCTATATTTTATACAATATAGAATATCGATCGTGTTAGCTTACTATGCTTACTAAATCGTCTATTATGACATTGTTGATATGTAAGAAGGTAAGGACACCTTGTCTATTAGTAGTACTTCCTTACTACATGGTGTGATGACTGGGGGTCGAGAATCTCAAGGGAGGCCAGTGTGTCCGCTGTACACACTGAATTGTATTAACGCTATATCTGATGACATTCACAAACCTGAACTAAGATTTTAGTATCTTAGTTCAGGTTTGCAAATGTTATCAGAAATGTAAATGAACATTACCAAAAATTTATATGTAAATATATTGTATGTAAATATTGTATGTGTTGAAAGTATGATTAACATGTTATTTTTTTTTTATTTTTATTTTTCTTTAAGTTAGTTCATTTTCAGCACTTATAAGACAAGTGTCAAATCTCAATGAGAAAGTTAAACATAGACTGGAACAATTAGATGATTTCGACGAAAGTTCTGTCAGAAAAACGATGGGATTGAGTCAACAAGAATTTGTTGTTAAGATTAATATGCTCAATGAAGAAATAAAGAAGGTTTGACCTATGTTTTTATCTAATAGTAAAGTCTCTGCCATTAATTAACTGCTACACACATACACACAGACACACACACTATTATGTTAAAAATAATAATTTAAATCCCTGCAATTTTTTCGATGATATCACAATGTACAAAGAATTTACTCGACTTAAGAGCTTCCTTTCAATTGTAATCGGAATCGGCAATCGGCAGTCAATTGTAATCAACTAATTTGCAATAATGATCGCATAGCGCATCTTCATCAGATATTATTATTATGACAAAAACTTTTGTTTTCATATTCAATTATTAAAATATATAAATTTAATTTTCTGCATGTGTTGACGCATTTTATATTTTTTATTATTATCGGATAAAACTATACCCGAGAAAGTGGTCCCAGTTTTGTTTCTTTTAATGGATGATAATGAAATGATACACCTGTGCTAACGGTTTACGCAGGCGGGGCACCAGTGAAGGATGATAAGGATGAGCATGAAGTTAGGTCAGTTAACCCATCGCCGCACTCACTCGTCAACAAGTTTCTAGAGGTGACCACGTGGAGGTCGGCCTAACATGGTAAATTGTTAGCAAGGGTACTACTGTACCCCATTACTAATAATCCCTTCCCCCCTGTCAAAATTGTGTTATGAGTGATGTTACTATGAACCACTGGTTATAAGAAACCAAGGATATAAAATTAGTTTTACCATTTTTTGCAGGCTTGGGATACTGAACAAAGGGTGAAAGCATTTAAAATTGGTATACAGTGTTCAAAGTTACTATCTGACGTGAATGTTATGCAATTCTATCCCAGTAAATTTGTATTGATCACAGATATATTGGACACGTTCGGCAATTTAGTATTTGATAGACTGAAATTTAAAAGTTATGGGTAAGTCAATATGATTTAAGTTACATTATAGTTGTTTATTCGTTTGTTACTTTCGTAATAATCATTCAATTGCACTCATCCCTGATTTTTGTTTACGTAATGTATAAACATTATCGTTATTTACTGTTATCAATTATCAATCGATTTTTATTGAGCGGAGCTCCAAGTGTGGAGCGGTTGTAGAGATCAGATTTGCACTCTTTGTAACGATACTCCTCCGAAATGACTTGACCGATCGAGCCTCCATCAAAACAATACACGGATAACAAACCTTACAATATTTTTTATTTAATTTGGTCACCACGATACAAGCAATTATACTCATAAATATAAATGTTTATACTAGGGATGTGCCGATCATGACTTTGGCTGACTAGCCGACTAGCCGATTAGTCGGCTGTAAAGAAGCCGACTAGTCCGGCAACTAATCGGCCAAGGCGATGAAGTTTTCGGTATATAACGTACAACCATATTAAGTACCGACATCCAACTCTGATACCTCAGTTAGTTATCTGCTATCAAATGTTCATTTCAGAAACATTTAATTTTACTTTATTTAAAAATGTGGAATGTAATTCCAATAATAGTAAAAAGCCCGACCGAAGCGCCGTACCGGCCGACTATTCGCCGACGGATAGTCGGCTTTACCGACTAGTCGCCGACAAGTCACATCTCTAGTTTGTACCATGTGAGCAATTGAATCCGCGACCACCGGAAGTAAAGCGGTACGCTAAACCGCTAGGCTTCAAATTGTTATATTAGTGTAATAATATGACAATCCTTGTATGTTTCTTTAAGTTATAAATATACTCTACGTACCTACTAAGTAGGTAGGTATATATTGTAAACTAATATATACCTACGTATGTACTGAAATAAAAAAAATACACACATTTATGTTCTTACAAGGGTGGGTAATAAGTTGTCGTGATCCTATAATGGTGATGATTGTCCTAATTTTATTACAGAACAGTTGGAGTAAATAATTTACAAGACATTGATCCTGCAGATGTGTCTGAGTTAGCTAAAGAGACATGCCAAAATTGGCTTTTTAAAATGGCCTCTATAAGAGAGTTGCTTCCACGTCTTTACATGGAAATGTCCTTATTGAAGTGCTATTTATTTATTTCAAAGAATGAAATAAAGCCCGCCTTGGTAAGGCTTACTAAAATGATTAGGGGTATAGGAAACCCATTGGTTGCTGCATATTTAAGGGTTTACCTATGCCATGTGGCTTCCAAAATATTAGGAAAAGAAAGTGAAGAAATATATTATAATAATTTGAAAGAATTTTTATGTGATTATCAACAGGTACGTCAATATCTGTAGAAAAATGTGAATGAATGAATGAATTAAATTAACAATAATTCTTTGGGCCGAGGTAGTTCTGGTACAAAGTTGTTTGTGTGGGTACCTCTGGCTCATCTATTTGAACTTGGCTTTGTAAGATGTATTTTGGTTGAAGTTTGAGACATGGGAATGAAATTACAATATATTTTGTTAAAGACGCACTTAAATAGTTTATGTCGAGTGCGTTTCTGAGTTTATCGCGGAAAACTCATAGAGAAAGGGATAAAAATTCTTACAATAAATTTTTTGAGTTACGATTGTCTTCGTATAATAGTTTATCTCGTATATCTTTCATGTACAGATGAAACCAATCAGTACCATTTTTATTCTACATAATATACATGTATGAATAAATATGTACGAGGTTACTGCTATAATACTGTTATATATTATTATTATTTATCTATTTTTGATGATGATTATTTGATTATATTAATGTCATTACAGATATTCCATCAAATGATGAAGAAGAAATATGAAGGACAGTTATTAACTCTAGATAAATATTTAAACCTATATGTGCCAGCTGTTGATTGGTTATTATATGGTACCCTTATCGATTCTAGTAAATGTAAAGACACCCTCCTGGAAGAATTACTGAGGCAGTGTGAAGAAATTGAAAATAAGTTAGTACACAAATGCTTTAGTTCTTTTCAACTTATTTAATTAAGTTTATTTCTAATCTTATTTTTTTGCAGTGAACTATTACTTTGTTGCGTTGTTTCGGCCTTTGACTCCCTGAGCATTATAAAGAAATCTTTATATATTTTAGAAATGATTGAAAAGGACACTGATAAAATGGGTGAGTGTCTAATTTACTTGATATTTTATTAGGTAGGTATGTTTAGGTTTCACTTTCAGTGGCATATTTCGTAAATAATCTGATATATAATTTTATGTTTAGATTTATCAAGCTTTCTGGTGTGATATGACTATATGAGACACTGTGGGAAAAGCTTTAATGGTAAAAAATTCTATATAGCCAGGGAAAATATATAAATATTGGCATAATAATGAAATTATTGTTATTAAGTAGGCGGATATTTTTCAGCAAACTAGTATTAGACCAAATGAAATATCCTCATTTATACTCTATGACACTTAGCACGTGGAAATCATGATCGCAAAAATTAGCATCATGCATACAGGTTGCATAGGAGTTGGGGTTAACAAACTGATACATATATACATCATCGTCATACACTAATTTATTTAAGTATATTTATTAATCATTGTTTTTTTTTAACCAGATATATTTTTTTTATTTACAGTATTATTGAACGAAATTCTGACGTCTTTTGGAGAACATCTGAGCACGGCGGAGAACTACCGACACCAGTCCGCTGAAACATTGATTCAAACATTTTGGAAGGTCGCAAGCAACATGAAGTCAGCTTTTCATTTCTTACAGGTTTTGGAACCATGGCTTCAGTTTGCATGTACACATTTGTCTGTGAGTATATATTTTTTTATTAGTCTAGTTAATCGGCAATCACCGTTAGACTTCGGTATAACATTCAGTCTATTTGCGCATTCGACGACCACGGTGGTCTAGCGGTCTAGCACATCGCTTTACGTCCGATGGTCGCGGGTTCGATTCCTCGCACGGCACAAACATTTGTATTCATGAGTATGATTGTTTGTATCGGTCTGGGTGTTTTCTATGTATGATATGTATGTATTTACGAAAAAAAAAATATCTATGTACTTGTATCAGTTATCTAGTACCCATAACACAAGCTTTAGATAGCTTAACTTGGGACTAGATGGCGCTGTGTGAATTGTCCTGAGATTATTATTATTATTATATTCGCTTTAGTATACAAGTATATTCTATGTTCATTAATGGTTGTTCAATTTATCGATCACATCAGTTGAATCATTTATGATAACTAACAGCTGTCAAAGAATGAAACTCATGCAAGTTGACATGAAGGTATATTTCGGTCCAGTCCAGTGAAGTTGGAGTGAGTAGTTAAATTGTGTGGATTATACAATTTATTACATTTAAGTTTCTTAATTTGCAGACACAACATGTTAATATTATATTGAGAGGAACTATTCGCTACATGATAAAATGTGGCAGACCTGCCGATGAGTTCTCGGCCAATTTTCAGTTTGTCGTGAAAAGAATGTTGAAGTCCATTCCAGATGTTGAAGAACTATTTCTGATGGTGAGACTCATTAGCTGCCTTCACATATACGCTCTTTCACTCGCAAATCGCCTTTCACACAGGAATGTGTGTCTACGGAAAGGTAAACAAAGACAACGAGAATACGTGCACGCTCGCCGTGCTTTCGCGGATTCCTGTATATTTTTATAACGTGCTTGTTTTCGCGCATTTTTGGTATAACAAATTATCACTCCAAAATGGCTGATATTTGACATTGATACAAACACTTCATATTTTAGTTGAAATTTTATAAATCTAGAAACGTGTATACGGAAAGGGAACTGAATCACCAGAAAACTCATTCTTGTAAGAAACGAGCAACAGCTAGCTAGATAATAAGTGTATGTAAAAAATAGATATAAATAATCCCTCAAATTGCACGCGTGTATTTATGAGCGATTCTTTAAGCGTGCGCTTTTCTCCGTTAAATCGGTAGTACTTCTGAGTCCGCGTGAGAGAACGTGTCGTATAAAGCCAACTATTGACATATAACATCTGCTTCTCTTTTAAATTTATTTTTGTTGATAATTGGGTTTCCTGATAATTTTGTATATTATTATATTCAGGATGCATTTATGCCGCTAGTGGAGTTAGTACAGACGCCAAATGCGCGCACAATGATGGCTAAAACTGTGTTGTCAATGTTTTTCTCACGGTACAGTTCCGATTGCATTGAGGATCCTATTATAATTTCAAGCTTGATGAGGTTGTGTACTATATTACACGATTCTATAAGGTAAACTTTTAATAAGTTTGAACCATAATATTATACTATAATACAGATATATATATATTATTAATATATTATTGTGTGATAAAAAATGTGTGAAATAAAGATACAATTTTTTTGACTTTGATATGACTATATTATATACCTTTGTGTTTATATTTCAAGTGCTGTAACAGTTGAAGATGAGAGTAAATTATTTGCTGATCTCATCAATAAATACATACAGGCCGTCAGTTATCAAGATGACTTCGAGCAACAGCTTAATTTTTATGTAGAGTCTCGATCAGCATTCATCAAGCTAGATGCGGTTCTAGTCACTTTGGTACATGTGAGTAATATATAACCATTTACCTTAAACAATACATAAAATTAGCAATGACGACGAAAACCAATTAGCTTACATCATATAGTGTTTTTATAAGAATAGACTTCTAAGTAATATCCCCATCATAATATTACTCAGTGCCTAATATACCTAATCATGCAATCAACAATATTACTTATATAACTTACAATAATAAACGAGTAATAATAGTGGAATATCGTCAAAAAATGTAAGTCCTACAGTAAAGCAATGCTGTAAACGCTTCGGTGGTGTATTGATACCCACCGCTATAAATTTTAAACAACTTCTACAGCGAGCTACTTTGATTGACATTTCCATATTGTTATTACCGGAAGTAGCCGATTTAAGTATTGATTATACAATGTAATAAATAACTTTTTATTTTATTCGTACTAAACACATACATGGGCGTAGCCGCGGTGGGGCAGGGTGGGCCGCTTGCCCTATCCTGGCTTTGACCTGTAAGATACCTAACCAAACCTAAAAAATAAATTATCCGAGTACTAACTACAGTATCCGTAAGAAAGTTCATACTCGACAGTTGACACAAAAATAACATAGGTTGTAGTGTGTACCTTTTGTATGATAAAAAAATTATCAGGGTAAGACCGCGGGCATAGTTTGCTAGTTACATAATTGCAACTTATAGACATAATAGTTGATATATGCATTACATGTAGGCTGTGAACGCACTGTCGGTGCGCGATACGGGCGGTGCGGGCGCCAGTGCGGGCGGCTGGTTGCAGCGCGCGTGCGCGGCGTACTGTTTCATTACTGTTCCGTCGTTGCACTGCGCACTCACCAAGCTGCACCTCTACCTGCTATCGGGACAGGTCGCGCTGCTTAATAACTGCATCGGTCAAGGTTACTGCCGTTTAATTATGTATTTATTTTGCCTGCTTTCTCGTTGGTATCGAATGGGCTATGTTAGAATAGATTTTGTAATATAACCGTTGATATTTCTATTTCTTATTATCTTGCTTTTTAGGCCAAGATTTTACGAACTATTTCACTCGTTCTCCACCACTGACTATCTTCTTCACAATTCAAACTATTGTAAACCGATAGAAAAGACAGGACGAATGATACTTTTTCTACAATATTCTTAGTAGTATAGGATAGGCGGTATAGGTAAAAATTGTTATATTATTTTTGATTATATAATTATTAATTATTAATATAATTTCTATCCAATAGCCGAGGCCAATTTCAAAGCACTCATTGGACTAATACCAGACATTCCAGACTACGTATTGGAAGATGGTCAGAAGAAACCAACGCATATTAAAGTCGCAGGGATTCTGAGCGATTTTTTGTCTACACTGTTGATATTGCCCGTGGGTACTTATTTAAATAAAGATAGATTATAAACTATTACTATTAATCGTATTTCCAATGGCAACATTTATATACATTCAATTCATGATTTAACAAAATCTAAAATGATGAAGTACTTAAATTATTGTTACATAATAAACTTTTTCTTTTTAATTTAATTTCTAATGATTTTAATTGAATTTTGATATCTCACATAAACTTCATATGTTTTTTATTAATGATTTTTTTGTAATCCTTTTTAAAACTGGTTTGGTTTGTTACTATGTTTATATATTTTAGGATAATTTGGATAGCAACTGCAAAGTATATATATTGAGTGGATTAATAAAAACAATTGAGAGAATACATTGGAAGAAAACGGAACCATTATATTACTCTACCTTACTTCGTATTCTGGATCTACTAAGTGAATTGATGCAAGAAAAATATGCTTATCATTTAGATTGTGGTTAGTAACAATTCATGATACTGAACTTGTGTGTCTTAGTGTATATTAAAAATATGTAGTAACTTTTTTATTAACTTTATTCTCTGAAGAAATAATCCGTCTTATATACTTATATTTTAACATTTCGAAATTTAATTAAAATTTTAATTAGCAGAAACGTTAATCTGTTTTTACATACTTATCTTTCGATTTACATTTTAGTTCTATCAAATGATGTTCTATATGGATCAGAGTCGGAGTTCGTCAGTGTCATAGAAAACTATGCAACAAATATATGCCAAGAGCTATTAGTGGTTTTGAAAATGCTTGGCGATGTTAAAGAAACCAAGAAACAATATAATTTAGCTTTGGAACTATTTTGGCGAGTTATAAGGCGAGGTGATTTACACCAGGGACCTATGCTGAGTTTAGGAGCTAATTTATGGATGTTATCGCAAAAACTACAGGACTCTAATAATAAACTCGCTGTAAGTAAACTGATTACAGTAGACGAAAAAAAAAATACAATACTTACCATTGCTTTTTATCGTCGGTGTTCTCTATTAAAATACTACATCAGTGAACTTTTGTATAAAGCTTTAACTTTGTCTCTATTACGATAACGAAACATTTATGTACGTGTAATCGAAAAATATAGGCGCTTCCGTTACTTGAATCATACCAAAGATTATGTGAAAGGCCCAATAGACTAGTGAGTACTGATACATAATGATTGTGGGTCATATCTTGTATTTGCGTTTACGTGGAGTTTCACCTATTTCAGCCGTTAAGCAGTTTAGTTTGTAAACTGTATTTCAGTTGTAGGGTGGGATTAGGCAGGGAAATTACAGGATAAGAGACATGACATCTTAGTCCTTTGGAATAGCAACGTATGAGTAGTGTGACGGGCGGCATATGATAACGTGATGTCCATAATGTTATTTACCTATATAAATGACGGTTACCGTTAACCATCAAGTGAGCCGTCAGTTTGTTTGTCATTCGCATTAAATGTACCTTGTATCACACTGGTGAGTCAATAGCGGTAGCTCATAGCGTTATTAATCTGGCGGTTGTCACGTCTTGGTTTTTTTTCTTATGAACTGTAGCTATTATTTAAGAGTTATTCTGTTACAGAGGACTATGCTGCTATCATTGGAAAATGACAATAGACCAGCAAGTAAACGTTTACTTCAGAAACTTGAAGAAAATTCTAAATCATAAAATTAATTTGATTGATGAATGTTAATATAGTAATTATAAAGAAAACTTTCGTTTATGTAAATATAATAATATAAATATTGTATTTATAATAATAAATAATATAGGTATTTAGTGTACCAATTGATGTTTCAATAATAAAAATCATTTAGATCGTTGTGGGAACGACTTCAATTTCCACGATATATCTTCTCTTTGTATAAATATGCATTGTAAATACAACAAAATGGATCTTCAATTTTTATGTGAATATACAATTACCTACGAGAGATAAATGAAATTAAAAATTTTTTTTGCTGTTATCCATGTTACTTCAAGTGGGTGCAAGCGTCTTTGCTTCGCCATAGAGTTTATGGCTGTTTGGAAGTGAACTGAGAGGCGACAGAGTCGCTGTTTGGCAGACAATACATGATTTTGTCCATTCAATAATGACTTTGTTCACATATTTCCAAAAATATTTGTTGCTCATAATTTCTCTAGTAGCACGCGCATCACCATGATTGTATTCGTTAATGCTTTGTAGGCTGTAACACGCAATTTCTTCAATAGATGAGGCGTGGTGATTCCAGTGGGTGCAACGAGGATAATACAATTTCTTGAATTTTGAGTTTTTAAATTCCCATAAAGTACATACGTAACTCGCCATCCAATTGAGAATGCAAATTTATTTCGTCAATTCTAGAAGTGCATCTGCGACTATGTATGGGCTTAATCTGGATTATATTTATGTATATTTAAATAAAATTACAAAGCAAACGTTTATCTAATTTAATTTTATATGAGACAAGAAAGTGACATATTTAAGTTGCGCGCAGGTGTGCATGCGCGCTGCCTATACAATATATTTATGTACGTATAAATACATGCCTAGTTATCTTAGATCGTTGACAAGGTAAACATGTACGTGTCCACTCTCTGCAGTCTTTTTTAATACCAGGCCATACGTAGCGTTCTGCTACTAACTTGACCGTTGCATTAGCACCAGGATGGCTTAACGCATGTAGGCTATTAAAAATTTGTTTCCGCAGTGGTTTTGTAACAAAGGGTGTGAAGGATGGAGATCAAGATGACGAGCAAAAAGTAAAACGGCACCGTTGTAGTTGATAGAATATTTTTTTATTAAATTGACTTATGTCATATAAAAACAATATAATATTATAAAAAAACATAGATAATAAAAAAGGTATAAAAATAGTTTCCAACAAAGGGCCTTGAAATTGGAGTGCTCACGTTACAATATAATTCGGCGTGAGTTCCGGGTATCTTTACCTTTTCGAAATGTAATGATGTTTTGTGTTCCAGCATTTCTCTTAATTCTGGATCGGATGCCTGTGACTCAGATAGTTGAGAGAAATCTATAGAAAGTTCTAGCTCTTCTACTCTGTACAATGTGTCAGCGACTATGTTATTTTTACCTTAATGATGTCTTAAGTCAGTTGTAAATTGCGATATAAAATCTAAGTGACGAAACTGTCTCGGTGAACATTTATCCTTGCGTTGATGAAATGCGAAACACAATGGTTTATGGTCTGTGAAAATTGTAAAATCTCTGGCTTCAACCATATGTCTAAAATATTTTAATGCTTCGTAAATCGCGCGAAGTTCTCGATCGTATGGAGAATATTTTTGTTGGGCTGCGGTTAACTTGCGTGAAAAGAAAGCAAGCGGTTGCCAGTCACTGTCTTTATATTGCTGTAATGCAGCACCAATTGCTTTATCTGATGCATCTGTGACAAGACCTAATTTACATTGGCAATCGGGATGAGCGAGAAGTGTAGCACGACAGAGACTTTCTTTGCAATCCTCAAAGGCTTGAAGCGTGTCACCACATAAGTTGACAGGGTGAGAACCTTTTACAGAACCAATCATTAGAGAATGAAGGGGTGCTTGAGTTTCTGCAGGTCCGGGAACTGTCTGTAGAAATTAAGCATTCCTAAAAATCCTCGAAGCTCTCTCTCTCTCTCTAACTCTCTTCGGAGGTGGAAAAGATTTGATAGCTTCAGCTTTCTCCTCAAGAGGTTTAATTCCATCAGCTGATATACTGTATCGAAGAAATTTGACTTCAGATTGACCAAAGTTGCATTTTGCAATATCAATAATGATACCGTAATCCTTCAGTCTACGGAATAGTATGCACAGATGCTCTTCATGGAGGTCTTCATTCTTCGAAAACACTAGAAAATCGGCAATGTATAGATAGACAAAATCTAGCCCTCGTGTAATTTCATCCACAAAACGCTGAAAAGTTTGACCTGCATTTCCTAATCCGAAGGTCATGGCAGGAAATTCATATAATCCGAATGGTGTTGTGATGGCAGTCTTATGAATATCGCCTGGATTAACTGGAATCTGATGGAAGACTTTAACAAGATTAATTGTTGAGAATACTGTACAGCCTGATATACTGTGTGTGAAATCATGGACATGTCTGACAGGATATCTATCAGGTATGGTGAGAGCATTCAGCATTCGATAATCTCCACAAGGTCGCCATCCATTATCTTTCTTTATGGTGAGATGTAGTGGCGAAGCTCAGGAGCTTTCTGAAGGTCGTGTAATACCCAATTTCAGCATATTCTCAAATTCTGTGTTTGCTATTTTTAATTTGTCTGGCGCGAGGCGGCGTGGTGTGCAGGATATAAGTGGTCCTGGTGTGGTCCTGATAAAATGAACAGTACGGTGCTTAACTTCAGCTTGTCTTCCAGATGGTTGTGTGATTTCAGGAAAATCTTTCAGGATTTGGTCGTACCGTGAGTCACCGTTTGGTATCTTGATAGAAGAAATGGCAGTTGATGAGTGAGCAGGAGAACAAACGATAGATTTCGTTGTATTGTCCAGCAAACGTTGGTTACCTATGTCTACAAGAAGGCCATAGAACTTCAAGAAATCAGTTCCTATAATTGTTTTAGTGACATCACCAACGATGAAACGCCATGGGAAATCGCGACGTAAATCAATATCCAAATCTAGATGAGTATATCTGAATGTGTTAATTGTTGTACCGTTTGCAGCAGATAATTCAAAATCTGATTTAGGACGACGCTCATGTAGTCCTCGCCGTGGGAAGACACAAATGTCGCTACCTGTATCGACAATAAATTGCATCTTCGACCGACGATCTACAACAAACAGGCGACCATACGTATTGGGACGATCGTACGTCGCCATTATAGACCGCTCTCTGCATTTCCCGCATGATATTTACATGGTTTTACACAACGCTTCGCTTTTGATCCAAACTTTGCGTGGTACCAACAGGTCGGGAATTTTCTATAGTTGGACTCTGATCGCGTTTTCGAGTGACTGCGAATTCGTTGACGAGACGGGGAACGAGACTGACGATCTAGAAGCATCTTCATCTGTCTTCGAAACTCAGCTATCTCGTTAGCCATGGTGTCTAGCGATGATCCTGGCACTGAAGCTGCTGATACTTGCGGTGTGGCTGGAGTGATATCCTGGATGCGGTCTGCCAGGTCTGAAAGTATCTCTAGTGACGCTGTGGGTTGAGCGGCTATCACCGTTTGTACGCTGTGTGGTAGTCTGCTTGTCCAGATAGTCTTGATGAAGTCTTCTGGAACGTTGGGTCCTGTGAGACTTTGTAAATGTCTCAAAAATTGAGATGGGCGGCGGTCTCCTATTTCCTCATGCATGAGAAGTTGTATTACTTGTTTTTCACGCGAGGCGTTTAGACGTTTGATAAGCTCTGTTTTTAATTTATAATATTTTTCAGTGGAAGGTGGAGAGATTATAATATCTTTGACTTCTTTCGAAAATTGATGATCCAGTTGTCCAATAACGTAATTAAATTTTGTTATATCCGATGTAATATTTGAAACTGCGAATTGTCCCTCGACTTGTGCGAACCATATTTCTGGCTCTTCCGGCCAGAAAGGAGGAACGCGTATTCCGACTTTGAACAGTTCAGTTGGTTCGGTAGCTATTGTATTTTCCAAAGACATGATGTTAATATATATCAGTAAAATTGTGTTTTATATGTAATTTTGTTCTTTAAAAATATGAATTATATATACTTACGGTTCTGTCCAAGAGTTATGGGCTTAATCTGGATTATATTTATGTATATGTGACGAATTAACTATTATCGCGCGGCAACACCGTTGCCTAGTTACTACAGAAGAATAGAATAACAAGTTTGTCATTCGAGACCGAATCACCTTCTTGTATATATATATATCAATTGTAAATATTTTGTTAATATACATAATGTAAATAGCAATCACTGGATCTATCACTTCATCTCCTTTCCTGCTGCTTCTACATGAACACAAGAACACATAATCATAAATAATAGCGGCCCCATCTTACACGCTAAATATATTTAAATAAAACTATAAAGCAAACGTTTATCTAATTTAATTTTATATGAGATAAGAAAGTGACATATTTAAGTTGCGCGCGCAGCTTCTCATGCGCGCTGCCTATACAATATATTTGTGGCGAATCTACGGACAGCGTGTGTCATCCCTGTTGCCTGGCGACACAAGAGGGAGAAAAATAACAATCCTGTCATAGCGGACCGAATCACTTCTTTTCTTATATAATTTCCATTTATATTATTATTATCATTCACTACTGTAAATAATATAAGAATACACATATATATACAAAGCCACGACTGGTCTCATTCTATCATCGCTTTTCCTGCTGCTGCCTATAATAGATGAACACTGGATATATAAGTAATAGCGGTAACAATCTACCTGCTAAATATATATGTACGTATACAACCATATATGTTCTGCAATCCTTGCGTATGCTTAATTTGTGTGCAGACCTGACTAATAAAATCAAGGAGTCGCAATTGTCGAGGTGTATCACTGTCACGCGCAGCTTTTTTATGTATGGAGTACACGAGTGGCTTGTGATCTCGTTTTTTTTAAATATGCATAAAATATGTTAAGGCGCATTCTTGTAACGCACTATTTTTATGATATGAGGACACGTAGATACTGAATTGCAGTATGTATTTGTAATGTCCGATTGTTTGAATCGAAGCTTCTATACAAGTGACCATAGATCCATGAGCATTTTGATTGGTCACTTTAACAATAAGTTTTCGACCGCTGACGTTGACTGATAGCTTGTGATGGCTTAAAAAGTCGGCGTTAAGCATAAGGTCTACATAATTTTTATGTAGACCTTATGCTTGACGTCGATTAAGCAATAATATTTAGATTCGTGCCTTCGTATCTCACTACCGTTAGCAGCATAAAATTTGTAGATTTCGCATTTGTAGGTTTTTTAATCGCAGGTAAAATAGATGCTGGTCCTTGTGTCCACCAATAACGTACACCACTGTGTAAGTCGGTCAGGCACATGCGGTGGAAAGGATGCACCTTTTTTGTTGTCGCCGGATTTCGCCCTCTTGAGAAACATTGTGTATAACGTGTGGACCGTTGCAACTACATAATTTTCATATATAATTTTGAATATTCCTCTTGATTCATAGAGATTTCATTAGATGCGATGCCGCTGGATACGTGGAGTTTGATTCGTCATTTTGGAGACGGGAGCTGACACTCTCTTGATGCAATTGATCTCATGATTGTCGTCGGCGGCGGAAGCTGAATCTTGATCACGTCGGTATCTTGATCTCGCCGATGTCTTCATCTCGTCGGTGTATTCATCACGTCGGGGTCACCAATTGTAGAGCGGTGGTTATTCTCATCACTGTAGCGTTATATATGTTGTGATGAGGTAGAATATTTTACCGGTATACTCACTAGTATACCGGTAAAAAATTCTACCTACAAATCTACCAAATATAATGGGTAAGACAAAGAGGTATATGTCAGGTATATTAATTAAATTGTATATAATAATATATAGCATGTTGCAATGTAAATATATATATATGACCTACATGGGCGGCGGAAACGGGAGCGGGAGTAGGCCGGCGATTATTTAGTTTTTGCCCCATCTCGAATAAAGTGACGATCTAGGGTTGCTAATATATATATCTCTTCTAGGCAATGTAATGGGCGATATTCGAATTGTAACAACAAAAGAGCTATAAATACACCAAACACAAGTTTGGGCTGTTATTTGTGGAGTATTTTTAATGGTAGATAATGGAATGATGCACTTGCATGCACTAACGCGGGGTAACAGTAGAGCCTGGAATAATATTCATGAAGTCAGAGTAGTTAGCTCGTTATGGCGAATTCACTGGGAATTATCCACGATGATTTTCTGGTGAATTCGGACGGGAGGCATTGAACTGAAGACCTGACATAGCTATTTGCTAGAATGGGGCCACTTCTCCCTATTATTAAAAATTCACACCTACCCCGTTGGAACAGTTTTTCCATATATCACCTGATTGGAGGGTATATAAGTCATGTGGATTAATCACAGCTTTGTCAGTAAAGTAGTTGTTAGGTCGACCTCTACGCGGTACACCTTGGAAACTGGATTGGATAGTTTATGATGAATTAATTGTCTATGTCTGTTTTATACAAATAGTCTAAATTAAATTTGTTAGTCATATAGGGAACGCTAATGTAAAATAGATTAAATGTACAAACTACTTGTGTATAGTCTACAATTCTACATATACCTATACCTAGTTCTATGATGTCCGGATTTACATTTATGTTTGGGAACGATTGTGTTTGCTGCCGTAGATGTTATTAGGTACCAATTTATAAAATAATTTTTAATATAAGTATTCGTAACGGTCTTATTGAGCTATTGTGTTGATTTGAATTATTATATGTTTAAATTGTTTATTAAAACATACCCACGTTACTATATTATAGTATACAAAGTTTATTATAGTTACCAAAGCAAAATATCATTTACCTAATATATTTACACGCGTGGCCTAGTTTAGCTGTTAACAGACAAAACGACTCTAGCATTTGTCTCTTCTAGAATTTCTATGATGGAAACCTTTATAAAAAGTGACTGTCACCAGCTATGTCGAAGTAGCTACCAATGGGCCAATTGGTCTAAGTGGTGACCCCACAGTCGACCGCCGGATGGAGTAAGCGGACATTGTCCAGCAAGATACGCTTGAGTGGTGTGCGCGGTCTGTTGCACCGATCTTTCACCTGCGCAATATTGACGCCTATAAAACCTTGTCATTGCAATTTTGTGACGTTACTTTCATCCCACCTCAAACGTGAAATACAACTCAACACTGTGCGGAGTTGCGGGCTCTTAGAGATTATATTTGGGTTTATACCCATACTGAAAAATGTTTAGATTCAGATGTCTGGTACGATTTAGTGACATAGTGTTATTAATTAAACGGAATTAACATAGCAATAAGATTCAGATGTAATTTCATTCCTGTTCCAGTTATTATTGTGGGCGATATGTGAAGGTGTACTTTCAAGCGATCAAGAAGAAAAGGGATTCGTTCAGCCTTTGGATTTTGGTTCATTATTTGAATCCAGCGATTCCGGTGCGTACTTATGTTAATGTTTAGATTTATTGTAATTTATATAATTCTTGCGGAATCTATTGCTATATTTGTACAGCCAATTGTCACACATGAAATCGTCATATAATTTATCATTTTCAGGCATCGCATCGCTGGCATCGCAACCTATTGCAGCGGCGATACTTAATGTAGATAAGAGCAAATATCCACAATTATTCGATACTGTAGTCAGTAGTTCTATTGATTCATTACAAACTCGCCTCTCTCCAGCAGAAAGCGCTTTTTCAGCTGAACATTTCGGTTTCGATCCTATTGCTAGTAAAAGTTTTCATCCACAAGTGAAGTCAGCTAAATTAGTTGAAAATTCTAAACAAATCCAACAACCACAACATTTAGTGCCTATTGGGCAACAGCTCGGTCCCTTACGATATGACATTAGAACTGTGCATGATGCAGATTATAAGGTATACAAACCTGAAGAAAAAGAACAGGGTGAAGACATTTTAGCAGCATTGAAGAACAACCCTTCTGTTGCAGCATATTTTCAACCCTCGGTTACGAACGTTGAAGTCTCTCATCCTTTAAATTATCGTAAGGAAGAATTGGTAGATAATTCTGAAAATGATAAAAACTACAAGCTAAATGCTTATATTGCAGGACCCGCACGTATACGACGGTACACAGGTGGAAGGCAGAGAGAAAATTTAAGAAAGAGCAGTGAGGAGGATGATGATCCATACGATTATAAAGCGGAATATATTTCAAAACCCAAAGCTTTTGATAGTGAACTTTATAGCAGCGCTTATAAAGAAGAAAAAAACCCTAAAAAAGATTATGAATACCCATACGATTACGACTCTGGATATGACCATAAAGAATACGAGAGAATAAAGGAATTATCTGAACAACAAGCTGCAGAAATAAAAAGAAATCCTGGTAACTGTAAGGAAGTTAAGAAAGATGACATGACTTGTATGATTTGTAAAGATCCCAAAACAGGAGGAAATTATGAATCTTGTTCTTATGTGGCGGAACCTAAAAATAATAAATATGCATATTCAAAAGAAAAAAAGTTTGACAGCAATGATGAACCTGATGAACCAGAGAGTGATCAAAAACAGGAGCAGCCATCAAAATCTGCAAAATATGAAGTAGCTAAAGACAGTCAAGAGGATTCTGGCGCGGAATCTGGAAAACCTTATAGTCATTATAAAAGTGGAAACAAAGATGACGATAATTCTAATGACAACTATAAAGCTTATTATGTACATACGTCTAAACCAAAGCCAAGTGAAGCATTGCGAGCGGCAAGCGAAAAGGAAAGTTCTGAGGAAAGTACTGATTCATTAGCTAAACCTTATAATTATAAGAAGGCCTTACCTGGATTCTACTCTGACAACGAACCTAAGAAAGACGTAGAACATGTATTAGCTGAATTTAAAAAAAAAGATAGGTCAGCTTGCAAAAAAGTACAAAAGAATGGAATGACATGCTTTCAGTGTCTGGACAAAACTGGTTTAAAACACGAGGAATGTATGTTTGTGTCTGAATCTGCTCCAAAGCGGAGCCACCTTGCTTATCAGGAACTTAAAGAATTTACATCAAAACCTGCCACTATTGACGGAGGTAACGAAGGTGCTGAGAGCCAAACAGTTACTACAAGTGCACCGCCAGCACAACCGAAATCGGCTGCCTACGTTGTAGCAAATACTGGTTACGGTAAGAAGTTAAAACGAAAGAAAACTCCTCAGGCCATCATAACTGCTGCAGCAACAAACCCTGTGGCAAGTTCAGCTACTCATACTTTACCATCCAAACAACCGATAACGGCAACGCAACGACAAAAGAGAAGCGTGGTATCAGAAGGAGAGGCTAGAGCTCAAATTGTTGACGAAACTAACATAGCGGCACCTGAAGAGTTCGCAGGAGCTAGCTCTAAGGGTGCTTTCTGGGCCGAAACTATGCCTAGATATAGTGCAGCTTTAGGTGTGACTTTACCTGAGTACATGTTGTCAAGGTCAGAACACGAAGCTTCATTTGACGAACTAATCGCTGGTGTGTAGTGATTAAGACTACTTATCTTGCTTTCAGTACAATATTAATAGAGCGTATCGATTGTAAAAACCACTTAAATAAAATCGAAACAGAAGGTACGGGTAACAGATATTTGTTACGTAATTAACTAAGATTTCACAGACAGACGTGCTGCTAATCAGCATGAAGTTACAAAACAAATCTGAAAGAACTGGAACGAAAAAAATAAGTAGAAAGTTATTTACATTATGTTATGGTTGTTGACTGTAATACAACAGGCGACATTATGTGATATTGATGCAATATAAATACTTAATTATGTTGTTGAATATTTGACTGTGAATTATTATTTGATATTTGTTAACTAGTTTTAGATTCAATATTAAATTGGATATTTTATGAGCCATAGTTTTTATTTAACACAGTTTTTAATAAATTCTTTCTTTTCTCCTCTACCCAAAGGTTGTCTGGAAGAAATTGCTTTAGCGATAAGACCGCCTTTTGTACCTGCCTACCTTTCTGTATATTATGAATATTGTTTTTTTTTGTATTGTTTTTAAGGTGCAATAAAGAGTTATAAATAAAAATAAATAAAAAAAATAAATTTAAGGAGTTGAATAATTATGACGTTTTTTAGATATCTGTCGGAAAGTTGGTCCGATTCCGCTACGGCTATACACTGTTACTACACCACCACCACAACTTAGCCCATAGTGATGAATTCACTTCACAGTGAACTGTAATGTAGTGGTTTTGTACAAGTAATGTTGTGTCCTATAAATATTATTGGAATGAAAAGTAAGCCGGCAGATAATAATAACTGTTGCCTATAAACCCGAACAGTGCTAATATATAACAGATCACACTACGGTGCCCTTTAGACAGCATACAATAATTTTACTTATTTCCCTAAATAATAAAGTATTAATTAATTAAATAAAGAATTATTATTATTAATAAATTTAAGTGTGATAGAATTGTATTTGTGAATTTATATGTATATCTATCACTGATTGACTGAACCCCTATAAGTAAAAGTAAATCCAATGTGTTAATATAGGATATGATCTACTTGCGTGCTCTATTTATTTCCATATTTCCAGAAGTTGTTTCCTAAAAAATTAACGATCATCTATATATGGTCATAAAACTTTGAAGTTTATATTATTAGTATACAACTGCGTCTAATTTATTTCTGTTAATCCCTAAGTACTGAACTGATATGAATAGGTCATGTAAGATAAATACATTGTATCATATAAATAAATAAGTGCCTGTGACGCTGCTCAACATCATCAAATCACAATAGTTGGCATAGCATACGGTCAGTGTCCTACATGTCGATACTGTTTCTAATGTACCTATTTTTACTGGGATTTGTCCAAGATACTGGCATGTCAGGAAGGAGCGTATTGCGTATCGTAGACTGAGAAAGTAATTAATTTCAGTCGTATTCAGCACATACAATGGTACGCTGTGCTGTGATTATAAATAAATCTGTATGAAATTGGTGGCCAGTAACAAATAGGTAGTGATATTAAACGGTTATCTGTTTAGTTCGCGATCGTGTTTGAAGGTTCTAGGGACTTCTTTAGTCTCTTTATTTGTCTATTAAAGGTATGTAAAGTGTCCTTTTTTGCGAAGACTTCTTAAGCTTGAGCGTTTATTATTTACTAAGTATATTGTTATCTAAAATAGATACCTACAAAGATTTCCGTTGATTACTGTTTCAGTGATTTTGTGCTTTCGAATACAACTTTAATATTATTATTCTAAAAAGAAAATGATAAAAATAATTTACGATAACAAGAACTGAGGTAGGTATATATTTGTACTTTCAACTGATCACACGTCTTCGAAAAATAATTTCTTGTTTCTTTGCCAAGTTGCTAATCGCCATTCATATGAAACTACCTAGGCAAATAAAAAAAACAATACATGTATCTACGTATAATGTAAAATAGTAATGGACCTATAATAAAGTTTGAGATTTTAAGTAATAAGGATTACTAGCCTCATTCATTAGTTGTGTTTTCTAATGGGACCCACCCGGTAGAGGTAGACCGACCAGACTTGCAATGTCTTGTCTTGTCTCCATGGTAACAAATTCCTGGTGAATTAGTTACGAAGGGCTGATTCTTCCCGGCATTATTCTGTTAATATCTTCTACTATTCACCCACCAGTGGTGAAAAGCTTTAAATATTTATTCCGCCGAACCCACATACTCGTACTGATATCCTCTAGGATATTATTGTGACAGGAAAGTAGCTTAGTGACATGTAACAATTGTAGAGGATGTTATGAATTTTACTGAGATAGTATATGTATGAGCAAGATCTCCATCGACAAGAGCACTGTTCTTAAATTATGAAGGAATGAGATTTTCTTAAAAAAGCTGAAACCTTAGTTCTCAGTAATGTCAACGCAATCCATGTATAAGTATTACCATGGTTAATAGGTGATACATGATTTACATGGTGCTTGCACGCTTTCCGTCACAATTACGTATAATTACAATAAATTAATGCGTGTTCTTATATAGGTACGCATAGTTATTTGATTATTTTTTTGTATTGTTTAAGTTGATTTGTTTGAAGTATAATGAAAAAGAGTACCGTTTAATGGTTCTATGCTCCTACTTGGTTAACTTTGCTAGGGGATACAAAATTAAAAAACATTGAATAATAGAAATATAGCAAAAACAATTATTGTTTTTAACATTTAAAGATTGAGAAAGGTGAACTGGGAGGAAGGAGATTTTCATTAGAGAATAGTTTAAGCAAAGATAATGTATTGGGCTACAGGCCTTGGAGCCAGAAAGAGGATGTACAAATATTCAGGAGCAAAGTTGCACATGACAATGGGTATAAGATTGTCCCAAAAGTGGACAATACACCGAAAGCAAGACAAAACTGCTTTATTTTAGAAGTAATCTAGCAAGTTGGTTGACAACCTTTGTTTGTATCGGTCTGGGTGTATTCTATGTATAATACGTATTTATTTACGAAAAAAAAATCTATGTATTTGTATCAGTTATCTAGTACCTATAACATAAGCTTTAGCCAGCCAGCCAAGCCAGTTTAAATTGGGACTAGATAGCGCTGTATGAATTGTTTTGAGATTATTATTGTTATTATTAAGTATTACACCATTATGAAATCTTTATTAAATAAGCAAGCTTTTGAAACAAACTTAGTTCATTTTTAGTACAGCGGTTAGTTGGGTTAAATATTTTATTTAAATTTTTGTTTTGGAAAAATATCAAGAATTTTTATTCTGAATTACATAAGATAGATGACCTTAGATTTACAACTACAATTCATAGAAACATTAATAAAAAAAATAACATCAAGTAAAAGATATAATTTGTAGCAAAAAGGTTGAAATAATCACAGGCTGTTGATTTTTATCTTTTCTTATAGGCCTAACGTAACCATATTATTTTGTTATTCTAATAGCTGTAATTACTTGCTCTATTTTGCTGCATTCGGTTTATCGTCGACTTGGGACAGCCTGTATATAACAAAATACGTAATGACAAATTTACGACTAAGTACGGTAAAGTAGAAAGATCGCAAAAGAAAGAATTCTCGAAATGTAATCCTATATAGAATCGTTTGGTCAGTATCGTAAAAATAGGCTAATATCTCTTATGAGCAGATCCTCTTATATTACAGGATATAAGGCCCAGCAGAGAAACAATGATGGATTATTATGAAAATCATAATTATGTATATTATACACAATTTAATGTATAGGAATTTATGAACAAAAATTATGTTCTTAAATTCCTATACCTACCACACTAGTATACCGATATGCTCAAGTGTTATAATAAAATTAATATTTAATACATGTAGACAACGATGAGTAAGCAGGCTATCGAATTTGAAGATGAAGAGTATGTAGATGTGCGAAGTCTCCCACTAAAACCGCCGCAGCCTGCACTCCTACCTGAACGGCCGTTGCGCCGTCCCTGGCATCCAGTTATGTGGGACGATTCAATAGCTGGGAAACCTGCTACAACGGACCAGTTGCAAACAGAGCAGGTTGGTAACAAGTATTTTACTCACCACATCGATTTTACAATGAATTCTCAACCTCTGTTTTAACGTAATATGACATCAAATAATGTCGAAAATGTTTGACTCAGTCAGACAAACATATTTGAGATAGGACTCGACCCGCAAGTACGTATAGTGTAAGTTTTAAAGGGTACTACTTAAAACTTAGGTCGCTACAATAAGTATATACAAAATAATTGCTTATTAGTCTAAATTGGTTCCACGATATCTCCTACTTGTTTGTCACCTCAAATTTCATTTGTATCCGCTACTGTAAAGTCCGTATATCTTTCAAATAAGATTTCATAAAACAGATAATTTTACGGTAAAAAAATTCAAATGCAACAAAGCGGTTCGGAGTTTTACAATTCACATACAATTAGAGCAATGACAGACTTGATTAGATTCTAGAGTTACGTTATTAATGTCATATGAATAAGGATAATATTATTTAATCATGATATGCTGTTTTTGTAGCCATTATACTCATAGTGCGTAGTCATTTATTTTGGACTAGTTCCAATAATACATAAACAATAACTATTTCCAGTAGCCGGTCTTGCCTTGACTTTTTATCTAAATACAAGAACGTCATCAGTACAGATTTATTTTAACTTATCCTCCCCATATATATTTTTTATGTCACCGAATATATAACTAAACAAATAGTCAATAATGAAGGAAGACAGCTACTTCAGCATTTTAATGCATTGACGTCATACAGAGTTAGTAGTAACCGAGAAAATGTTTGATTCATTTTCATCTTTATAATAGTAGTAACGTCACTGTTACTATCAAAAGATTCTAGTCGGAAGTAGGTGGCTTCTGTCACACCATTACTTGTCATTATTTTGATCAATGCGTTAATATGTAAATTTTATGCACATGAACCTGTTGAATATACGGAGCTGGCCCACTGCATTCGTGCATAACAGTAGTGCGAAGGCAAGTTTCTTTTAAAATGTAGTACCTGCTTAGGTATGACAAAACAGTATGTAATGTCAAATTAGTTCACTCTAATCTTAGATTTTTATATTTTTATTATAATTTAAAAATAGAAAAACTTTATTTTAACCATACTCTCACAAATAAAAGAATATTTATAGCTCTATGGAAATTAAGAAATATACATTATTATTTATCATATATACTATTTTTGTACCTAAAATAGAGTGAGGAGTGTGATGAGGATAAAATGGAGTGAAAACTAAAAAACCGGCATAAATGAATGAATTCTTGAGGAAAAGTACAGCAAATATTGCTCATTACGTGAAAGGAAAAAAATAAAATGACAAAGTGAAATTATGAGTCTTTCTTAAATATTAAAAAAAAAAAAACAGCGACTTGTGAAAAAGTATAACTACTTCTCATGGGGCGGCCTGTATCTAGTTTCCACAGACTTCTTGCATTTATTATCTTTCTATTATAAAATCAAACTACAGTAAGAATTGAAACCACCGGAGGGATATAGTTGATTTGACATTGTATGACATATGTGACTTGTTTCAGCAACAAATCGTATCGCATGAATATCCACACAAGCAGCGCATCCGCAACCTTCGCAGGCTCATAGCTGAGGGCAAAGTGAACCCTACTTCAGAGACGCTGATATTTTTCCTGTGCAATAAGTTTGCTGTTTCAGAAGAACGGCAGAATAAAGTATCTGTTTGATTTATTATGTTAAAATGTTTGGAATTAATAGAATGTTTTGTTTGTTTGGTCCGGTAAAATTCTCGCAAAATGAAGTGATATGAACAGGGTTGTAAATACAAAAAATAATTTTGTAAAAATCTAGCCTTTTAACTTTAATGTTTTCTTATCATAAGAAATGCAGTTTATTGCAGTACCCTCAAATATTAACATAATCTTTTAACTAATTATAATATTACATGATTTATTAACTTCGAATGTACAAAAGTCACGAGTAACTTCAACATGATAGTGCTCTATTCCGCGCGACAAAAGCTACTGCTTTTAAAGTCTCAAATATACGGTCATTCGGAACGAAGTGCGTCAGACTGTACCTTCACAGATTTAATGGGCCGATAATGAGAGCGCCTCTCGAAAAATTCAAGCCATAGTAGGTACATATACTTTATATTCCTCATAAAAATTATCTACACACAAGACTTTAATATAAAAACAAAATCGAGCTTCTCAAATATAATTTCACTTAGAGAAAGTGCGCGGACGGCGGCGCGGCTCTGACCGGCGGGCGGCGGTAATGTACAGCAGAGGCCTCGCCGGCGGCGGCGGCGCCCCGCCACAGAGGACCCAATATACAGAGTGTAAGCCAACACCACTGGCTCTGGAATGTGGCATTAATCGAACAAAACATGAACCACTCACGAACCAATCACATATTCTCTTAAATATCGACAGTATTGTTCATAGTTATCGCGTTCCGTATGGAAGGGTACATCTTCCCAGAATTAGCACTGGTCAAAAAGCCTTCACTCTGTACATGCCGTAAGTGAAGAACTAAATAACTCAAAACTATAGTCTGAAGACGATCGCAATTTAATGTTTCTTTTTCTTGTGTCGCAATTAATTACCGGAAAATAATTTTACTGCAGATAAGTTAATAAGTCGATAGAAAAACTATCTTCCCATAACCAAATAAACGGAGAAAAGTAACAATAAACGTCGACCACTTCAAACCACATAATAGGAGTCAGTTAGTTTAGCACGCACGCCGGACGATATGCAATCCCCTGTGGTCCTAGTGCGCGCGCTACGTGCCGGCGGGCGGCGCGGGCGCGGGCGTCGTGACGGGCGCGGCTGCGGCGGCCGCGCCGCCCGCCCCCGCCCCCGCCCCCGCCCCCGCCGCCGCCCCCGCCGCCGCACCCGCCGCGTTCGTTGCCGCACCATCGTCGTCATCTTCTTCTTCCGGATCAAATTTCAGCATTAATTGCTTGAACTGTGAAAAAATATTACTTTCTCAAATCTGACCAAAAAAGAACGAAAAGAAAGTTTGTAAGTATGGAAGGATGTTTGTTACTCTTTCACAGAAGAACTACTGAACGGATTTTGATGCAACTTTACATTAATATATATAACTTATACATCAGAATAACACAAGATTATAATTCAAAAATATATTATGTAAATTGGGCGAAACATAATGGCAAGTGCAATGCAGACGAAGTTGGTCAGCTAATTTAAATATATTTATCTACTTCTAATGTATAGTCGTCTACTACACACTGGTAAGTTGGGGTTAGGTTTGAACTATATGAAATATTCTGAGTTAATGTAACAGGACAAAAATCGACCATTACTATGTATATAGGTCTATCGTAGTCCGAAATCTGTAGCCTACATCGCCTTAGCTCATAATTACACGACAATATATTTGAGACTGTAGAAAAAACATACATTACTATGGATTGTACATCTAATCATTAACATTGTATATTTGTTTCCTATATAAATAAATTAGCTGTCGTGAAATACAGTAAATTTTTTTTTACTTCACAATGGAGATAATACAGTCGACTCTTAAGAATCAATGAAACTTTTTAATAAATACAGAATCAACACACTATTATTTTCTTTAACAACAAATGTAGAATATAATATAATTAATAAAAAAAAACGTAAATCATCTGTATACTTCACCTGTCGTAATACTCGCGCAAACAACCGCTGCTTCCTCTATTTATTAACAAAATACTCATATTGGTGAGTAGTTTGTTAATAAATTTGAGATAATATTAATGGTAAATCACTATAAGCGCATTCTTCTTGCGTAACATTAAATGTTAAATTGTGTCTCTATCTATTTAGTATTAGCATAGAGCTATTGAATGCAAAATGAACACTTTTTCTTATCCACATTTTTATTATAATAAAATTTCTATATATGTACGGGCTGACTCACCTCTAAATAGTCATCGACGAGCCGTCGACAACCATGCTCATCGAGCTCATCATCATCGTCAACATCATTAAGCTGCGCGATAGTGGCTTTAGGCTCGAATATTGGAGCGTGTCGCCGCGAAATTGCTTTCTCGTATACTTTTACACTCTCCGAAGGCGAGTACTGATTAATTTTTCTGCATAAAAAAAAAACAAATACATATATACTAAGTAAGAATAAAGATTGGAAGGGAGTTATAACTCTCTGACAAAAAGGTTATTAATAGGTGAATTGGTTAATGGAAACACTCAATATTTATTGCATTCCATGTTTACAGTATAAAACGATAAATAATTGATTGCTTTTAATAATGAATTACCAATTCTGCTTATGATTACTTAATATAATCATATTTTTGTACTACTTTCATAATTTTCCAAATTAGTTAAAATAAAATTAAAAATTATATTTATTCATATTGATATCTCGGCCTCTTGTGTGTCATATTTTTTTATTACTATTCCTACGGTCCAGCTCACTTAGCTACTTCTGTTGAGAAGGGCTGGTACGAAACCCAACTAGTACTTTTTTTTACTTAGTTTCAATCTTTAAATATTGCATAACATTGAAGTAGTGTGTATGTCTAGCATATTAAAAATACAGAATCTGTTGTCTGAACAACGCTATAAAAGGTCGTCGCCAAACAGAGAGTAATAAATAGTCTTTATTCAATAAGTATTTAATAATATATTATATAGTATAATATAATACCCATTCCTGTAAAAGACCTATTAACATTATCTAAAGTTACAAATTAGTAACTTTAGATAAAATTATTTTTTAAGTAAGCTCCATTTAAAGAATTCTCTAATTACAACAACAACAACACCAACTGTTATGTCTATTCTAAAATCATAAAGATACTAACGCGTCAGTGAAGCCATAAAGTTGCTTAAGGTGCTGCTTGAGGACAAGCAGCAAAAGACAGCCGCGTGCTTGCCGCATGGCGTCTCGCAAGGGCCGCGTGCTCACTGGCAGTCTCGCCACCAGGGCCTCCGCTTCCTCATCATCCTCTTCCTCGTCCAACTGCTCTTTCTCTTCCGTGTTCGTTTTTATTAATCCCTGTATTAGTTATTATTTAATATTTACGTTTATGCATATAAACATAATTTTATTTTTGTGTCTACACATATTATGTTTAGTATATAGGTTTTATTATCTTATTGCTTATAATAATTACTAAAACTGTAATCGATACATATTAAAAAAAAAATAGTAGCATTATTACGTCCAATTGATTAATTTAGTTTGTATGATAAGGTGTTATGAAAAAATAAAATATTTTAGAAACATTTATATACAATTTACATACCTCGCGAAAAAGCTGTAGTAAATTCGACCCCGAGGTTGAAATTATAATATCAATGTGATGTATAATAAATAGTGGTTCGTCTTGAACTTGATAGGGAAAGTAACTTAAATTATCTGCCAGGTACAACATTTGATCCAAGGGCGCGGTCTGCAGAAAAAAGTAATTGTGATTATTTGTCGCATAGTAAAACTTAATAAATTTCTTTTACATTTGGAAATGTTTATACTAACAGAAACATCATCAAACTGTTTCAGTAGCGACAAAACCAATGCTCGCCGTTGCGGCCTCGTATTACGCAGTAAGGAATATAGAAATCCATTGTGTGCAGTAGGTAGATCATCTTGTTCCTTTTTCCTAAAAAGAAAAATGTTATATTTTTATAAATCTGTTATTATTTACATCGCACAGATATAGATGGATTTAGTTATTGTTCATATTATATCATTTTGCACAGAGTTATAGCACTCACCTGAACCCTCGTATGACATCATTATTTCCGCTACTTTGTAAAATTTTCTGCAATTGATATGACAGTCTGATACCAAGTTGAGCCTTCATATGAATAAAACCTGGGTATTTTTTGTCTATGTCTTGCAGATGTTTATCTGCTGTGTGTGACACTGTCACTTCAGTGTCTGTACTCATACATATTAAATAGGGAACGATCTGAAAAGTGTAATGTAAAATTCATTTGAGATTGGCTGCCCAATGTAACTAGCGAGCAAATAAATTGAATGTACTATATTGAGATAGTATCTTGTAAATAAAACAAATAGACTTCCAGTCCTTCTTTGTAAATTTTATATTTATTGACATATTATATATCCTTTGGAATAACATACCACTGAAACAGTGAAAGAATTTTATTATTTCAGTTTATTTTTCTGATAACAAAATTTTACATAACGGCGAATAGCACCGTATAAATAATTTCGCTGCTCCAAATAAAAATTCAAAGTATAAGCATTGCATTGGCAAAGTTCTAGCATGTAAGGTGGTAAAATTTCTTATATCATTAATTTAAGAAATATCTGAAATAATAAATATGTAACACATACCTGTACTGGATGTACGAGACCTTGTGCTAAGACCAAGTGTACGACCTTCATGGCGCTGGAGCGCACTACGGTGCTGCCATGCAGGAACGATTCTAGGATTTGCTTCAGGTACAATTGGATCACCGTGGAGGCCATGCCAGACGATACGTCACCCATCTCCTTCAGATTTTCATGTTTTGAACGCTTTGACCCTGTAATATTCAGATTGATTTGAATAAATACGCGCCTTTTTGTAAAACTGACTTTTAGGGAGTTTAAGTTGATAGACACATTTTAAAATATAAAGGAGATTACACATTTAAGATTTTAACAATAAGTAATTCAATGTTATAGGAATAATAAAACGATTTTAAGTTACTTTTCGTTGTTTAAAACGTTGTTTTACAACATAAATTAAAATTGCAATTAAAAAATAGGTGGTGGATTGGTGAGAGAATTATTTTTTAATGCCATATTACAAAAATATAAAAAAAAAAATTGTCCAAACAATAAAAAACTTAATGTTAGGTGTGGACAACCCTTATCACATAGGGGTATGAAAACTAGATAGTAGCTGGTCCTCAGACCTACTGAATATCCATACAAAATTTCATAAAAATCGATCAAGGCATTTCAGTGGAGTACGGTAACTAATAGTGTGACACAAAAATTTTATCAATAAGATTTAAATAAATAGATAGTAGTAGACATTAAATCCATATGTAAAATCTACTTTGAAGACTTACATGTCCTGCCTCCCTCACCCAGTAAACTACTTATCTAACCAAACAGTTTGCGATGCAAAATGTTAGCGACAGTATTATGAGTATATACATATGAAACTATAATAAGCTTACATTCTTTATCTTGTCTAATCATTCTTTGTTCTTCCTCCTGTAAGTACATCTCTATATTTCTAAGGACATCAGCTTTCATTTCTATAGGGGCTAGATCAGATGTTAGTAATTGGTGATAAAATTCCTTTAATTCTGGCCTTAACATAAATTCGTAATGTCGCACGCCAACTGAACCCAGCGCCTTTAACGTATGTGACACAAAATCTTCATCTTCAAGATTTACGAAGAACATTAATGTTGTGTATACTTGTTCTTTAATATCATTCTGCACAAAACAATAAACACATATTTATTCATGCCATCTTAAAAATATACACATAAACTCTAAATAAATACAAATAAATTAACCTGTGAAAATGGGAAAAAAAATAATGCTAAATAGTATCAAAACATTAATAAATAATAATTAATATAAACAAAATACTGCAGAGGACTTGTAAAACAGCATGTTATAGAATTGTAATAAAATCTTGAATTAAATTAAAATATATTAATACTGCATTCTACTATAATCAATACTAACCGGTAATCCTTCGATAACTTTTGTTTCTGTGAAATCGAAATACCGCAATAGCAATCCTACGATAAAAAGTGCGCGGCGAAAGTGCGGTCGGGTATTTAATGTTCTTGTCATTTCTGGGTTACGTTGCCAACTGCTTTTCCATTGAAGAAGTATTCCTGAAAAACAAAAGTGAAAAATATCAACCGATTCACGAATAATGTCATTTATATTATACTTCATCATAAAATTGATTTCAAACTTACCATGATATTTATTGAAGACATCTCTAATAAGTTTATAGTTGTGTGTAAGAGTATTGACAATGGCCGCAAGGCAGGCAATGCAGGAGGCTATGACAAGTTGTCCTCGTTGTAAGATCAGTTTTACAGCGTCTTCTTCTAGCTGAGCGAGAAATACTTCGCTCGGATGTTCCATTAACGGTACCACTAGTTCTAATGTCGACGCCACAGTCGACATAATTTGTTGCTCATATTGATTCTGTAATTTATATACAAATGATATATGATATTGGTACAGTGATCATTTTATTTTTAAGTATTACACTACCTATATTATTAAAAATTACCTGGCATTTTAAACTTAGATACGGCTGCAGTGTTAAAGCATGATTTACTAGTAATTGTGGTCTAATTTTCGCAAATAAATGTAATGTGGAAAGGCACGCTAAAATACGCTGAGAAGAACCAGAACCTGTAAATTATTAAAAAGTAAAATTAATTATAGAATATTTAAGAATTATTATAAATACATTTTATTTAGCGTAACTCACCTTCTGCGCTGGACTCCTCTAGCTGAAGTAGACTTTCGATAAGGCAGTCAACTATTTGTTGACATGCTACTAAAAGCGATTTAGATGGTTGATGAATAATTTTAGTAGAGTCATCTTTGTCCTCCTTAGGTTTAAATAACTGTAAATATAGGTTTAAGTAAGAACAGTAGTTTCTAAGTTACGATATCATAAAATGTAAAATGTAGATAAAAACTTACACTCATCAAAAGTTGTTGGAACCATTCAAGACCCATGTCTCTAGAGGATATTACAACATCTGTAATATTAAGGACTTTCCTAGTAAGGGGATCGGCAGCGGCTGCAGTCATATCTAGCGAGCCGGGCCGCATCGAGTTCGGGCATGGACTGAACCACATGTTTTGGAACACCTCCATAACTAACTTTCTGATGCCTTCCTCATCATTTACACGCCTAATCATTTTTACGCAGATCTCAGGAATTTTGGGAAACTCAGGGCACTCTATACAAATGTCTTTAAGGATTTTTATTACCCTCTTTCGCACTGATACTCCAGTATCCTGAAATTATGAAACATTTAAAGTTTAAATAATTTATATTGTAAATGCATCTTACTTATAAAAAAACATTCAGTCAGTGAAGTGTTCTGTTCGCCAACTTCTCATATCATCATCAATGACAAATTATTCCATGAGTAGGTATATTATTTTATGAAATAAAATAATTTTATAGAATAATTTGGCATTGGCAACAGATATAATTATATAAATTTGTATGAGATCCTTACGGGTTAATAATCACAAATACATACATTGTTATTATAAGTAGAGATATGTCGCATCACTTACTAATATTCTATTTGAAAGCATCCCATAATATTTGTCGATGAGATCGGGCCGGCTGAGTACGAACTTGCCGACAAGATCGACTGCGGCCTCCCGCACAGCCGTCGACTGGTCGAGGAAGGACCGGTTGACGCCTATTTGCATGTCCGGTCGCGCCAACACCGCAGGGTCTGCTTCTACGATCATCGCAAGACACTTCATCGCCTTTGTACGTATCGCTATCGTGTTCTCGCACAATATCACCAGTATCTTTCGTAGGTACCGATCAAAGCTCTGCGAGAACGACCTCTTTGAAGCCAAGTATTGTGATATCAGTTCTGCTCCACTATAGTCAATATAAGACTGCATCACTTGCACCTGTGCTCCTCCCTGATAGCGGAATGGTCTTATTTTTTCTATAAAGAAATGTTTCCGCCTTTCGATAGTTTTGAATTTCTCTGCGGACATCAAAGCGGTGGCACAGTGTTTCTTGTCTGACTTTGAGTCTTTTGTACCACTATCACTGTCATCGTCGGCATCAGATTCTTCGTCACTAGTTTCATCTTTATAGCGTTTCTTTGTTTTGTGTTTTGGTCTTTTAGTAGGCGAGGAGCTCTTAGGTTGCACTACCATATCTCTATACCACTGTGTTATGTAGAAATGTCGAGCACAGTTCCAGGCCTGATCTTTTTGTCCATTGATAGCCAAATAATCAAGCAATACTCGTTGAAGAAACTCTGTTCTTTCTTCATCTTCATCTAATCCTGATGTAACACTCTGTAAATTAACATGAATCGTGAGTCTAAAACTTCATTTAGTCATCTTATTATTGATACAAGAACAATCATACCTGTGTTTGGTTTCCATCTTTTTCTTCTTCTGCACGTATATCTCTCACAACAGCATCCATCGTAGCAAGTTTAGTACGGGAATGAACACTGTCCCGCCTCAAACGCGCCGCCACCAAACCCAAGTACTCTAACGACGCCACCCTCACTGACATCTCCATTGATTTATCTGACATGTATTTCACCTAATACAAACGACACACTTTGTAAGCACCTATACCAAATGTTGAGCAGGTTATTATACTGACAAGAAAACTAAAACAACAATACGTAATTGAGGCACTAACCAGCATTGTCCCGAGAAGACTCAACAGCAGCTCAGTGGCAGGCCACTCTGGTTTATTAACGGTGGTAAGGAGATCGTGTACAAAGTTCTCAAACAAAGGCCTGAAGTCCACTTCTTCCGAGCGGCTTCGGCACTTGTTCAAGAATGAGGTTAAAAATGTACCGCCGACACTAATTGCTGCTTCGTACTTGGATATAATCAATAGATCTTTGTCCACATGCTATAAAAATGGTATAAAGAATTATTCAGATATTTTCCAAACAAATAAAACAATATTAATAACAATATTTTCATTAAAAATATCTCATTATACATTAAATTTTTAAAGTATATATAGTACTGACTTAAAATAATTAATTAAAAAAAATAGTTAATGAATTATACATGATGATAAAACATACTTTTTTTGTGTCAACCTCAGTATTAGGCTCTTTATCTTTGTCTTTGTCCTTTTCAAAAGATTTGCAGAGAGTTTCGGGCAGAGTGACCACACATTGGACTAGCTGAAGCACGAGTGCCGTCAACATCTGTATATGTTGATTCGAGCTCAGCTGGAAGGATCGCAAATTGTGTTTCGAGCTGGGAATGCGTGCTATAGATGCCAATATGTCTTCGAGCAATAGCCGTCGATGTTGATCATATTTCGTAAAGATCTGTGAAAATATTGTTACATTGAAAACTGTTAAAATAATGTGTAATTATACGACGGAAATAGAAAAGGTCTTCATATATTTAGCTGATCTGCAGAACATAATAAAGTTCGATAGAGACGTATAATCGACTAACCGTGGTGACGAGCTTCAGAGCGGCGAGTTGGAGCTCGCTGACGTTCTCGACGAAGAAGGGCGAGACGCCGACCGTGGAGGCGTGCAGCACGGTGGTGTCGGTGAGGTGGTGCGCGGCGAGCAGCTCGGCCAGCAGCGCCACGCACTCGTGCACCTGCGTGTAGAGGTCGCGCGCCGCGCGGCCCGAGCTGCCGCCGCCACCCCCGCCACCCCCGCCCGCGCCGCGCCGCGCGCCCCCGCCGCCGCCCGCGCCGCCGCCACGCCGCTTGCGCCCGTCCACTGTCACGTAACGCTACTCATGTACACTCCGCTCCTCCCAATTACGGACGCGAAAATATTTTTACTCCCAACTCATCAGAGATTCAAACACGTGACGTATCTTATTGAATCTCAGAATAGTCGACATATAAATATATCACAGCTTACCTTTCTTTTTAGATGTAGTTTGAATACTATATACAGGATCATATACACAATAGATTGTGTTATTGAGTTGAAATTTTATAAACATAATGATTCTATCTATTACATCTTCTAGAAACACCCGCTTCGGCATATTGGGTGAGGTCATTACATACAATGATGTTAAACACGCATCCGAAGCACACATTACTCTTTCCAAAGCAGATTCAATCCATATTTGTCTCATTTCTTCACTATCCTCCTGAAAATGAATGTATTACCTCAGATTATGGGTGCCATTATAATATTTAGTTAGATCAGTGAATAATTATAAAATCTGTACATACCGGATCTCCCAGAAGAGACATTTTCTCAGCAGCTCGTATATTTTTTTCCAATATATTCAATAATCGCACTAATCTATCAGAAGGAATTGCCTCCATAGCACTAAGATTCTTTAGCTTTGCAGCCTCAGAGCATAGCTCTTGGAGTTGATATCGTGGAAGTAAAAGTTCTTCAGGAATATCGGTTCCTTCTACAAACAATGCATAGAATTTGTTTTGAATACATTTTCCTTTTACTCGATTGTATATAAATAAATTATGTACAGTCGGCTAGAAATCATATATACAAAGTTATTACACGAGCGCGGTGGGGGGTAAATACTGAAATATAATACAGTAATAGACTGACAAATGCCCAGATTGTATTGTTTTACCTCTTAGGTTCGGAACTCTAAGACGGAACTCAATTAATAAGGCAACTCAAAATGAAGTTTGGTTATCGTTATATCGGTAGATGTAGGTACCACATCTAAGTTGAGACAGGAAGTTCAAAATACTAAATTCAGTGACAAAAGGCAGTCGTTAGGCAAAAGTGAACTTATGATTAAGTTAGTGGCTCTTTTGACATAATATAGATTATAAATTTGTTGAACAAGTTGTGGCATTTATAACTTACCCATCTCATCAGTTATTATAATGTCATCATCAATTGTTTCAAATACCGACTCAATCAACTTGTTAAATCGTTGATACGTATTAGACTCCATAAGTTCATCTACTGACAACATCTCTATCACAGGAACCAACCTTCTTTCCACTTTCCGTAATTTGGGTCTAACTGTAAAACACACGTACTAAATTTAATATGCTTGTTGGATGCTATTATATACATGTGATTAGATAGGGTCTACTATAAAATATACATCTGTAAGAAATTTGCATACATTTAATGGATAAAAATAAACTATACTAGAGAATAGACAAGTTTTACTATGTATGCACAATTATGTAATAAATAAAAAAATTGAATGTATTTAATATTAGCACTTTATATAGGATGTTTTAAATATTTTATTTCTGACTACTCTAATGCTGTTGGCCGCAATTGGTCTTTACAGCTCTCTTCTGGACGATAAGGAACGAGTGCAGATGGCACTCCAAACCCACGGAAGGGCTCATGGAGCGGCTGAAGGTCGTATCCCGTCTGACAGATAAATAAATTATGAACCAAGAGAGAAAAAATGGTTGTGATCTATCTACACATGTACTGTAACATTTAGTTGTGTAACCAACTTTAACAAATTTACAAAGGTAAGCACTCTTCTATGGAATTTGATTTATGAGGAATTAATTTAAAAAATGTTACTCAGGTATATACTTGAGTACACTATATTATTATTAAATTTCATATATAATACAATTTATTTTACTTCTACAAAGAGATTTACACTTATAAGTTATGTGCAATAAAGGATTATTAAATAAATACCAATGGCAGCCTCTGCTTCTTCCTTTTTACTAGCTTCCTCATGTTTCCTTTTCACTGCTTCCCAGTTTTTTTCTCTAGCTATATCTATCGCTTCTCTTTCTTTATCTACAGGAGGTGCTGAGTTACTACACTTTGTTTTTAGTGGAATATTATCATCAGAGTCAGATTCAAGTGTACTATTTTTTCTTGACCTATCTTCATTGGGTGTTTCATGTTTTTTCAACACACCCTCCTAAGGAATGTAAAAGTATTTTATAGATATTGATAGCATAATATATTCCTCTTTATAATATTAATGATCACTTACCGATAATCGTCCAATTTTTACAACTGGATATCTGTTGTTTGTTATGTTCATACTTTTGGTAGATTCCAGTTTGTCCAATTGGGCTGAAGGTGGGGCATACGGAGCACCCATCGATGGTTGCGGTACATGGGGCTCCAGCCGCAGTGGTGATGGTGCAACACTCGCTTGCGCTGGGGATTGACCTACAAAAAAATATGAACTCAAAAAATGTATTTTTAATATAGAAGACAGTAGTAATATATTAAAAATATATTGTACTACTTACCTTGTTCAAATGCTTTATCTTGAGACTGCATATGGACTCTTTGAGGGTCAGACTGATTTGTTGGTGACATAGAAAGAGGATCTTTCTCCTCACATAAGCTAGTGCCAAAATTTCTGTTATCTTGGCCTAGACTGTTATAGAATCCACCATTTTGTGAATTAGTGCCAGATGTATTTGATAAGGGACTTGTATAAACATTGGAAGAATTAGCACTATTCCATAATGGAGATACATTGTTTTGAGCTGTTATATTGACTTGGGTACCTGGCCTCGACTGGGAGGGTGGTGAGCCCATATTAACATGAGGAGAGGATTGACATGGTGTTGCTAATAACTGTTGATTTGGAATTGTTGCCGATTGTATAGCTGTTCCATGTGATGATGGACTTGAATGAACAGTATTGTGTGCAGTATAAGAATTATATGAAGCAGAAGGAGACATCCCATTGAACTTTGATGTATGGAGATGATTGCCCCAATGATTTCTTTGTTGCTGATCAAATACATCAGGTTTGACATGTAAGATAGCTTTCAGCAATTCAGGAGTAGCCTGTTGGGGTGCAGGGCTAACTGCATTAGATATCATTTCATCCTTAAGATCTCTAAAAACAAACATAATTAGAATTTTAGATACCACAAATAATAATTTGCATTTAAGTGTAAGTGAAACTGATGATATATGACAGAATTTTGTTATCATTTAGAAGTCAGAGAGAAATTTTTACATTGATAAGACATGAAGATCTGTTAAACTGTGTAGAGCTAAAAAATCTCAAATATCTCAAACTCAGATTTTTAAAATATCTATATACAAATATCTCTACACAGTTTAAAGTGTATATTTTTGTAGTGTTCATTAATCCCCAATGATTAACAATATCTTTATAGAATTGGTTCATAGATTAACTGTATATAATAATATATTATTTTATTGAATGAAGAAAGACATTCTTACATATGTTGAACTGAAGTTTGCATTAGTGATTGCAGCAACAAAGTCACCAAATTTTCATCTTGAGTAGCCAACAATATTGCTGCTTCTTCAGCAACACGTGGATGAAATAACTGAGATTTGTTATTTAATGTCGATGGTAAAGGAGTAGGAAGTGGTAACACTGGCAAAACTGCAAAACAATATATATTTTAGCATTTTTATTAGAATGAACTAATTTCACTGTTATTATCAATGCAGAAAAATCATGAATGAATTTCATAAACATAAATAACATAAAAATTCAAAGAATGCATATTAAAATAACCACATATAACAAACAGCTCTTAAACTGTTAACATGTAAACAGTGTAATAGTTCAGAAAATATGATAAAAAAGGAAATATATATATATATAAATAGATAATAATTTCTTTAAAAAATTGTAGGGTGAGAGATTATTTTCTAAACAGATTAGAATAATTTGTGTTGTCAATAATCTATACAATAGCCCAATAACAGTCTTTTAGTACTCCATTTAAAATATAGATGGATAATTTTGAACAATATAAAATATAAGACACAAATTTTAAAAATAAAACCATAAAATAAGTGTAAGAAATAGGTCTTTGTTACAATAGAAAAACATACATTATATTATTAAATAGAAAATTGGTTGTAAAATTTTTAAGTCATGTAAAAAATACTATAAAATTTTTAAAAAGGTTTGTAATGTAGTAAAATATAATAATTTATAATTTCAAAAAAATAAGGAATTTAAAGATAATATTAAGACAGTGTGAAATATTATAAATAGAGAAATTGAAGGATAAAAGTATATTCAATTTTTAAGTCATGTAAAAAATACTATAAAACTTTTAAAAAGGTTTGTAATGTAGTAAAATATAACAATATATAATTTCAAAAAAATAAGGAATTTAAAGATAATATTAAGACCCTGTGAAATATTATAAATAGAGAAATTGAAGGATAAAAGTATATTCTATGTTTTTAAATATTAATTATAATAATAACTAACAATCTCTTAAGATATTGTCCAACAACTCTATTGACATTACTTCTTCCTTAGCGTGTGCCCCTAAGCATAAATCATTACTGCAAGTGGGTGCATTATTCCATTGTAATCTATTCATAAATTACCTCTATAGACATTTATAGAGGTAATTTTTAATTGATTGCTCTGTATAGTAACTACTTTTAATAAATGTCATCAGTAATACATTTATGATATATTATATATTAGGAAAAACATATAATGTGTTGTTATTTCTAATTTAATGAAAGTAGGTTAAATAACTTTGCTTTTTAAGTCAGGAGAAAAAACTGAACTAGGTATTTATAGACCCATATATCCTATCTATCTTACTAGTACTGTAGTGTTTGAAAAAATTATGCTCAATCAAATGTGGCTACACTTTAAATAAATTAACTGCTTCACATTCGACAATTTGGTTTCATGGGCAGTAAATCTTCAGCTGATGCTGGTGTTAATCTACAATTGTATCTAACAAATATATTTGTATTTTGGGAGACGTTTCAGGTTGCTATCACTGTACTTTGTGACCTTTCAAAAGCATCTGATTGCATTGATCATAAAATACTTTTACACAAATTAGAACATTATAGTATTGGAAATGAAGATCAGAATATGATAAAATCTTGAGCCAGCATCAGTGGTATTGGGTATTCCTGGAGGGTCAATCTTTTTTTATTTTCAGCCCTTTTTTTATTTTTAGAAAGAAAGAATACAAATAATGCTGTGTATTAAATTTACACTCTACAATATGAGACAGGTAGACTAAAAATATGTATCAGACAGTAAACATAATGATTTTGTTAATGATGAGGTGTATCTAGTTATCACAATTAGACTTCAAGCTGTAATGTGGTATCCATATTTCTAAATTGGTGACTAGACTTAAGTTCCGCTATGTATATGGAGAACTCAAATTAATTAAACAACTATTTAATAATGCTTATATTACACTAAATGGAATAAAGATAATTTTTATTTCTAATTCTGGAGTGAGCATCAAAAAAATCCTACTATATTACATTTATAATAACTGCATTTACAACTCAGATCTGTGCAGGTTAGATGATCCAAATGGGGCTTTAGCATCAGCTAATAGATTTAAATATTTTTATTTTTAAATTAATTATTAATAAATAAATAACTAATATGGTATGCTTTGGTTACATCTTGATCAATGAATGATAAAATCATTATATATTATAATAAGGACTAAATTTTTTAAAAAGAAGTCACGGCTTTGCAGGAACAGATCTGTGACAAGACAGTAATATGGTTTAAGAGAGGTGCACAGATCTGTGTCAAAACATTTGAAGGGTTAAGTGATAATAACTTTAAACTATAAGTATAATCTGGAGACTAAATTGAATTGGCGGAATTGGTGTAGATGTCAAATTACAGTACTACCCTACCAGAAAAATAATAAATCTTTATTGACATAACAACCCTATATTTAATAATACCTATACTTTATTATTTTTGTGTTAATGCATTCTAAACAAACTTAATTATGGACCCCCTATTTTAAGATATAGATTTAAATCAGATAATTTGTACAGATGTATACAATTTTTTGTAGATTTAAACTATTATTAGAATATTATCAGGAGTTACTTTATTGCCTTCATTTTTGATACAGATGACACTGTAGAACAGATTGTGAGAACTAATAGGCAAGTATACAATTGGGGATAAGGTGTTTACAAAGTTAAATAAACAAAATTTTATTATTATGCTATCATGAATTTGCATAATAAAATTTTAAGGAGAAAAATATGGGTAACATATTTCATGGTTAGATGGAAATAAATATTAAGAGTACAAAGAGTTTAGCAATTAAAATCAACAAAGTTATAAAAGAAGATATAAAAAGGATATTTTTTTTATAAATAACCATCAACTAACATATGTGCCACAGTTGTAAATATAATACCCATTAACCACCAAAACAAAGATGGGCAGATGAAGACTACATTTGAGTCAGCCAAACCTTTTAGATAGCAAAATATTTCACTGATCCAGCTCTATGTACAGAGTCAGTTGCAAAAGATAACATTAATATGAAACAATATTAGTAAAATGTAACTGAAATGAATTAAACTTTTATACTTTTTACCTATTTACTTTATTACCAAGATAAATATGACTGTAGGTCTATAGGAAAGTGTCAAAGTTACTTTAAAATTATAATTAAGCAAATGTTATTAGATTTTTATACATTAAAATACTATGACTGCTTTACACGATGAAATATCGTTTCCGAAATTACAACGCATTTATATTAACAGTAAAATAAGCAATTAACAATAATAACAATAAATAAATAGTGTACTTACGATCTGTCAAGCTGGCGACACCTGCCAATGTTGTTACAGGGACACTAGGAATATCTCTTTCATTCATATTGCGTGTAAATCTGTTATAAATAGTAAAATTCTATTTCTCTAAGCCCACTATCACTTTCATAAAAGAAGAAGTCTTTGGTGTTGAACTGTTATCCAAGTCGTATATAGTTGTTTGCGTAGTCGTGGATTCCATTTTCATTTTACTTTCGACATATATAACACATAATACAGCAACTACGAACATAAAAATCTCGACGATTTAGCATATTATACGGAATGGATAATTAAAATTCTAACAACAAATCTCAAGATTGTTGTGAAAATAGGGCAGCCGTCAATTTGATGCTTTGTTGTGCGTTGTGCATCCAAACGAAGGTCAGCGCATCTGTGACACTCCCAACAAGAAAATGATGTACAAGACTTTCACAATCAAAATAAATTTCCATTTACATTAAATACACGGATAGGTACTCACTATAAAATTGTAATATATAATTTAAATTTATTTATGCAGAGCAAAATCAAACATTTTCATTAGAGATGAAATCAAGAATTGTATTTTTTTTTAAAGTAGATTTTAAGACTTTGGAATAATTACAAACCAATATTTTTAAATTAGTTTGTCCATGGATATATGTTATTTCAGTATTACAGTAGGGGAAAGTATTTGTGAAATATCTTCAGGGACCTTAAGCTTTTTAGCTAAAGTAAGTGCCTATTAGAATATTGCAATTTTAAATATGGTTTTCTCACTAGACATTGCAATTTGTTGCAGAAAATTATCTTCTTATTGTTCTCGATGCACTGCCATGTATGGACAAATTTTAAATATAATTATTAAAATAGGAACTAATCAAACATTCAGGAATAAAGAAATATTAGTACATAAATAATCTGTTGAATACTGAATATTGTCACTCATTAATTATACTGTGATTGAATTCCAGTCCTTATATTGCATAAATAATTTAATAATCCCTAGATTTCATACATAACATCGTAAAGATTCGTTCGTGTTGACCAATTACGAATAACGATAAAAAGTAAACAAAAGTTAAATTATTGCTATTTAATCAGAAAATACTCATGTGTAACTTATCAATACTACCAATGTACATACGCGACATGATTATGTGAATGGGCTGTAATTAAAAAAAGAGAGATGAAGTATTTGTTTTTTATATTGTACTTTCCGGTTGCAGTTAGTCTTTTATTTTTATTTGTAAAATTTTTGACTAGTGACGCTTTTTAATTGTTCTAATAAATCAAATCCATCTAATAAAAAAATACACATAAGCCATAAAACGATTATTAAGTTATCCATAATTAATTATTTTGACATCCCTAATCGAACTCTATGGACTGTGTGAATCATTGCCATCGATATTATTTTGGTTCTGTGGTTACAAATGTAGATAAATTGTGACTTGTGATTGTTATTAGTGTTTATCGTAGTTATTTCTATTTTATTTATTTATCTTGTGATAGTGGCATTTGGTTATTTGCTGATGTTTGTTACAAAAATCTAATACATAACCCTGTACTTTATTACATATATAAATTTGGATTTAATTATAATTAAAAAAATAACAAATCCATTTAATTACATACCCTCAAGGATCTGTGCTATTTTATTTTTTACATTGAGAATACAATAGCTGTATAGTATTAATAACTATTGTAAATATAGACTTTGCACCATCTAATCATACATCATAGACTGTTAAGCATAGTCGTGACTTGTAGTGTTCTAGATCTGTTTTCTCTAATAAAATAGTAAATTATATTACATTTTATAAAATGAATTTTCGTTATTCTAATATAAATTCCGTTGGTTGGTATTTAAAATATGTAGGTTTACCGCTAACTTTATGTATTACTATACATACTTTAATTTCTCGTTTATCAAATAAAAGGCGAAGAGCTGCTTTACAAAAGAAGGTAATGTCAAGAACTTTTAGTAGAAAGAAAAGACAGTTATTCAACAGTCCGCTTACGGCATTCACGTGTTTAATGTCATATTTTGTAATTGTTCATTATATTTTTTCTACATTGCAGGTCGTTGTAATTACTGGTGCCAGTTCTGGTATAGGGGAAGCATTAGCACATTCGTTTTATGAGCAAGGAAGCACAGTGGTTTTAGCAGCACGACGGAAGACAGAACTTGATAGGGTTAAAAAGGAGTTGATGTCTAAAAAAGTGGTAATACTTATTAACATAAGTCTCTCTTAGCAACTTCTCAGAGTGGTACACTAGGCACTCAGGCACTCTCAGTATGGTTTAATTTGAATAAATCCAAATAGAGATGGTGATGCTTCTAGTTACAAGTATACTAATAATATGAAGTCACATCAACTATTTACTCTAATAGTATTATTTATTATTACTAAATAATACTTAATACCCATTAAAATCAGCAGTACTCAGGAAATATGACAAATTAGTTTGCTATGTTTTATTAGAACAATTATCATTCATTATTTATTTATATAATCAAATGTTTATTATGCTTTCAGCCTTTTCAAGTCCAAGAACCAGTGGTGTTGGAGTTAGATCTATCCAACCTTGATAATATGGGTCTATTTGTTAAACAAGTATATGAATCTTGTGGCCATATTGATATTTTGATTAACAATGGTGGCATATCTCATCGTGCTTCTATTTTAGATACAGATATTAAAGTTTATAAACAGATAATGGATGTAAATTATTTTGGTTCTGTAGCATTAACTCAAGGTAACTGGTTTATTTGGTCAATTAAAATTGAAAAATGCTGTGTTGTGTGAAACAAATAATGGCCCATAGAAATAAATTTTTATAAGTCTAAATAATTATGTAGGCTATAGAATTGCTAATACATATGATAATTTTGTTATTTTAGCTGCTCTTCCAAAAATGGTAGAGAGAAGAATTGGTCATATTGTGTTTATAAGTTCTGTGCAGGGACTTATAGCTATTCCACGGCGTTCCGCATATGCTGCATCTAAACATGCTATTCAAGCATTTGCAGATTCTCTTCGTGCAGAAATGCATAAATACTGCATCGATGTATCAGTTATTAGTCCAGGATATGTTAAGACCGCTGTATCCCTGAATGCTCTCACTGGCAGTGGTAGTGTACATGGTGGTAAGTTTATGTTATTTGAGACATGGTTGTAAGTAATTGTGATGAATAACCGTGGTGTAATTTAAATTGATTCCTTACTTTTTAGTTATGGATGAAAGTACAGCCGCCGGCTTCACACCAGAATATGCTGCAGAGAAGTTTTTAGATATGATAGTGAACAAAGAAAAAGAAAGTGTGTTAAGTCAACTGACACCAAACATAGCAATATATTTAAGACATCATTTACCATCATTATATTTCTTTGTTATGGCTAAAAGGGCAAGCAGTACAAATGAAATATAAACTATTCAGTCTACTTTTAATACATCTAGTCTCAGGAATATTCATAAAATTGTAGCTGCACTGTTCATTTCTCTGCATGTTTTAGGATACTGGATCAATCTAAAAGGCAAACTGAATTCTTTTGCAATCAGTAACTGAGTCCTTAACAGTCTTAATTAAACATCGTAATTTATAAGTACATTGATTTGATATTATCAGAAATTCTTTGGTACAGGTAAACACAAAAATAATGTTTAGTTTGGTTATATACAATTTATTTAACTACATTAAATAAATTAGGTATGGTTTCGTAATAGAAAAAACACAGGGTTTAGATTTGGTTTAGTTGGTAAAAGTAGTTTTTTTATGGTGAATGGTCATTTGAGGTATATAAAAAAATAGTATATTTATTCATCTGAAAATGAGTACATTATTTTTGGCTTATTCATGTCATCAATATTTTCCTGCTTTATTATAATACTATAAAAAATGTAATCATCCTTTATGCTATTATGCTAGCGCAGAATGATGATTTACATCATTTTCTAATTATACTGCTATTATAATTAGAACTGATATATACTATTTAGTCAAGAATCTACATATATATATTGAAACTAAGCAGTAATTTCTCGAAATACTTGTTATTAGTACCAATAGAAATATACTCATCATACCAAGGGCAAAATGTTAATAGTAACAAGCACATTTCAATAAACCATTTCGTCTTGGAGATGAAATAGTTTATTGAAAATGTAAGTAAACATAAAAAACATAGTTATTTATTTATATTTATTCTGATTTTTTAAATATATTGACACAGACTAAATATTCCACATATTTATATTTATTTAAATATATTTTATTATTTGTATAGTGTGTCCAGCCACTAAGCGAGGAAGTAATGAAATGCAAAATACTCTTCTTTCATTTTAAGATTTAATGTATTGATATCATCTGAATAATATACATATATTAAGACAGTATTACTATATAGTATTACTGTTTTATAATAAAAATATAATTCTTTTAGAAATTTTAAGGATTTAAAATAAAGGAAATAACATTTTTGTTTTAAATATTTTATTGTTTGATAACAGTGAGAACAATTAAAATCACTGGTATCACAATATTGTAACCTTTCAACAAATTATTATAATTGATTTGAACTAAAAGCAATTATTATTAATAGAGAAAATATGTTTTGTACAGGCTTGTTCATCTAAATCTACTAATAATAATATTTATACCTATATATTTTACAATGCATCCTACAATCTACTTACAGTATCCCTCAGTTGCTTACAGAAATGAGTAAGCTCTACAATATTAGTAGTTGCTAGAATCAAATACACAATGTAGCATTTGATGGTAATTAAAGCATGGTCTAATAATGCTAATAGAGACACTAATTCATTCATTTAAATGTATTGTATAATCTCCATAGACAAATAGCTGCAGCAGCTACTGATACTGTACTATGTAAAAAGATTTTTCTTCTATTATTGGTATGTACAAGTACAACGGGTGATGCTGATGTAAGTTCACTTAACAATGGCAGTGTTGATAAATGTCGGCGATTCTTTTCTTCTTGGTATTTGCAGCATGGATCCCACTGCCATGATAACGTGTAACATCCAGCACAGAGGACTGAGACAATTCCAAATGGAGTACATGCCAGTGAACTCCATGCTAAGCCTGCAATTTGAATTAGAAAATAAAATTATATACATATCCATGATAATGGATTGTTCTATCAGTATAGAAATTTTTAATAAATTTGGATGTATCTTATTATAAATTCACATGCATAGTTTTATTCTTATAAACTGACCGTAACATCCGTCAATAAAAATAATCATTCTCCCAATGCTATGGCTTACATAAAATTTTAAATTAAATCCAATTTGGACTATTTATAACAACCTTAAATAAATTACATAAATGAAGACAAACATGTATTACACAATCTCAGTTTGTTTATTAAATGGCTATGCAAAATGCAACTAATATCTCGCATAGAAATTAAATTCTACCTGTCTAACATAAATATAACAGTATGGATTGCATGTAGTTTATTTTTTTCATCATTTAGTTATATATTTGTTCACATCTTAGTAACATTGATTTTTTAGTAGTATATCAGAAAGTTATTGAATTATCTTAAGTTGATAACACAACCAGAAGTTACCTGAAGCAATGCTACAAAGTCCGCTGTAGACCGAAACTTTGTGTAAAAGATTTCCTACATATATCCATCTCGCTGTTTCTTCTCCAAGAGGTTCTGGTTCTATAACAATTACACTCACGCCGGCCTCCAGTGCTCTTTCCAATTCCATTTCAAATTTAATATGAGCATTTTCGCTGTCGTAAACTTCTCGTATTATTACGACACTTGATGGCTTCAAATCACTAGAATAAGCGAGTAATATTTATAATTTAAGGGCAGTATTTAAATTAATCTAAGAAACTGGGTAGTATTACTTAAATAAATAAGATGTAATATTTTATTGTGTTCAATTGATATGCAGTAAAGGTAGTAAAACAATGAAGATATGAGTAAATTTAAATAAATTTAGAATTTGCTATTTATTTACAAACCTGTCACTTTCATCACCTGCCATCTTAACTATAGACAAGACAATTGACAATTATAGAGAAATTAGTGAGTGATGTGCAAATATTCAAATTACTATTATAATAAAGTCGGTAAGTCACACATTGTAAAATTTAAGTACACTCAAGTTTATTTTCTCATTTTGTTATTGTAAAAGAATTAATTTTTTTTCATTTTGAAGAAAAATAAATTAGAAAATAAAACATTGACTATCTTAAACGAGAATTAAAAAATATATCTTTAATAATCTATCCATAATAAAACAATTAAATTACGTACATTATTAAATATTTAGGTTGATTAATTTTTTATGATTTAAAAAAACGTAATTATGGAAAATATACCATTATATTATTATAACTCTGAAATATTATTATTATAACTCTGAAAACAATTAAATACAGTGTTATTAAGAAATACTTTATTTATATAATAAGTTTGTTGTTTTTGTATTTAATTATCAAGTTTCCATTCTTCCTTTTTATGTTATAATAGCAAAATGTCAATGGAAAGTTGTAAAGTATATAAGTTGTGCTGCTAATTCGTTAAGGTAATTGGTGTGTATAATGTAAAGAATAAATATACAAGAAATTACAATGATTTATTTAGAATTTGTACAAAAATGAAAACTCTTAATTTTAATAAAGTTTAATGGATTTTCAAGAATGGGGTGCAGTTAAGTAAGGCTAATATAAGATAGGTTTTCCTTGCAATTTAATATTAGTGTTGCCGGGTACTATAATTTTAAGCAGGAATGAAATAATAAATTAATATTAAAAAAAACTTTTGCATGTCAGTTAACTTTATTTTTACATATAACAAAATTGAAACTCGTGACGAGGTGAAACTGTCTGTTTGTTTGTGTTAATATGTTTTACGTAAGGTAAAAGGATTTAGAATGAATATTTCAGACAATATGTAGTTAAGTGAGGCAACATGGCAAAGGAAATTTTAGAAAAGCTCAAAGCGTTAGATTCTTAAACGTTTTCGTTTTAAACATGCTGATTTACTGTCTGGTCATCCGCACCCCCCTAGGGATGTGAAGGTTGGGGGCGTTGTATAAATGCTTAATTTATTGTAGTTGTTTGTTTTGTTGTCAATAGATGGCGTCTACTAATATACCCACAGCTGAAGTCTCGGACGCCACTATTTAAATAATATGTATTTTTTATGGAAGATTCATGAATATTGTATTCATCGGCGATAATGATATCTTATTAGTGCTGGGGCACCACTAAAGACATCCTTTAGTGAAGGATGTCTTTTTAGGATAAAGTCAGCTCAATCAACCCATCGTGGCGATTTCTTCAATGGAACCACTAGGTCCCATTCCTTATCCTTAATCCTCCCGCCTAAGTATTCTGTGCTTCTTGAAGAACAGTCGTAAATTTTTAGGCGACATGGCCTTTGCTGTTAACAATGTTACTTTAAGACTTAAAGTAATTTTATTTCTGATTTTAAATTTATAAACTACAGTTTTTGTCTAACTATTGTATGGCAGCTGGCTTTTATACCTTCACTAAACGAAAATGAGGACGAGTGCAAAAGGCACTCCAATTTTACAGATTGACGGATGCGGCTGTAGACAAGAAGATCGGACTTCAGGCCGGAGTAATTCCGATTCTTGATTTTTTGATTTGATGGATGAAGCGACTAAATAAAGAAATTTTGCAATTTTTAAATTGCTAGTATTTTATTAAACAACAAGGGTCAGTAGATTATTTTAGATAAATGTATTAATTCAATGAAACAAATGTCTATTTTCTGCCTCGTTCAGCTGTCGCCCACTACTCGCCATTACAAAATCCGCTTGCCTGTTAAGGAAAAGGTGAATGTTGCAAACAGAGTTTCTAACAAATGTAACTAAAAATTATTAGATACCAGTTTATAATATTGACTTTTGTGGCTAATGTATTAAAGTATAGTATAACTTGTTCAGCTATTGTCACTTGCGTTCCTTTCATTATCTCCTTGGCGCCGAGCACAGTGGTAAGTTAAAACTTAAAAGGCACGTGTGGGTGCAAGGCTGACCTTATAGGTGCTACCCACAGGTTCCATTAAACATTAGTATGATTTCCCGGCATCCCACGCAAAATAATTCTTATTACGTGCATAAGCATAGAAGAAGGTAAAATATTAACGGTAGTAAATTTTATTACTAAATATCCTTCAGTATCTACAGCAAAAAATTAGTGCCTAAACGCATGAATAAAAACTAAAAATATCTAGATTAGGGTATCATGCGAAGGGTAGGCATAGTATGCTTATGTATAAAGCATACTATACCTACCCTTCGCATGTTTATTAGGTACAATTAATTTAAATTTTCTTTTGTGTATAAATATTTTTTTATTCTATTTTATTGTGTTGCTACTACTATTTCTATTGTAATAATAATAATAATCATGAATCAAGAATAGTTATTAAGAAATAATAATAAGAATCACAAATCATCAATTAAGAATAAATATTATTATATTATATTATTATTTCTATTGTGGTGTTATGTAGGTAATAAGATAAAAGATGAGACTTCGGATTTGTTATCCCTGTCCTAGGTTGTTATTTTTAGATACCTGAATTTAAAATACCTGAATTACTAAAAACTTGCATAAATTTCTGTAAAAAATTTATGCAAATTAATAAAACATCTTAAATTTTCGCCATATTTTAGATACTATATAAGTATACCATAAAAAGTTATGGTTTAAAACAGCGCGAAGTCTAAGGACGGTTCTTAACTACTACTATTCTGATGATTTTCTGTAAATGTTATTTTATTTTACATATTTTTTACACAGTCAAGATCTTTAACGGTATTTAGGTACCTTATATATTAAAGAAATAAAGTATTAGTGATATTATTATTTTTATTTCAAGAACAAGACCTAGGATTGTCACCTGTTGCCCCTAAAGGAAAATTATATTAAATGTTGTTTTAAATTTACCTACTTGTCTATAAAATTAGAATTTAAAACAAGTAGTTGTTATATTATAGGTAATTTTTTTCATATACATATGTATATGTATATGTAAAAATATGTGTTTTTAGTATTCTATGCTTTAAAGTGTCGTTTAGTAGCTTGAGTATAAGCAAACGCCTAACAATAAAATACTTTAGCGACTTTATAGCTACGTGGTTTACCCTAAAAACAAACTAGGATTAGGAGTTGGAAAAACTAGGACAATTTAGTTCAAAAAACGGACGGCGTAATAGAGTTATAGGAGTTAAATTAATATGTAGTGAAATTAGGTGAAGTTTAGGTGTTAAGGTTTAGGTGAATAAAATAAAAAAAAATATAATCGAGGACGCTGCATAAAAACTATACAGAAAGTCACAGGATACTACAAAAACTCGGACATGGCCTGGGAAAATAGGACGGTTGGCAACTCTACATCTAGTAGTCAATTTTAAATGCATGAAGGGAGATTGAGTGTGCACTATATTTTTGTTTCGAAACATGTTAACTATTAATGCATATGTCAATTTTACATAGTATTTACGTATAATAATAATTAAGCATATCTAATTAAAATAATTGTGTATATGTATCTTCCGCATGTTTATATCATAACAAAGAAACAAGAGCGGCCAAGTACCTCTACGAAAGCATCATAGTAAAGTAGGTGGCACACACATATATGTATGTTTTATTTCAATTAAATGCAAATATTGTTCTTATTTCTTTGTGTAGTTACCACCTAGACAGCCGTTACGCTACGCAGATGCGACATAGTTTCTTTGAAAAATTCGGTACAGTTTCTTTATACGAATATAATAATAAATCGACGTCAAAATAGGAAAAATTCTTAGACTGTCTGTATGAATTATTAATAATGTAATATAATGAGTTATCTTATGTGTGTGAATTGAAATCTTTATTTACAGAAAATTAATTTAATTAAATACATGCTGCCGGTCACTGTATACACCTAAACCTAATCTTTAATAATTATGTTTTTTATATTAAATTACAATAACATTCGCTAACATAAGTGTCTGTAATTGACATTTTGATTTGTTTGACCTGAATTCGATTTAGAGGATTCTTTTTATGGAATGGGATTATTCCAATATTGGGTAGATACTAATTTACTACAAAGGTTTTATTATTAAATTTATATTATATAAGGTAGGTACTGGTAGTACCTATAGTTTAAAAAAAACGTGTCATGTACTAGCATACCAATTGAATACTAACATAATGGCGATATGTGTGCACAGTGAACTCTTTCGTGCCGTTCATATAAATCAAGATATAGATACATTTGTCAGCCGTTACATAGTTACTAATATTTTAGTTCCTATGGTTATAATATTAACTTTTTTTTAATGGAAATTCCATATAAAGTTACAAAAACGGTGGTTTATTATATTTAGTCGCGTATGGTATGGCGGTACTGTGGGTGGTGTGCGACGGAACCGGCGCGGGTAATGAACCCGACCATCCGCAGGTATCACGACCGCGACGCACGGCTCGCTACGCCCGCCTGTGCCGTTCTTGCCATGCATTTAGGGTTACCAGCTGGGAACACATAAATCTTAAGATAATAATCATCAAAGCTTGGATTTCTGTACAGAGTAAAAGTACTCCTATATGACGAGTATATTAATACTTTTATAATATCATGTGATTGCATCGGATAACGACCTTAATAACTGATATCCGTTGTTAATTGCAGTACTCAACATAGGTACCAATCTTTCCAGGTATTTTTTTTATTTATGTAATATTTTGCATTTGCTAGAAACTTCTTCACAGATTAATTATTGTTAATCATACAATACAAAATGTACAATATGAACAGTAGTAATTACTTTATCGATGTTTGAAGTAACACGGAGAAGTGTAGGATTATTCTTTCGATTCGATAATTCTTTCTTCAAATACAGTAGGTACCCAAATATCGCCTTACTAATTTATTATATATGTATATCTTTTATTTAATTAAATGTGTATAAGATTGTATTGTGCGCTTTTTCTTACACAAATAGTCATCTTCATAGAAAAATTAACAGTAAGGTACATTACCTGAATAACTTATTACATACATTGACATGTCGTCATAGTGACATTTTTACATTTTTTGATACTAATAGTTTTATTAGTGATTTTTATTTGACA